CACGGACAGATATGGCAAGAGAATTCCACAATCTAGCAGCATGGACGGTAAAAGATCCACTATAGCGCGTAGATGAGTGTGAAGGGAGTTTGAGGATAAGAGATTTCGTCGAACGGGAGGACACGTCATGGGGAACTAGAAAATCAAAACGTTCACGAAGATAGGAGGGAAAAGTAGGGTTATATAGAACGGAATATAAAAACGACATTATATGAAATATATATATATATATATATATATATATATATATATATATATATATATATATATATATATATATATATATATATATATATATATATATTCTATTCATTTGCATTTTTAAGAACTGTGACGTTATAATTATCTCCCTTCAAATCGAAACAACTGTGCAAGCGCAGCTGTGTGTCGTCAGAAATCTGAGTGGCCACAGTAGTCCAGGCAAATGATTTTTATATACGTAAACTCTCAAATAAAAATTATCAAGAAAATTGGAGAAATGTGCAGAAATCTATACTAAGAGTTTTTTTGCAAACAAGCTGACGGCCCACCTGATGGAAAGTGGTAACCGTCGCCTATAGACATAAGCAGTACCATGGACATAACAGAGTATACTGTTTCGCCCATGATACCCCCATGTGTTGCCATTCAGGTGTTATTCCTCTGTACCTTGTAAATTCACGCCATACATCCTTCAAACCGAAACACAGCCATGCAAACACAACTGCTTCACGGTAGAAACATGAATGGGACAGAGGTACCCAAGCAATCGACTTTTGTACAAAGTCTCCCTCTGGTGGGTAATATAGAATAATATCTATATATCGTAGTTACATTATCTATATATTGGCCTAATAACGGATAAATAAAACGCTGTTTTGCCGTGTGGTCCCGGCATAGAATATTGAAATATTCCGATTATTAGATTATAGAATATTTTATATTATAGCATAGGCCGGAGAAAATATAACCTAATCAGTATAACACTAACGGATTTATGAGGTAACAAACATGAAAAGGGGGGAAAGGGATTACTAGTTATGGAGGTCTAACTGACCCATTGTTGGCAATACACCCTATCCGGTCGATCACCGCGCTTTTCTCTCTGGTAACCATCGTGGTTAATTCTAGTGGAATTCGTCGCAATGGACTAACTGACCTGCTTTGATCGTCACCTATCAGCCCTCACTGGTGCCCTGTCAACGTATATCGATAGCGCAGGTGGGATTACCATTAAAAATAATTAAAAATGAAAAAAAAAAGCTACAACCGAATTGAGAATTTTTTTGAAGTCGATTGAAAATAAAACCTGCGGAACCCTAAAAATGCGTATGCGGTCCTCTCTTGCTAGATTTTAAAGGTTAATCGATGTCCACAATACACTAACTACGGACGTCATAACTTGTCACACATAATATAAGTCAATAATGTAGAATTTAAAGTACATATTAGTTGATTTGTGGGGCCACAAACATTTATTTCGTTCGCTTACTGTGTGCTCTAGTGCCCGCTTTATTTTTCATCGAACTGCGTCTAAATCAGGTATATATATAAATATAAGTAATATAATAATAAGATAGATAGATAGATAATTTATTTGCGTTACTTACAGCACACAAACAACAATAAATATAAATGTACAGTGAAAAAAGATAAAAAATATATTTTTTTTATACAACTTAGAATGGCAAACAAGCTCATGGCCCACCTGATGGAAAGTGGTAACCGTCGCTTATAGACATGAGCAGTACCATGGAAATAACAGAGTATACTGTTTCGCCCATGATACACCCATGCGTTGCCATTCCTGAGGACTCAGATGTTATTCTTCTGTACCCTGTAAATTCACGCCATATCTCACCCTTCAAACCGAAACACAGCCATGCAAACACAACTGCTTTAAGGTTGAAACACGAATTGGGCAGAGGTACCCAAGCAAACGACTTTTGTCCAAAGTCTCCCTCTGGATATATGTACAAAAAAATAAAAACAAAATGCATAAAATTAGTAACGATTTTTCCCCTTCATGCGTGTGCCACAGTAACACAAAATGGTCACGACTCAGCTTATTGCTTTGCCCTAGAAAGAGATATAAAATAAAATTGTGTTTCACGAATAAAGTAATTACAATTAGTGGTAAAACCAGTTGTTTTGATTTAAAAACTAAACTACTTAATCTATTTTATAAAATTTTTGTGGGACAAGTCTGCAAGTATATTTTTTCAGGTAAATAGATTGCATCAGCATTTGGCGTTACATTATTTCTACTTATCCTAATGGTAGACAGGTGTAATAGATATGTATATGTATGTGTGTACGTAAAAGGATTTTTTTTTTAGTTTATTTTTTTAAATTTACTTAGTTAGATTTTTTTAGTTATTGTCCACTGCCCATTTTGAGAATACATTATTTTTTAACGCCCCCATTTTTTTCACCTCCTTAAAAACCACCATTGCTTCGAGATCAACAAATCACCCCCCAAGCCTCTACACAACGCCCCCATTTTTTCTGGGTTTCTTACCACCCTCCTTTAGGTCTGTAGCGCCCACAAGGGGGCGTTATCGCCCACTTTGGGAAAGGCTGACATAGAGTATTTACCTATTTATAATTTAATTTTTAAATACATTATCAATAAATTGTTGATTACGTGCAAATGTTTTAAATAATATCATTTATTGTTCCACCTAGAAGCCACAAGTCACTCAGTAAGTTGATTGACATTTAACTAATATCTTTGCCAGTATATTAAGTAAATCGTTTATTTTATACATTTATATAAAGTAGGTGTAACGGGGAAGAAAGTTGAACTACTGGTTGTTATTTTTATACTGTGATATTATTATCTTAATATAATTAATTATGATTGTGCTACCATTAATAAATTATTGCCTTGTTTTCACGGTCCGATGGATGCAATGCACTGTTATATTTTTTTATAGCCCACTTCACTATTGGATAAACTTTATTCAAATAGGTCCATTTGGGGGGAAAGGGATTGTTAGTAATGGAGACTAAGAATCCCATTGCTAGCAATATACCCTAACTAGTTCGACCTCTTCGCGGTTCCTTCTGGAAACTATCATGGTTAATTCCTGATGGGCTAACTGGCCTGTTTTGATTCTCATCTATCACCCTTCACTGGTGCTCCGCCAGCGTATCCCGTTAGCGCGGGCGGGGTTACCATTCCGTTTTCATCCATCAAAAAAAAAAACAAAAGGTCCATTCACAGACACATATGAGATGTTAAATGAAATTTATATATAGGTAATAAATAATTGTAAAATAATAATCTGTTTACACAAACAAGTGCACACATTACACTTGTATCTACATGTATTTTAAATAATATCATATCGTCATAGTCGTAGAATACTGACGGATCTATATATGTAATCTTTGTCAGATCCGTCAGTATTCTACGAATATGACGATTTTATTTTTTATTTTTTATACAACTTAGAATGGCAAACAAGCTGACGGCTCACCTGATGGAAAGTGGTAACCGTCGCCTATAGACATGAGCAGTACCGTGAACATAACAGAGTATACTGTTTCGTCCATGATATCCCCCATGCGTTGCCATTCCTGAGGACTCAGGTGTTATTCCTCTGTACCCAGTAAATTCACGCCATATCCCACCCTTCAAACCGAAATATATATTTATTTTAATATAGTTATTTTAATAAATATTGTAAACCTTTCTGGCTTAACTCGTCAGTACTATTGCAGAATGAGTCTTTTCGCCAAGGTTAGTTATTAATTATAATTAGGCTTGATTGTTAGCTGTGTGACCAATTTTAGTGTTTGGGTCATTTTTTTTTCAGTATAAAATCAGTACATTTTCATCTCTGATATTTTACATGTCAGCGGTGAGTGGATTCGTAGAATTTTTTATACGAGATAACTGAGAAATAAGGACAGTATTTTTTTTTATTGGTAGTAAATGGAATAGTAACCCCACCTGCGCTAACGGGATACGCTGGCGGGGCACCAGTGAAGGGTGATCGATGAGGATGAAAACAGGCCAGTTAGCCCTTCATGATGAATTCATCAGGAATTAACCGTGATAGTTTCTAGGGGGAACCGCGAGGAGGTCGACCTGGTTGGGTATATTGCTAGCAATGGGATTGTCAATCTCCATTACTAACAATTCCTTTCCCCCCCTAAGGACAGTATTGAAAGTGATAACTGTTGTCGTGTCGTTCACCCTGTATGCATATTTAATTATTTATTTTACACTTAAAAATAATAATAAATACAGTACATATCTGACTGGTATGGACTCTATTAAAATGGGTGATGATCTGGTTTTCTGCCATCCATGTCTAGAGAAATGCAATATATAAATATAAGATTAGAATATAGATATTTTTTTTTAAGTGTATGGCCATAAATAGTTCTTTTTTTCTTTCTTCATTCATGCATAAACACCTTTTCGGAGAATCAGGTTTGGTCTATGCGTATATTTTTTTTCACTACTCTGGTCGCATATAAGCATACGGCCCGTTTAATAGGAAACGGTTACTGCAGCTTATGAACGACTGTAACACCAGGGATCATCGAACCTAATATGGTCATTAAAGTGTTTTTTTTATACAACTTAGAATGACAAACAAGCTGACGGCCCACCTGATGGAAAGTGGTAACCGTTGCCTATAGACATGAGCAGTACCATGGACATAACAGAGTATACTGTATACTCACCCATGATACTCTCCATGTGTTGCCATTCCTGAGGACTCAGGTGTTATTCCTCTGTACCCAGTAAATTCACGCCATATCCCACCCTTCAAACCGAAACACAGCTGCTTCACGGTTCAAACACGAATGGGACAGAGGTACCCAAGCAATCGAATTTTGTACAAAGTCTCCCTCTGGTAAAAGTCTAGGATTCCTCTGTTAATTTAGGCCTCCGGTTTCTTAATTTAAACCTCTTCTTTTTTCCAGATTTGATATTTTAATTACTGCTCTTATATGGCATTTAATTACTTTTGTTAACTAGTTGTTTTCTTTTGTTTCAGCACTCGAACGCTGAAGACGGTGGAGGGGATCGACGTGGGCTGACGGACGTGAGCGCAGGCGCCGGCGACATGTGGATCAGCGCCGTTGAGAGCTCAATCCTCTCCTGGGAAGAGGTGAGTAAAAAATTTCTACCCCAATAGTCAAGTGACAATCAAATCTATGAATATACACCTGCAATGCTTCTGATGTTGCGAGAAATAGGCGGTAGTAGTCACTTACCATCAGGTGAGCCGCATGATCGTTTGCCCCCTGTGTTGTAATAAAAATCAATAGATTCGTTTTAGTTAGCGTTTGCATGAGAAAGAACAAGACACCGAACGTTGCTATCTCAGTCTATCTTTATGGATCTGGTGCTTTTTATAGGTGACGGTTAAAATTTCCCATCATGTAGACCGTCAGCTTGTTTGCCATTCTAACTATAAAGATATGTAGCATCTTAGGCACGAACATGTCACAGATAGGCCTCACTTTCTTACTGGCATTGTAAATCTAAAAGTGAGTTTATTTGTTATTTTTTGGCGCCTTAATATCTCGACTAATCGTTATGAAATTTAGTATATACGTATTATTCGGGATGGAGACGGACATAGGCTACTATTCATTCTAATAAATCGTTATATCCCAGTTAGGCAAAATGTTATGGTCATGCGTTCGAAGTTGTTTGTAAAAGCCAGCACTTTCAACCGACTTTAAAAAAGAAAGAGGTTCTAAATTCAATTGTATTTATTATGTTTGTTACCTCACAACTCTGTCAGTTATAAAACCGATTTGGAAAATTCTTTTTTTCTTTATCTTTTATTTACAGATTGGTCTCACAGAAATTTTATCAAAACTGATAAAATAACTGTTTTTGTCACACTTGAATTCGGTTTTATTGTGATTTATTAAACTTATTAAATTCTCTTTTATAATTCGTAACAGAAAAAGCTGTTAAAATGAAATCTTTACTCAGGAGAATCGTTTAGAAACCTTATTATGGCTATAAAGGACGCTTCTGTAATTAGATACTTTTGTAGCTTCCCCGACGCTAAATGACGCCTACAGATTTTGATAAATTTGTAACTGTATTATTAAGATTATATTGATAAAAGTTTCGTTAAAATCTCGAATAAATTCAGAATCAATTCGTGATTCTTAGGTTCTTGCTCGCGTCACAGTCTAAATGGTCACGTACAACGCAGTTTCATAGATGTTTTCTCCCACGAGCACTCAGGTTATGAAATGAGCTCCCTGCCGAGGTTTTCCTAAGAGACTACAGCATGGGGTTCTTTATATAGTCTTCTTTGACTTATTATCTATCTATCTATATTTATAATAAATCTGTAGAGAGGTCAATTTTGTACATGAAATATATTTCTAAAATAACTATCAGGCGGTGATTAGTGATCAATACTGATGCCAAAAATGCAATCAGTAAAATTTTTGTCTATCTCTCTGTCTGTATGTTCGTTATAGAAACAAAAACTACTCGACGGATTTTAACAAAACTTGGTACAATTATTCTTCATACTCTTGGACAGGTTATAGTATACTTTTTCATCACGCTACGACCAATAGGAGCAGGGCAGTGAAGGGAAATGTTAAAAATGTCCACCCGTGCGAGATATAGGTATTCATATATTTCTTATCAAATTGTTATGAGAAACAAATTGTATAAACTTTTCGAACACATTAACGTTACGATAACATTCTGCAGGTATGTTTTTAAAACAATTATTTCTTTTTTGTTATTGATTTGCTCTTTTATTTTGAAATGTCTTGACTTGAATAAATGTTTTAAATACACTATCGGGACTTAACGCGATGAAAAATTTGCAGGTAAATAGTATCTATATACGAGTATCTATTTTTTTTATTACCGACGTTTCGACGTGGATTACACCACGTCGTGGTCACGACAGGACAGGATAGTTGTTTTTTTTTTATGGGTGATAATGAAATGGTAACCCCACCCGCGCTAACGGTATGCACCTATCATCCTTCACTGGTGCCCCACCAGTGAAGGATGATAGGTGAAGATGAAGCAGGCCAGTTAGCCCATCATGATGAATTCATCAGGAATTAACCATGATAGTTTCCAGGGGGAACCGCGAGGAGCTCGACCTGGTTGGGTATATTGCTAGCAATAGGATTCTCAGTCTCCATTACTAACAATCCCTTCCCACCCTCACGTTTTATATTTGACAAAGATAAATTTTTAACATAACGAGAAAAGGCTAGATGTAAAGTCTAGTTATTTCAAAACCCTTATCAGTATGAAGGATAGGCCCTTCATTTCGTATGCTGTCTGATTTGACTACCAAAAGGCCGTATTGAACGGCGATATCTCGCGCTATTGTGTGTGTAGTCCCTTTTGTATATGTATATATACTGCTCTAAATATCTTTGGATGGATTTGTCTATGGATAGAATTAAATTGTGATAGGTCTTATTACATTTTCAGGTGATATATTTCACTAGAGGGAGACTTTAATACAAAGTTCGCATTTATTATACAAATAAATAGGATTTTCTCTTCTAAATATATGTAGGTACATATACACATAAATAACAATTATGATATCATCACCATATCAGCCTTTAACTGTCCACTGCTGTACATAAGCCTCCCCCTGGAGAGGGGGGGGGGGTCACGTAGTTGCTACGCTTGGCAGGCGGATTGGCAACCGCAGCTAGGCTTTGGAGATGTTTTAAGAGTGACGTTGTGGCCCATCTTTCGCCCAATTATGATATATTGTGATATAATTTTATTGATTTATCAGAAAGATTTTATATAGTAGTCCTCTGCTTGGGTAGTTGGCTTGCTTTGCCCCTTTCGTGTTTCTACCGTGAAGCAGTTGTGTTTGCTTGGCTGTGTTTCCGTTTGGCAATAATCATGACGATCTTAATTTTGTTCATTGCCATCTTGTAAAGGAATCTGGTGCTCATCGCGAACCGATGTCTTATTTATTAAACCGCGACCTCCGGCGTCTTCTTGGCGTTCGGTAATCCTGGACCTATGTTTTTTTAATAGATTGTAATAAAATGGTAACCCTGCCTGCGCTATCGGTATACGTTGGCAGGTCATGATGATGATTAGATATGCGACACAGGGTGATGTGTTAAACAATTGGAGGTTGAACACGCACTGTATTGACACATTGCCTTGTACAAAAGGTACCACCTTCAAGTAATATATAACAAAGATCAAAGGCGCAGCTCCTTTTTCTTGTACTACGAAAACTAGTGTCGGACTGAATTTTCGGTTTCGGTTTCGGCTAGTTTCGGTCAGAAATTCTACTTTCGGCCTTAGTTTCGGTTTCGGGTAAAAATTGGCCGAATCTTTCGGCCGCGCCGAAACTTTGTGTGTGTGTGTTTGTGTTGTGTTTGTGTCTAACTGAAAGTTGTTTTTTTTTTATAAGCTTACTTCCAAGAGTTTTAACATGTTTTTACATATAAATATATATGACATATTTGTTATATACTTTAATTAGTGTTTATTATTATTAGTTTTTAACTATCTGTGCGTTTGTGTAAATAATTGTGTAAAAAATACACTAGATTTCAGTATAGAAGAGAAATTTTAAATGTGTTTCAGTAAGTTTAGGTTTCGGTTTCGGCTGTAAAACCTGAGGGCCTACCATGAAATATTTTCTGAAATTTTGGGGACGAACGAAACAGATATTTAATGTTAATATTACATAATACGTGCTGTTTAAAATTATTAAAATATCGTTCCTCAGTACTGTTAGAATAGGATTTATGATCAACGAAATGTTAAGCTCCATTTAAAGGGTCGATTTCGGTATGAACAAAAACACGAAATTGAGTCCGAAAATTCGGAATTTCGTTTCATGGTAGACCACCTGTTTCGGTCGGATACTAACGAAAACCTTGTTATGTACACGTATACACATTTACATGGTAATGAAGTATAATTAATAACTATGTTGATGTTCTAATGAACAATCGTGCAGCACACAAAATTTATGTCATTGTCATTAATTTGAATGCTTTTATCGTTATTGGAAATGATGTTTTATGTTTCAACTCATGTGTGATATGATATTTATTTTACCATACATTAGTAAACTAGCTTTGTCTGCGACTTCGTCCACGTGACTGCGATGTATTTTTTTTTAATGGGTGATAATGGAATGGTAACCCCACCCGCGCTATTGGTAAAAAAAAAGGTCATTAGCCCATCGTGACGAATTCAACAAGAATTGTTCACGATGGTTTCCAGGGGGAACCACGTGGAGTTCGACCTGATAGGGCATATTGTTAGCAATGTCGGACTCCATTGCTAATAATTCCTTTCCCCCCACTGCGATGTATTGATATACCCGGATAAATAACAGTTTATGCCCTTGTTTGTCAATATTTTTAATGCTCCTCATTCCTCATACCGTTAGCGCAGGCGGGGTTACCATACCATTTTTACCCATAAAAAAAAGTCCATCCTCCTATTAATTATGTATGTATATGTTTTTTTTTTTAATATAATATATGTATACTTAGTTCTTTAGCTTTCAAATATTTAAAAGGTTTCAACTGACTTCAAAACAGAAGTTTCTCGATTCGGCTCTAATTTCTTTTGTTTTATAACTTCGTCAGTTATTAACCGATTTGAAAGTTTTTTATCTGAAATGATATATTGGTCCCATAAATTTCAGTTGAGGTCCGGTAGTGTAGTTTTTAAAAGAGAATAACAGATGCTTGTGACAAGTAATTCTTTTTTGTGGAATGCAAAATTATATAATTTCTAAAGTCGATTAAAAAAAATTTCCGCCAGGTGGCTGAGCGCCTGAACGTCGACATCCGTCGTGGTTTATCATGGCGCGAGGCCAACGACCGGATGAACTTCGTGGGCCCCAACGAGTTCCAGGTGAAGGAACAGGATCCCTTGTGGAAGAAGTACATAGAGCAGTTCCAGAACCCGCTGATACTGCTGCTACTTGGTGAGTTCAATGGCTGGTAATCCTATTAATTTTGCGAAAGTTTCTAAAGATGGATGGATGATTGTTTGTTACTCTGTCACGTAAAAACTACTGTACGTATTTGAATGGAATTTGGTGCATAGTGAAAAAAAAAGAACGATAGAAATATTATTATTCAATTAGACTTAGATTTAAGTATTTTTAATCGTCATTTTTTCATTAATTTACCGCCCATTCGGAAAACAATTTCAGCCAAGAACGAGCAAGACACTCAGCTGTTGCTTTTTTCAAATAGTTAAATAGTTCTATAAATTATGAATTTGTATAAACACAAACTACTAAGCAGTAGAAAATTATAAAATATTAAATATATAATTAAATAGGTAGGTTATACCCTAATTTGGCGCATAGGCTACATTATACTTACTGATTCGGGCGAATTCGTAGAACAAAGTTAGTTAATTATAATTAATTATAATTAATAATAAAGGTGCTACACAATAGGATACCGTGTGATAGAAGGCACCAGGCAATTAACATCGGGGGGTAGTATCCAGAATATTCTAGCTCGAGGCAATTTAGAAATCTGTCAGAATTAGTGGGTACAGTACGGAATCGGTACATTTTAGGCTACTTAGAATAGCAAACAAGCTGACGACGCACCCGATGGAAAATGGTAACTGTCGCCTATAGACTAGAGCAGTAACATGGACATAACGGAGTATACTGTTCCATCCATGATAACTCCCAATACCTTATATGAGGATTATGGTATTATGCCTCTATACCCTGTAAATTCACTGCCATATCGCACCCTTCAAACCAAAACACTGCTTCACGGTTGAAAAACGAATGGGACGATATAGGTAACGACGACAGAGGTACCCAAGTAAACGACTTTTGTACAAAGTCTCTCTCTGGTAAAATTATGATAATGAATCGTCATTATCTTGGTACCCCATGGATCACCATGGGATACCAGTACATAAGTTGCTTCGCTGTATTGCGGATTCAGCGAAACTCCAAACCTCTTTATCAAATTGATTCTTTATTGCACTTGTAAGTTACATATAAAATAATGTATTTATAAATGTTGTGAGCAAGGGTGGACTTATCTCTGACAGAGATCTCTTCCAGTTAACCCAATACAGTGAGAAAGCATTTCGTTAGCGGGCAGTTGAAGTACTACAACTATTAATACATAAATAAATATACAGTTAAATATTAAAATATATAATAAAATATTACATAAATACATACACTATAAATACATATAATACCTACCTACTTAAATAATAAATGTTAAAATAAGTTAATATACTACTTACATTAGAAATTTCGTTTAATGATTTTTAGATTTATATTTAAAGTCTTATCAAAGGAACACTCGTTTTTGGTACTAATACAAAAATTTGCATGTATATTGTACACTAGCAATACTTTCGCATCACTGAGTTCATTGGCTGCTTAATGAACGAATAGAGGAACTGAGCATACTAGAATCGTATGTCTAACTAGAGGTACGAGTAGCTCTGCTAAATGTTCGCTAAGTACGCGCCTGGAATGATTAAGTATGTTACTAACGTTTTTTAACGTTTATTTATTGGATACTTGCTCTATTTCGCAACTTTGTCGACATGAATGTTTATTTAAAATATCCTATGTTTTAAGTTAGGATACAACCTATCTATGTACCAAGTTTCATTAAAATCCGTCCAGTAAATTTGCGCGAAAGAGTAACAAACGTCCATCCAATCTCACAAACTTTTGCATTTGTAGTAACAGTAGTTTTTTAATGGACGACAATGAAATGGTAACCCCGCATGCGCTAATGGTATACGCTGGCGGGGCACCAGTGAGGAATGGTAAATAAGAATGAAAGTGCGGGTTAGTTAACCCATTGTGATGAATATATAACCTGGAGTTCAGCACCATGGTTTCTAGAGGGGACCACGTGAAGGTCGACCTCATAGGGTAAATTGCTAGCAGTGAGACTGGTTGTCCGTATCCTTCCCTTCCCTAATCCTTTCCCGCTATGTGCCATTTAGAAAAAGGACAAAAAAATTAGTATTTTTTGTATACATACTAGCTGACCCCGTAAACGTTGTTTTACCACTTATTGCGAAATATAAAAATCGCAATTAAAATACAGGGGTTGATCGTAAAACGATGAAAATTTAAAGTTGTATGTATTTTTCAATGCTAAATCATAATAAAATAAAATGGGAAAAATTTGTCAAAAAAATAAAAAAAAATATTTTGGGGAGGGTCATCCTTATCATTGACGGGTATGAAAAATAGATGTTGGCTGATTCTCAGACATACCCAATATGCACACAAAATTTCATAAAAATCGGTAAAGCCACAAACACCGTACACAAACAAAGTAACAAACACTGTGACACTAGAATTTTATATATATATTTCAGCATAAAGAAATAGAATTTTCAATATTCAAGTCGCATTAATATGATGCGTTTACAATGTTTGCTTAGTTAATACTCGTTCCGGCTACAATGTATTTAATTGCGGGTCATTGTCACCGAATAACCATACACTTGTTTGAAACTGGTTGGTGGTTACCACGTTTTTTGCCAGCAGCGTCACGGTTCGTTGTGCTTATTAAAGTGGAGTTAGACCAAGCGAGCGAGTCTTCGTTCTCTTGCTATTTCTATTTTTATTTAGTGTAAACAACTTTTTGCTAATTGCCAACTGATTTTGATTTTTTTTTTACAATTAAGGTTTATCCTCGTCTTGTTATGTGTTCCGATTCGTTGCGGAACAAAAAAAAAATTGAGTTTTAAATTTAAATATTACAAAAAACCTATTCCCAAAGAATTCGTTATTTATTTATTTAAATTTTACTGAATATAATAAAATGTGTGTTATAAAAGTCGGAAATAATGTTATTATAGGCATTGTCTACCAAATTAACTTTAGAATGATTATTGTTCTGGTAAAGGCTTTTTCTTTGCTTCATCTGTCATACTTCGATTTCTTTTAGGCTCATTTAAAAATATGTCTAATTTGGATCTGACTTATTATTTCAATTCTATCTTAATAAAGATCGATACGGGAGTAAATATTGCCAATGAAAAAGAATTATAACAATTAAAGCAAAAAAAAAAAAAAGGTAAAGATATTGCAAAATGCACCATGGGAGACTTTGTATAAAAGTGGATTACTTGGGTACATAAAGTGCCGTTGTTCATCAGGTTCCCCTATACATGATTATTTGAAGAACATTTCAATTATATTTCTCTTATGTAGTTCATATATATGTCACTGAAAACATACGTTGCAGCTGTGTACAGTTGCATAACATTTACTCAAATGCAGTCTAAGTGTTTTTTTTTTTATATTGTATTGTTTAAATCACCTATGAACATATTTGTTGTACGTCTTTGAATAACCAACAAACGACATCTTTTTTTTTGTCATTGACATAATTAAGTACGTAGGTTTTATTGTGTCAAAACATTTTTAACCGACTTTACAAGGAAGGAGGTTCTCAATTCGGTTGGATTTTTTTAACCCTTTTAGTGTCATTGATTTTTACTCATATCTACTTAAAAATACCAAAGAAATCTTTGTCGTGTTGATGTCGTTTACCGTTGCCCCTAAAAAAACTGTATCTCCTCCAAAAATTATCCAACTTTAATATTTTTTTTTTTACAGCAAGCTAAACAGCGACTGATTTCACGAGCGCTATGACGCTCGTGGCACTTTTAGTAGCAATGCGCATGAGCGCGCTGGCGTTCGTCGGCACTCAAAGGGTTAATGTTTGATGTAAAATGAGGGTATCATTACTCTATAAACCGACTTGGAAAATTCTTTCTTTATTTAAGGGTGTGCTTACAGATTTTTTTTAGTGGATTATAATGGCATGGTAACCCCGTCTGCGCTAACGGTATACGCTGGTGGGGCACCAGTGAGGGATGATAAGTGAGAATGAAAAAGCAAGTCAGTTAGCCTATCGTGATGAATGTATCTGGATTTCAACATAATGGTTTTCAGGGCGGACCAAGTGGAGGTCAACCTGACAGGATATATAGCTGGTAACGCGACTGTTAGTCCGTATTACTAACAATTCCTTCCCTCCGGTATGATTACAGATTGCTTCAAATTTTACCATAATTAGAACAGTAGTTCAGTTTTTAAATCTAATCAATTGATTTGGATACAATTGATATCGATTTTTTGTAAAGTAAAATGAATGAATGGATGAATAGAAGCTCTTTCTTGTTTCCTTCAAAGAATGTTACAGATTATAAAGGTTAATATTAAAAAAAAAATGTGGAACGCGATCTTTCCTAAATTATACACAGTTTACAATGAAAGCATCGGTATTACTAACTTATCATTAGTTAGGCGCCGTTTAATCACTGCAGTTTCATAATACTAAGCTTATAATGTTTTCAGGTTTACTCAATAAAATAAAGCGTATCTAATATTAATAAATCCATTTATATTCCTAGTAAGTTAATAAATATATTTAAAAGGCCAGCAACAACGCACAAGCGACTCATTTCGTGCTGCAGGTGTTTATGAACGACGGTAGCCGTTTTCCACCAGGTGTACTGTCTGCTTTCCCTCCTTGATAATAAAAAAAGTGACTAATAAATATTTTCTTCTTTTATTTTATAATTTTTCGTGTCTTAGAGACCGCAAAAGTAATTAGTGACTCTCCTTCCGTGTCGCCTACAGATTTGAGCAGTACCATGGACATTACAGAGTGTACTGTTTCGCCCATGGTTACTCCCCATGCGTTGCCATTCATGAGGACTAAGGTGTTACTCCTCTGTACTTTCTTAATTCACTGCTATATCCTACCCATAAAACCGAAACATAGCCATGCAAATATGGTACAACTGCTTCAAGGTAGAAACAGGTACCCAAGCAAACGATTTTTGTACAAAGTGTCCCTCAGATATAATACTTGAAAGAGGTAAAAACCCTTAGGAATTAAAAAAATATTTCTTTTGTCCACAGGGTCGGCCGTCGTCAGTATTTGCATGCGGCAATTCGATGATGCCATCTCAATAACGGTCGCCATAATCATCGTGGTGACGGTGGCGTTCGTGCAAGAGTACCGCTCCGAGAAGTCGCTTGAGGAGCTGAACAAGCTAGTACCGCCGTCATGCAACTGGTGAGTTAGTACTCGCCATCTGTGATGATGATAATACAGCTGTTAACTGTTCACTGCTGAACCTAAGCTATAGGAGTGTTTTGCCAGTAGTTGCCAAACTTAGCAGGTGGGTTGACAACCGCAGTTTGACTTTGGTAATGTTTTAAGAAAAATGTTACTGCCCATCTCTCGATCATTTAGTTCTCTTAGTCGCCTCTTATGACACCCACAGGAAAGAAAGGGGCGGTCCATTTTGTTAATAAAAACAAATTTTAATAAACAGCTCTGAACATTTTTTTTTAATTTACCATTCTCTATTCAAACGGAGGTATCACCTCCGTAATTCATGATGACTTACTAATAAAGTTGTACCTTTCGCAAAATTTTCCTTATAGGAGAAGCCTATGTTCAGCCGTCGACACTTAATGGGGTGATATGATGATGATGTTGAAAATTTTTTTCCACGGAAGCAGAGTCATGGAATATATCTATATATATGTATATAAAAATTAATGCCACTTTTCGTTGTAATTTTATAACTCAAGAACGTACTCACCTATTCAAACCAAATGTTTAGGCTTTGTTCGCAATATTTAGTAGATGGTTTATGTGAAGTTTGCACAAAATCGGTCGAGAGGTTCTTCATTTATCACATTTTTTGTAACAAATGAATTCAATAAATAGCGGATCATTTTGATAATGGGGATTTTTGTGTCAAATTCAAACTTTTTTAAGATGGAGATAGTGCTATCAAATTGAAACTTTTTTCAGTGTTGACCGTATAAGCATGTTGTTATGTCATTCATGCGGTCATTTCATTTCTAACGTGCTTCGATTAAAGCAAATTGTCAGCGATATTGATGTTATTTTTTTTTTACTATTTCACTTTATACGTAGTGAAGCACGTACTGGGCCGCTAGTATTTTATATATATGTATTTATATTGGTTCATATAAAAAGTACCGTGCTTATAGTACTTGTAGGCACAGTATTTTTTCTGTTGGTATGTATAAGTTCTACTCGTTATAATAGAGAGAGGCCACATCTCTTGTCGACCTCGTCGCGTTGAAGAGGTCTACCTTGATCTTCATTTTGTTATCATTACTATATTATACTTACCAGTATTTTATTAAGGTTTTGTATCTAGTTACAAGTTTTATATAAATTTATATGAAAATGAAGAGGAAAGACAGATAAGATTAAATACAAGAAGAAAAGATGTGGTATATACTTTTTGTCTCAGACTCCGAGTTGCAAAACAATGTGCCTTCTACCAGTCAATCAAATTATTTAATAGATTACCCACTTATATGAAAATCACTGATAATTTCAATACCTTCAAAACTAAACTAAGAGCTATTTTGTTGATATTTTGTTATACTTTAGACGAATTTATTAATTGTGTGTTTATTAATTTATCTACTATCTATTATAAGCTATCATTTTGTTTTTTACTCTTTATTTTTTAATGGACCTTATTGTTTATTTCTTTACTTTTTAGTTTATCTAATATTGTAACTTATTTCAAACACAATTGTATGATTGTTATTGAATAAATAAATGAAATGAAATTTATTACACTTGAACAAGGGATACAGCGATTAGTTTAACAAATTATTAGCAAGGATGGGCTTATCTCTAAAAGAGATCTTTTCCAGCCAACCCAGTGCAGTTAGAAAGAAAATGATAGTTTTATACGCTTATGTTGTGGAATGACCTTCTTACTGAGATTTTTCCTAGAGACTACAGCATGGGGTTCTTAAAAATAGTGTAACAAAGTTTCTAAACGGTCGACAACGTGCCAGTGATATACCTGGTGTTACAGGTGTTCTTAAGCTATCTTAACGCCGTTTATCATCAGACGGGCCGTATGCTTGTTTGCTATAAGAGTATAAAATTCTCTTTTTTTTATCTGAAAGGATATACTTACAGATTGTTCTCATAGAAATTTTATATAAATCAGTTCAGTCGTTTAGTTTTTAAATCGGGATAACTGGTTTTATAATAATTGAAGTCGGTTTTTTGTGGTACTTTGGATGTTTAATTTATTAAATCGTCAGCACAGCCGTACAGTTGATAATAGTTATGTACCATATATATATGTTATCTATAAATACAATCTTTGGTGTTACGTGGTTTACATATCAGATATGTGTACATACATAGATACATACTAACAAACCTGTGAAAATTTCAAGCCTACATTCTGATTTTCGCCATACCAATAGTCACATATTTTGCACCACATCTGCCCTTCATACGCTTTCTGTTTTTACCTAATGGTTAGCTGATAGAGAATGCCATGTGGCAATAAGCTCGCCACTTGTACAAAGTTTTATTGTGCAATAAAGAATAAATAAAGAAATAGTATGTATGTATATCAATAATTACTAGTACCTCATTCGAGTATTCTGACACTTTCTTATGGTTGACTGGGAGAGAATGTTTTTAGCATTAAGTCCGCCATGTACCTACACATATATGTACTTCTGTTTAGCACTACTACTGCCCACTCACTACTTCCTATGCCACTGTGTTAGGTTGACTGGAAGAAATCTCTTTTAGAGATAAGTTCGCCTTTGCTAACTGTGTTATTAACTTATTGTTGTTACTGTATGTTTTAGTGCAATAAAGAATATATATAAATCAATAAATAAATAAATATTACGCGGTCAAAGTCGCGGGTGTCAACTAGGTAAATAAATAAAGCATTAGGTCATGTGTTATCTATAAATGCAATCGATTGGATTCTATTTGTGGACGTCCCGAAACTGTTATTAAGACAGCTCGGCTTTTATTCGTCTCACGTCTCACGTTTTACCATCTCCGCGGGTTTATTTTTAGACAGTTACAATTTCCTAGTAAATTGTCCGTTATCTTTATTATTCCATGTTTTCATCGTTGTCCTACCCTTTTATTTATTTAACTCTTTATTGCACCAAAAACATAAAAATAAACAATGACATATAAACAATTCGTCTGAAATACAGTAGCATGGAGTACAGATTAGAATATACATATAAAGATACAAAAGGCGGTTTTATCGCTAGGGCAATCTCTTGTAGACAACCTTTGGTTAATGGAGAACATATATAACCCCTTTCCCAATTATTATTTGGGGTCGGCGTGATTTTTTTTTTATTCACATAGAAAGATTTGGCTTATAGTTTTACAACTGGCCGACTGCCTGACGTTAACCCGCTTTGGGAATATTTATTATTTCATATTTTATTTTCGTTAATATACTAGCGGCCCGTCCCGGCGTCGCACGGGCGGACATTTTTACATTTTAAAAAGTGACCATTAAGGCTGCACACACGACGGAATCTTAAAAATGGAGTAACTTCTGTCGTTTTCCCAACATTTCCCTTCACTGCTCTGCTCCTGTTTATCGTAGCGTGATGAAAAGTATACTATAACCTGCCCAGGAGTATGAACAATAATTGTACCAAGTTTCGTTAAAATCCGTCGAGTAGTTTATGTTTCTATAACAAACATACAGACAGACAGACAAAAATTTTACTGATTGCATTTTTGGCAACTTAGAATGGCAAACAAACTGATGGCCCACCTGATGGAAAGTGGTAACCGTCGCCTATAGACATGAGCAATACCATGGACATAACAGAGTATACTGTTCGCCCATGATACCCCCCATGCGTTGCCATTCCTGAGGACTCAGGTGTTCTTCCTCTGTACCCAGTAAATTCACGCCATATCCCACCCTTCAAACCGAAACATAGCCATGCAAACACAACTGCTTCACGGTTGAAACACAAATGGGACAGAGGTACCCAAGCAGTCGACTTTTGTACAAAGTCTTCCTCTGGTATATCCTTTTAGAAGAAAAAAAAGAATTTTCCAAATTGATTTATAACTGAAAGAGTTATGAGGTTAAAAACATTAAAGAAATGCAACCGAATTGAGTACTTCTTTTTTGAAGTCTGTTCAAAAGTAATAAGCAAATGCGTTGACGTATATATGAATTTTTTTAAGAATAAATTGTCTCCGTGTCATATTTGTATTTTTCTAAGAACAATTTGGTATTTTTTACGATGGTAAGACGTCTGTCTGCTTGAGTATTTTTATTTTAGTTGGCTTAATAGTAGTTTTATTATTTATAGTCGGTCGTTTCAGGCAGAAAAACCTGTGACACTGTGGTCTTTCCATGATCTTTTGTGCTCGCCCCTTTTTTTTTAAACTTCGCTGCTAATTCCTTATCAGTGATAGGAATTTTAAGATGTTTTTTTGTAGCTTTGTTTTTTTATCTCTTTAGGATATGAAGGGTGTTTTCCAAAGGAGATATCTGATTTATATATGGCTATATTAGTATTTTTGTCATTCCAAATTCCACGTCGCTTATAAATAGTTATTTATATAGATTAAAGTTACTTATGTATCTATCCACTGTTATAAATTGCGATGGAATTACATGACATGACCATTGTACGATATGGGTGTTTAACTCGCTTGCTCATTTAGCAATAACCATAAAATTGCTAGGTACAACAATGTAACGTGCAGAGCAAAAATTACTGGCAACTTCCTTCAACTAATTATATGTTGCAAAGGTAATTCGTATTATAAATTGTTCTCTGGTAAACAGAACACGGTGTCAACACATCTTTTTAACCGTCTTCAAAAAAAGGTTCTACGGTGGTATTTTTTATGTTTGTTACCTCATAACTCGCTATCTTTTTTTATCTGAAAGTATATATTATCAGATTGGGTCCATACTTTTAAAATCGGTTTACTTTGATTTTTAAATTAATGTAATTTTTTTTTTTATTAAGTCCTTAGTAAGGCTATTTGAATTTAGCGGAATAAGCTGACGGCCCACTTAATGACAATTGGTATACTGTCATATACATACATATATATGGAAAGTATTATATATATATATATATATATATATATATATATATATATATATATATATATATATATATATATATATATATATATATTTATGCAACTTAGAATGGCAAACAAGCTAACGGCCACGAAAGCACAATTGCTTCACGGTAGAAACATGAATGTTTAAAAAATTATATCATATGTCAAAATACACTGATGCTCATTGTACAATTTATGAGTGGATATATAGTGTTATTCTCACATATCAAACTGAACAAGCACACACATATCAAGCACATCTGTTTCGTTGCAGAAACGCGAGTTGGACAGTCTACTAAACTTAATCATTACTCTTGATTTTCCGCAGTTTCCGAGAAGGCAACTTGGAGCACTTCCTAGCACGAAGCCTCGTCCCCGGCGATATAGTCCACCTGAACGTTGGCGACCGTGTGCCGGCTGATCTTCGCCTCTTCGACGCTACCGACTTGGCGATCGACGAGTCTTCGTTCACGGGAGAGACCGAGCCGGCCGTGAAGAGTGTGTTACCGAATAAAGCCGCTGCCGGCAGGGTGAATAAGGATAACATCGCGTTTATGGGTACCTTGGTGCGATGCGGTAATGCTAAGGTAAATATAATACCATAATGTTTTACAATTACGCCAATTGCCTGCTTCTCAAGGTCGTAGCTAGGGAGGAGCATTGAGGGACAATGCCACACATTGTTTTACTGAAATACCCTACAGCCTTAATGGTCGCGTACAACGCGGATTCAGAGATTCTCCCACGAACACTTAGGTTATGGAATGAGCTTCCTGTCGTGGTTTTCCCAAGAGACTACAGCATGGGGTTCTTGAAAAGGGGGGTAAAAAAGTTTCTTCAGGGTCGGCAACGCGCGCGAAATACCCCTGGTAAAAGCATGTGTTCATAGGCTACGGTAACCGCTTATCACCAGGTAGTATAAAAAAAAACTTATCAACTTTTCGCGTTTGGAAATTGCAACGGCATATTTACTCGATTGATAGTACTTAATCCAGAATTTTGAGATTTATCCCATATTCTTACAGGGTATAGTAGTAAGTACGGGAGAGAGGTCCGAATTTGGAGATATATTCCGCATGATGCAAGCGGAGGAAGCCCCGAAGACTCCGCTCCAGAAGTCGATGGATACCCTCGGTGCTCAACTGTCTATGTACTCGTTCTGCATCATCGGCTTCATCATGGTCGCTGGATGGCTACAAGGGAAGGCGTTGCAGGACATGTTCACGATTGGAGTGAGCTTGGCAGTTGCTGCTATACCAGAAGGTAGTTCTTTTTCTAAGTAACTTGAAATAATCAATAATCTGACTCAATAAACAATCTGAATAAGCTTTTTCCCACATTTTAAATCGAAAAACTGCTTCGCAGGCAGGTTGGTAACTGCAGTTAGGCTTTAGTGATATTTATGAGGGACACTGCTGCCCAACCCTCGACTATTAAGTTCCCTTAATCGCCTCTTACGACACCCATAGGAATGGAAGGGATGGCCCTTTCTATGCCGGGACCACATGGCGAACTTTACCGTAATGTTAATGATTAATAATCTATTCCAGGCCTACCAATAGTGGTAACGGTGACGTTGGCTCTTGGCGTGATGCGGATGGCGAAACGGAACGCAATCGTCAAGAAATTGCCCACGGTAGAGACACTTGGTTGCGTCAATGTTATATGCAGCGATAAAACTGGTTAGTACCGTGATGAGAGCTTAATGGTATATTATATATTACTCTGACTTTGAAACCTTGTGTCAGTTTGTTTCAGACTAATTTTGAGAATAGGAAGGGGGGGGGGGTATTGTTTCTAATGGGTACTAGTGGTTTTACTGCTGGCAATGTAATCCAATAACAAATTAAATGAATCCAAGTTACCTCAGTATCCCCTCTCTCCTTTCATTGATGCGTTCTAATGTGTCTAGATATAGGTATATCTATTGTTCATAATAGTTGGCAAAACCCTCTGATTTGGGAGGAAGGGATTATTAGTAATGGGGAGTTGCAATATAGCCTGTCAGGTTGACTTCCACACGGTTCTTCCTAGAAACCATCGTGGTTAATTCCAGGTGAATTCGTCACGATGGGCTAATTGACCTGTTCTCATTCTTACCTTTCATCACCCTCACTAGTAACTTGCTTGCGTATATCAATAGCGCGAGCGGGGTTACCATTTCATTGTCAGCCATTAAAAAAACCCCCTCTGATTACCTGGTTACGAATTATAATCGTGAGATTTATTTTTATTTTAGTGGGTGATAATGGAATGGTCATGCCGCTTGTGCTAACAGTATACATTGGTTGGGTACCAGTGAGAGATGAGAATGAAAAGGCCGGTTAGTTAGCTCATCGTGATGAATACACCAGGAATTCACCTGGAAATAAACATGATGTTTTCCAGGGGGGACTGCAAGGAGGTAGACCTGGCTGTATGTTGCTGGCAATGGGGAAGCTAGACCCCAATTACTAACAAACCCTTTCCTCCTTATAATCGTGAGTTTATTTATTTGTTTTATACAGGTACCCTGACACAAAATGAGATGACTGTAACGACAATATCGACATCTGGCGGGCACATCGCGGAAGTCACCGGCACCGGTTACAATGCCTGCGGCGACGTGCAGTTGCGCGCGTACAAGGGACGCGACCTCGACGTGGCCAGGATGGGTGTGCACAGCATGTTAGAGGTATTTGATAATAAGAATGTTTGATGTTTCATTATAAACCTACCAGAGAGAGACTTTGCTTGGGAACCACTGTTCCACTGGTGATTCTGTCATCAAGTAGTTGTAATTGCGAAGTAGTGAAAGTACAGGATAAACAAAAGCATAACATCCTAATTCTCAGGAATGGCAGTGCGTCAAGGGTACCATGGGTGTCTCAGTATTCTGTGACGACCATCTTCTGTTTATGTCTATAGTCGACGGTATACCGCATTCCATCAGAACGATTACAAATAATAGTTTAGACTTTTGATCAGCTAAGCTAACAGATTGTTTACTATTGCATTTTGAATTGTATAAAAATATATGCAAGATCTAAGCTATTGTACTTTGTTGTTTCTCCGCCAGGTGGCAGTAGTGTGCAACAATGCGGTTATCCGCAACGACACATTGTATGGGCAACCGACAGAGGGCGCGCTGGTCGCCTGCGCAATGAAGAACGGTATGGAAGACGTGCGAGACCAGTACACCAGACTGCATGAAATTCCGTTTAGGTGAGTACTGAAAACTAAATAGGTCATATACTACATAGGTCTCTCCCGTAGGTGGGGTTGTACCAATAGTGTAGTATAGTTGTCACGCTTGGCAGGCGGATTGGCAACCACAGTTAAGTTATTGTGATGTTTTAAGAGGGACGCTACTGCTCAACCTTCGACCATTATGTTCCCTTAGTCGCCTCTTATGACATTTGATTCTCCAAATCCGTTATAAATTATTTCATTTTACAGTTCTGAAACGAAAATGATGGTGGTGAAATGTGCCCCAAAATTCTCGTCAGAGGGAAAACCTAAAGAGGAAGTGTTTGTGAAGGGGGCGATAGAGAAAGTGCTGCCTCTGTGTACGCGGTACATTGATAGCGCGGGCAACTATGCGCCTATGACCAAAGATAAGCAGAATGATTTTCTCAGTGAAGCGTACAACATCGGGAGAATGGGTGAGAGCATATATTATGTTTATTATTTAAGTCATCAATACTTATAAAAATATTACGGCCTTATATTAATAAACATATATAGTGAAAATTATAAAAATAAAATGGGCCCATAACCTGTTGAATACATATTAATAGCGCTTAGTAGCTGTTTTCATTGATTATTTTATATGCATAATATGTTATATATTCATAACATTTCATTGATTTTTTTAATGATCATATATATAACAATAATTTTCAAAATAAAATGGGCCCCTAACGTGTCTTGGATATCCATAAGTAGTGTTTTGTAGTTGTTTTAATTATTTATTTAATGAAGTTAATTTACTTAAAAATTGACAACGTTTTTGTTGATATGTTTGTTTTATATAATGTATGTATGTTTTATATTTTGTAATGTTTTCTTGACGCCACTTCAGAGTTATTTTCTAAAATTGACCGTCTACAAAATTTATGCATTCGTTTCGTTTATGGTTTGCGTAAGTTTGATCATGTCTCCAAATATCGAAAAGAATTGAAATGGTTACCTTCACGTTTTCGATTGAATGTCCATATACTGACGCTTCTTTACAATATCTTGCATAATCCCTCCATTCCTTGTTATCTCCGCGAGCGTTATGAATATTTATATTCAAGAGATAAACCACTTCGCCCTCAGACACGATTACTTCTAAGAACTCCACCACATCATACTCAGGCTTTTGGGAATTCCTTTACAGTTATATCCATTCGACTATGGAATAGTCTGCCATCCGAAATAAGGGAATCGGCAAGTATAGGCATGTTTAAGCGTCGTCTAAGAGAGCATTACTTATCACTATGCTGACGTATTATGTATATGTGTATGTATATTTATATATGTTTATATGTGTATATATATGTATGTGTATATGTATGTTTGTGTAAATATATGTGTATGTTTACAGGGTATTTTATGTAATTTATAATGTGTAGTTTGTATTATTCTTTGTGTATACATAACTTATGCGTTTATGCAATATATGCAGATCGTATGACTGCCTATTTTTATTTATAAAATAACACATTAACATGGAAAGGTTTTGCTGGAAGAAATCTCTTATTAGAGATAAGCTCGCCTTTGTACATTATGTTTATAATGAATTGTAATTACCAGTATGTTTTGTGTACAATAAAGAATAAAGTATATAATCAGATTTTATATTTATAGATAAACTTGAAGAAAGGTAAAATTAATGTAGGAGTGTAATACATGGTCTTAACATGGGTCGTAATAAGAACTTTTAAAAACCGATTTAGAATTGATAATTTTCGTTGATCGTGTAATTAATATTATGTAAATATGTAAACTATAATGCGAAAAGATTTGAATACTTGTTTGTGTAATTAAATTGAAATTTAAAAATTAACAGTTTTAAAAACATCTTTCAAATAAAAAATGCTACACTACCAATGAGTCACATGGATTGTTTTTTATTTTTATTGTTTCTTTTGAAATTAGAGGTCTAATTATTTGCTCGTGTGAAGTCGAAGTAAGTTTTTAGGAAGACAGACAAATTAAAACCTCCACTTTTTTTTATACAACTTAGAATGGCAAACAAGCTGACGGCCCACCTGATGGAAAGTGGAACTGTCGCCTATACACAAGTACCATGGACATAACAGAGTATACTGTTTCGCCCATGATACCCCCCATGTGTTGCCATTCCTGAGAATTCAGGTGTTATTCCTCTGTACCTAGTAAATTCACGCCATATCCCACCCTTCAAACCGAAACATAGCCATGCAAACACAACTGCTTCACGGTCAAAAAATGAATGGGACAGAGGTACCCAAGCAATCGACTTTTGTACAAAGTCAGTGAAACAGTGGAGCAGCGATTAAATTCCGTCGCTCGTAGGTCTCCGCACGATCGCGATGTGCCGCGGCGAAAGTCTGGAGGCGCTGACGTACACGGGCGTGTGCGGCGTGTGCGACCCCCCGCGGCCCACCGTACGCGCCGCTGTCGCCACCTTGCGGCGCGCCGCCGTCGCTGTCAAGATGGTCACCGGCGACGCGCGGCCTACTGCACTCGCTGTTGGTCGGTATAAACCACTGCACGTTACATACTCAACACTACATACTATACATACTCCTCACTACAGGGGCGAAAGGGATTGTTAGTAATGACGTCTAATAGCCCCATTGCCGTAGGGGGGGGGAGTGATGGAAACTGAGAATTCCATTGCTAGCAATATACCCAACCAGGTCGATCTCCTCGCGGTTCCCCCTGGAAACTATCATGGTTAATTCCTGATGAATTCATCATGATGGGCTAACTGACCTATTTTCATTCTCATCTATCACCCTTCACTGTTGCCCCGCCAGGGTTACCACTCCATCTTCATCCAATAAAAAAAACCATGATGGTTTTCAGGGGGAATTACGTGAAGGTCGACCTGAGAGTGCATTTTGCTGGCAATGGGGCTATTTTTTATTTGATGGGTGAAAATGGTATGGTAACCCCGCTTGCGCTAACGGTATACGCCAGCGGAGCACCAGTGAAGGGTGATAGATGCGAATGAAAACAGGCCAGTTAGCCCATCATGATGAATTCATCAGGAATTAACCATGGTAGTTTGCAAGGAGAACCGCGAGAAGGTCGATCTAGAAAGGTAGAAGGTCGGTCGAGGTCTCAGTCTCCATTACTAACAATCCCTTCCCCCCAGTGTACTGTACTGTACTTATCACAGTATAGTGTAATCATAATAGTGTATAGAAATTATAATAAACACACGCTCCAAAACATTTCTAATCTATGTCTGTAACAACGTTTAGAAATATGTGTACATGTGCCACGGAAAAAATGGTGATTTGCCATTTCCTTACACATTTATTTATTTCACTTCTCTCACAAAAAAAAAACATGTCAAACAGAAACGTCGAGAATCTTATTCAAGCAACATTACAAGATTTTGTTTAGGGCAAGGAAGGCATTTTTTGTGTTATTTTATTAATTTAAAAATAAGAAAATAAATTTAAATTAATTAATAACAATCCCTTCCCCGGCGGAGATGATTAGAACAGTGGTGATACCTGTAGTTAAGAATAAAATTTCTGATATAACAGACAAAAATAATTATAGGCCAATCTCCTTAGCTACTGTTGTCTCAAAGGTTTTTGATAGCATACTTAACTCTCGACTGACTCAGCATATAAAACTTCATGACAACCAGTTTGGCTTTCAAACTGGACTGTCAACTGAAAGCGCTGTTCTTTGTGTTAAGCATGCTATTAGATACTATACAAATCGAAAAACGCCAGTCCATGCATGCTTCCTCGACCTGTCGAGAGCTTTTGATCTGGTTTCTTATGACATCTTGTGGAAAAAGCTCGAAAATTTTCAATTACCATCAGAGCTCATAAATATCTGCAAATATTGGTATGGAAATCAGCTCAATAGCGTGCGATGGGCGGGGACTATGTCGCAGTCATACAGATTGGAGTGTGGTGTGAGGCAAGGAGGGTTGTCTTCGCCGGTACTATTTAATCTGTATATTAATGATCTGATTGTTGCTTTGAGTGGTACCCGTGTCGGCTGTCACATAGACGGCATTAATGTTAATAATATAAGTTATGCTGATGACATGGTGCTGCTCAGCGCATCGATATGTGGACTTAAAAAACTCGTGGCTATTTGCGAGTCATATGCTGCATGCCTCGGACTGATATACAATGCTGTGAAAAGTGTGGTCATGGTCTTTGAGAGCAGAGGCAAAAACTCAATAGGCTTTCCAGATATTAAACTTAAGGGTATAGCGCTGAAGAGGGTGTATAAATTTAAATATTTAGGACATGAATTGGCCTCGGATCTCAAAGATGATGATGACATTGAACGGGAGCGGAGGGCGCTGGCGGTGAGGGCGAATATGATAGCACGCAGGTTTGCGCGGTGCTCTAGACAAGTTAAAATTACGTTATTTAGATCACATTGCACATCTTTCTATGCATGCAACCTGTAGGCTGTATATACTCAAAAATCCTACAGCGATCTCCGTATCCAATATAATAACGCGTTCAGGGTGTTGATGGGGCTGCCACGATTCTGCAGCGCGTCAGGGATGTTCGCTGAGCATCGTGTAGATTGTTTTTATGCCACGATGCGAAAAAGGTGTGCATCCCTGGTGCGCAGAGTACGTGCCAGCACCAACAGCATCCTGAGTATGATAGCAAGCAGGCTGGACTGTGTGTACGTTAATCGCTGCTGCGCAATTTCCAATGGAATTGTGCAGCGGTGATTATCTGTATACTGCTTAATATATTGTATGTGTGTATGTGTGTGTATGTGTATTGTGTATGTAAATTTACTAACATTAGTTTTTAAGAATATTGTTACTAATAAATATTTAATGAACCAAAAAGTCTAAAATAAAAATTATTATTATTATTATTTAATAAAAAAATGATATTTTAATTTTCGAATGAAATTATGTTTAAAAAAAAATGCCTTTTTAACTGACACAGATATTATCTGTTTCAGTTCAAAAGTTACTGCTCAATAAATAAATTGATTTGTATAAAAACTATTGCACGCTAATCTAACTTTCATTTTGGTGACAGCCCAAATGGTCGGTCTGGATGTACTGCACTCGCAGTCACTCTCTGGCGAACAGTTGGACTCCATGACGGATGAAGAGCTCGACAGGATTATTGATACGGTGAGCTTCCACGACTTCATCACCACTTTGCCTTTTCATCTGCCGTGAAACCTTTAGTATTGCAAGCGTCCATAGGCTATACTACCCGTTTACTACCAGACAGGCTGTTGGTCTGTTTGCGACCTTCATGGTATAAAAAAAGCATACCAGTCACTTTTGTGTGTAACGTCTATTTTAATAATAATTTAATATAATTACATTACTGATTATTTATTTAAATTACTCCTCTCCATCCAAAGGTTGCCTGGAAGAGATCGCTCTTAGCGATAAGGCCGCCCATTGTTTTCTCATTGTGATTATTTCTTGTAATTATTTATATTTATAATAAGTTTACTATTGTAATCTTTTGGAGGAAACAATAAAGAGTATTTATCTGTCTATCTATCTATTTAATATTAATCTATTAAACATAGATTAGATATTCATCAATTAATATAGTCGCGACTGATGTTAATACAATGCCAACTGTTTCTACCGTGAAGCAGTTGTGTTTGCATGGTTGTGTTTCGGTTTGAAGGGTGGGATATGGCGTGAATTTACTGGGTACAGAGGAATAACACCTGAGTCCTCAGGAATGGCAACGCATGGGGGGTATCATGGGCGAAACAGTATACTCTGTTATGTCCATGGTACTGCTCACGTCTATAGGCGACGGTTACCACTTTCCATCAGGTGGGCCGTCAGCTTGTTTGCCATTCTAAGTTGTATAAAAAAAAAAAAAAACTAATTTACATACTTTATTATATAGATAGAGCACAGAGTATCAAAAAGGTGTCTAAATTTTGTCAGCTTATTCGACGTTTGGTTGATTTTTTTTGGTTTGTGTTTTTTTAAATCAAAACAATACGCGCTTATTTCAGTGTTGCAAGTAATCGAAAAAAAATTACATGATAAATTATTTGTTATAGGTGAGCGTATTCTACAGGGTGACGCCGAAACACAAGTTGTCGATCGTCAAATCTTTGCAGCGGCTCGGAAACATTGTCGGCATGACAGGTAAATAAGATAGTATTAGCGAGTACGGAATGAACTCCCTATAGAGATTTCCCCAAGGGACTACAGCATGGGTTTTTTTAAATAAGGGATAAAGAGCTGCCTTCAGGGTCGGCAACGCGCGCGTTGTGCCCCTGGTATTGCAAGCGTTCATAGGCTACGGTAACCGTTTATCATCAGGCGGGCCGTATGCTTGTTTGCCACCTTAGTGGTGTAGAAAAGAAGTCAAGTGCGAATCGGACTCGCGCAATAAGGGTTCCGTTCAAAATCATCAATCCTTTTTTGTTGAATAACTACAAATTTCCGGTTTTTAGATTTTTTACTTTACTTGTGCTACATGACATGTAAACAAATTGTATAATTCTGGGTCAACGGGAAGTACCCTATAAGTTTTAATTCCCTTTGCGAAACTCAGAATAAGCGATATAAATGATACATAACCGTATTTTTTTCGTCGATTTGATTTGATTTAAGCTTGATTTTTTTTACTGTTTTAAGAGAATGCTGACTTGAGTATATGTTGTTAATTTCAACTTGATACCTCCATGCGTTCCTAAAAAAAGGGTCTTAACTGACAGACGAACGGACAACGAAGTGATCCTACAAGTGTTCCGTTTTTTATTTCCAGGTACGGAACCAAAAAAAAAATAGAGAAATATGTACTGTATTTTAATAAAAAAATCGTGTGAAACCGAGATAGGTCTCTAGTATATAACAAACCATGCTAGTGAAGTAAGTAGTTTCGAAATCAACGCAGGTGATGGTGTGAACGACGGCGTGGCGCTGAAGCGAGCTGATATCGGTATCGCCATGGGCCGCAACGGGACCGACGTGTGCAAGGAGGCCGCCGACATGATTCTGGTCGACGATGACTTCGCCACCATTATGTACGTGACCATCGGGTCTACCATGAAATGAAATTCCGAAATTCTGGACTCAATTTCGTGTTTTTGTTTATACCAAAATCGGATCAATAAATGGAGTTTAACATTTCGTTCGTCATACATCCTATCATAAAAATCCAAAGGAACAATATTTTAACATTTTTAATATTTCCAAACGGCATGTATTATGTAATTTTAACATCAAATTTGTGTTACGTTTGGCTCCGAAATTTCGAAAAACATTTCATGGTAAGCCCTCATATTTATATTATTTAATTAATACCACACTGAACGTAATAATCAGAGTGTGATTCCGAATTCTCCCTGGAAACTATTGTGGTTTGTGGCATCAGTATCGATCACTAATCACCCCCTGATAGTTATTTTGGAAATATATTTCATGTACAGAATTGACCTCTCTACAGATTTATTATAAGTATAGTTAGATAGATATTAAATATCATTTAACTTTATGACATTTTGAACAGTAAACAAGCTGTTTTTTTTTATGGGTGAAAATGGTATGGTAACCCCGCCCGCGCTAACGGGATACGCTGGCGGAGCACCAGTGAAGGGTGATAGATGAGAATGAAAACAGGCCAGTTAGCCCATCATGATGAATTCATTAGGAATTAACCATGATAGTTTCCAGGGAGAACCGCGAGAAGGTCGACCTGGTTGGGTATATTGCTAGCAATAGGATTCTCAGTCTCCATTACTAACAATCCCTTTCCCCCTGCAAACAAGCTGTTAGCCCACCTGATAGAACGTTGTAACTGTTGCCTATACATATATAGAAACCATGAACTTTTACATTTCCTAAACTTGTTTTTTTATTACCCCAAAAAAGTCGCTTAAATAAAAAATAAATAAATAAAATGGCTGAGTAAAAATTCTATTGTTATACAAAATAAATTATTACATAAAGCCTCTCTAGACAAGTAGAAAATTAATCAACTCGATAGATACGATATCGCTACCGCATATGCAAATTTGTATACCAGAGGGAGACTTTGTACAAAAGTCCATTTCTTGGGTACGTCTATCTCATTCGTGTTTCTACCGTGAAACTGCTGTGTTTGCATGGCTGTGTTTCGGTTTGAAGGGTGGGATATGGCGTGAATTTACAGGATACAGAGGAATAACACCTGAGTCCTCAGGAATGGCAACGCATGGGGGGTATCATGGGCGAAACAGTATACTCTGTTACGTCCATGGTACTGTTCATGTCTATAGACGACGGTTACCACTTTCCATCAGGTGGGCCGTCAGCTTGTTTGCCATACTAAGTTGCATAAAAAAAATTGGACATTCAAGTTGCATAAAAATACCTAGATTTTCTTTTTTTTTTTACAGCGCCGCAATCGAAGAAGGCAAATGCATATTCTACAACATCCGTAACTTCGTGCGGTTCCAGCTGTCGACGTCGATCGCGGCGTTGTCTCTCATAGCGCTCGCGACCCTCATGGGCATACCGAACCCGCTCAACGCCATGCAGATACTGTGGATCAACATCATTATGGACGGTATGTCTAATCCTAATAATAAAACTAGCTGTTTTCCGCGGCGCTGCCCGCGTGAATCGCTATATGAAATATTCTATGAGTTAAAATGTGATATATTATATATAATCTATCTGCATAAAGTTTCTTTAGATTTATATATTTTTTTTATTTATGAACCGATTAAAATAAAACAAACACTAAATGTTAAGTGGAGCAAACCGTAATGCGTTAGTGTAAACCCCATTCAAGTCGGTTAAGTTTCTGAAATTAGCGCGCACAAATGTACAGACAAACAGACAAAAATTCTCAAAATCGTTGTATTTGTATGTATGGTTTTATTGCGTTTACAATGATCCTCTACAATAGTTTTTCTTTTATATGTTCCACGTAGAGACAGCGAGGAGTTTTTTTTTTAATGGGTGATAATGAAATGGTAACTCCACCCGGGCTATCGGTATACACCGGTGGGGCACCAGTGAGAGATGATAGGTGAGGATGAAGCAGGTCAGTTAGCTCATCGTGGCGATTCAACAAAAATTGTTGACGATGGTTTCCAGGGTTAACCACGTGGAGGTCGACCTAATAGGGCATATTGCTAGCAATGGGGTTGTCAAACTCCATTGCTAACAATCCCTTTCTCCCCGCAGAAGCACAATCGGCCGAGGTTCAGAGCCCTAAGGAGAGAAACCAGCGTACAATGCGGGTATCTAAGAGCACCGCTTTTTGCATCTTTCCCGGGAGTGAGCCGCCTCGGAATCCCAACTGTCTGAGATTATGTCCAGACTAGTTGGGATAAGACCGTTCACCAACATATCGATTAGAATGATTTTGGTGGGCGCCACTCCCCACATTTCGGTCACCTCGTGAGCCAGGTTGAGATATTTTCTCTTTTTCTCGGTTTTGGCTTTCACAAGGTTCTCGTCATGCGGTAAGGCGACATCCACCAAAAACACCCGCGAGTGGGCCTGATCCGTCACTACGATATCAGGTTTGTTCGCAAGAACTGTCCTGTCCGTGATGATGGATCGGTCCCAGTAGAGCCTGACGCTGTCGCTTTCGAGGACTGGCTGGGGCTCGTACTTATAGTACGGCAACGTCTCATTCGCGAGGCCGTACTTCAGAGCTAGCTATTATTATTGTCATGTGTAGGATTGCTTCGCAGGCCCGCCGGCGCAGTCGCTGGGCGTGGAGCCGGTGGACCACGAGGTGGTGGCGCGGCGGCCGCGCGACACCACGCGCCGCATCATCTCGCGCGCGCTGCTGCTCAACGTGCTGCTCGCCGCCGCCATCATCATCGCCGGCACGCTCTGGGTCTTCAACAGGGAGGTGCGCGCAACTACCACATCCGGCTACATAACGGCATTTGTATTACTTACAACACACAGACCAGAGGGAGACTGTATAAAAATTGGTTGCTTGGGTACCTCTGTCTCATTCGTGTTTCAACCGTGAAGCAGTTGTGTTTGCAGGTCTGTGTTTCGGTTTGAAGGGTGGAATATGGCGTGAATTTACTGGGTACAGAGGAATAACACCTGAGTCCTCAGGAATGGCAACACATGGGGGGTATCATGGGTGAAACAGTATGTGTGTGTACTGTTACGTCCATGGTACTGCTCATGTCTACAGGCGACGGTTACCACTTTCCATCAGGTGGGCCATCGGCTTGTTTATCATTCTTAGTTGCATAACAAATACATGCACGCACACGCAATCCTATAAAAAATACACACACAAATGCGCGTGCGTGTGCGTCTGTATACAAGTGTGTATACTGCGAACATTATAATTTGCAATATTTTTTAATGATTAAACATATCATTATCATCACCATGATTTTGGTATGTATCTCTCCAAGGCCTTCCCTAATAATATTCCTAATATAATATAAAAAAAAAGTGTGAAACGTCATCAAAAGCCAAACTACGGTTGCCAACCCGCCTGACAAGCATACCAACTACGGGCAATGGAAAACAACCATAAACAACAAGGCCACTGTTCCTTTTGGCAGTCTATAGGGGAGGCCTATGTTCATCAGTAGTCAGAAAATAGCCGATGCAATGTAATGTTCTGATAATATAATTGTAGTATAATTATTAAACAATTATTCCAATCTTTGCCCCCCAGATGTCGGACAACAAGATAACGCCGCGCGACACCACAATGACCTTCACGTGTTTCGTGCTCTTCGACATGTTCAACGCGCTCTCTTGTCGTTCGCAAACGAAATCCGTATTCCAAGTGGGATTATTCTCTAACAAGTGAGTGGCCGCCATCTTCATTATCATCTTTTTCGTTTACTAGATTGTATCTCGCGGTTTTACTCGCAATAATCAATATATAAAGTATGCTATGTGCTAAGTTAACATATAACCTACCTATGCATCAAATTTCTATCAAATCTGTTTAGTTATTTTAGTGTGAAAAAGTAACAAACTTATAAAAAATATCTATAGGACTTTGAAATTAACGTATTATATTTCTATCCAGAATGTTCTTGGTGGCTGTGACGCTGAGTTTAGTCGGTCAAATGCTGGTGGTGTACTTCCCGCCATTGCAGCGGGTGTTCCAGACGGAGGCGCTCACTGGACATGGTAGGTCATATTTGGAATATGAATTTGCGTTCTAAAAAATCAGTAACTGGTATAAAGATTGCCTTAAATGTACAAATGTAGATGACTAGCTTTTATCCGTGATTTAAACTGTGTATATCAGGACGACGTGTCCCCCTACTAAATCCCCGTTATTAATTACCCCTTCCTGTATTCTAACCCTTCTGGCCTGTTGGTTTGAGTGGAATATGTTGTTGAAATGTGGCGTATAAAAATATGTATTTTTGTCATACTTAGAATGGCAAACAAGCTGACGGCTCATCTACTGAAAAGTGGTAACCGTCCTGCATGAAAATCATCATGGACATTACAAATTCATTGCCACATGCCAAATTTGTTATAATTGTTTCTTTCAGATCTCATATTCCTAGTCTGCCTCACATCTAGTGTGTTCATTGTGAGCGAGGTGAAGAAGTTAATCGAGCGAGCGTTGAAGAAGCGCTCCTTCGGTAAGTTTTCGACGAAGGCCCACGACGCGATGGATTTCGTATGACACGAGACCGAGAAGAAGGAGCAGTAAGCGAGCCACTGAGCTGCTGTCACCGTGACAGCGCCGCCTGTCAAAGTGACAGCGCCGCCTGTCACAGTGACAGTACTCGCTGCGCACCCGCACGGCTCTCTTGCGTTTCGGAAACGATACGCGACAGTGACGTGCCGGATCGCGCGACAGATGGGTGCGTATTCAGTGATGGCTGCCATTGTGCCGGCCGTACTCAGGGACCGTTCTCAATATACGATGGCAAAATTGATATTCCTATTCGTTTGTAATTTTTTTTTTACGGATACAGCAGTATTTTTGCCTTTATTTTTTTTTTTTATTACGTATTTATTTTTTATCATTTACATGATATTGTTAAGTGGACTAGTGATTTGCAGTGATTCTAGTAAATTGATGTTTAGTTGTGAATTTAAAACACGGGTCTAGTTTATCAGTAGTTTGGACTATTCCATCATGACATTAATCGTGATTTTATGGTTTTAGTACATACCTGTTATCCTGGAGAATTATAGTGCATGACAATGTACCCTCTAATGTAGAGAGAGTCTATTGTTAGTGATCTGTGAAATTGTCTTTCAACACGAATAACAGTGATAATATAAATTTGTGGTATGTTTTTTTTTAACTTTAATGCATAATAATTATTGTGCATATGGCGGAGTTAAATAATTATTTTCGCTGACGTAAAGAAGGCCTTGTTTATAAGAAATAAGGTGTAAAAGTTATAAATCTATCAAAGCCTAGATTACTTCTAGCGATTAGCATGTGAATTAATGGATTTATTTATATATTTCTCGAAATTTTAATGTATTAATAACCGGATTAACGAAAGTGTATTTTAATTGAGAAAGCTCGACTAGTTTCGTAACCTCACAAGACCCTTAGTAATAGCCGTTTGCGAGGCGAGCGCGAGTCTTACTGCGCATCTCGGCCCGTTGAGCACGAATATTTCTCAGCGACAAGTATGCAAGTAACCAAAAGAAGAAAAAAAAAAAAACACATATTGAAATGTGAATACATCATTGGGGTTAATAAATTTCTTTTTGAAATCCGAAATCATATTTATCTGTCTCTGATAAACTTCTGAGTGTAAACGGGATAAATGATGCTGTTTAGCCTCTCTTTCTGTCGACTATTCGTGATCACTTCAATTAGGAGTGAGATGGAAGATACACGAATATAAATTTATTGGTTTTAATTTGATATTCACTCTGAAGTCTCAATTTAGTTGGAAACTGCTGGGTTACAAAATATTTTTTCATTTATATTAGCCACATGGTAATTTTAAATATATGTTATTACAGTTATTCGTGTTGCCAGTACACTTATAGGGTTTACTATGTGTAAATGATCATAATTTATGGGACTGAGTCCTTGTGTGATTGATGATTTATAAAGAAATTATAAGACCTATTCATAGTCATTATATACTACATATTTAAATGTAAAATAATTAGTCATATTGAATACTGTCGCCATTTGTGTTGGTTTTATGATTGCCATAATCGAAAATTAAATACTTCGATACTAATAAACTCTTATAAAAAGTCGCACTTTTAATGTAAAAAATAGATATTTTTGTTTTTTTGTAATAGCAACACTCGAGTTTGTTGACCATTAATCTCAACCAAGTTTTATACCGAATGAGGCCAACAAACATGCAGACTGTTTGGTGGTAATCGGTTACAGTCTGTGATACTAGAGGTGTCATATATGGGCTGCTATCGACAAAGGAGGCTTAACGCCCTTTTTAGTCCACATTTTGAGGGAGTTTTAAAAATCAAACGGAATAGTCGTGAATACAAAATGATATATAAATCTGTTGAGGTTCTATATTAATAAATATGATTTGAATTTATTTTAAATATATAAAAATAATGAATTGTGTTTTCTTAATATATATTTTTTTTATTATCGTGTCTTAAAATCGCATATTCAAAATATTGTTTTTGTATTTTTATAATGAATAAATAAGTAACGAATATTGAAATCGATATACGATATCGATATATGGAGTCATTTTTCCATCAATCATATTACATTAAACTCGGTATTATATTAAATTGTTGCCATATATAAATAAAAATTTATTTTTATACAATCAAAAATTTTTTGTAATTTTAATATTGCTGTAAATGTTAGTGCGACAATCATGAAATTAACACACAGTGTCCATTTTAACGTGTTAATAATTGGCGACAAGTATCATCAAAGGTATCACTATAAAAAATATAATTTGTCAAAAGTAGGTTTAGTCTAAACTTTAAATATATATTTCTAAGTGGCCATGTAATAGTCACGATAATCTTTCATAATACTTCTTTACCTAATAAAGTTAAACTAAAAAAGAAAAACCCCATGTATAAAATTTATCTTAAATTATTTATTTATTTATTTTGCTATAGTATTTTTCTAAAGTTGTATTAATTTTTAGTTCGTCACATTTCACCTAGATGGCATTAATGGTCGAAGTTGACTATCGACTGTTTAAAATTAGCGCACCGTCTCTTTTCTAAGCACAATGCATTTAATTTCTTATGTAATTATAATAAAGTATATTATGCATTTTAGATGAGCTAATATGTATAGCATGATCAGTTGCATGGCTTGTCTGCTATTTTGCTGCGTGTTGTATCAGTGATCGAATCAGCTACTTAGTTGTTTGGGACAAAAATGAATATTTACCACTCTTTATAATGAATGAATTAATTCGAGTTCATTTTTTGTGTTGTACTAAATGTGAATTATAAAGTATCCACGATACAATAGTTTTGCTTTGTAAGGATCTGAACAATATTTGCATGTTTGTCTTTGTTGAACAGTTTAGAATTTTGAATATGTGTTTTGTTTTATAACAATCGGGAATTTTTATAATTATAATACGATATACTGTTTTACCGACGAGGTAAAAAAGAAGAGTAAAATGTATGCCAGTTATATTTTATAATATAAAAATACTTTTAATTTTCCCCATATAATTAAATTAAATGCATAAATAAAAATCACTTTTTATCCTCTTTCATTACTTATTATTTTATTTTTGTTACACTAAATTGTAAAATTTCATAATACTATCCATAGTATTCACTACATTGTTAGACAGAGATGGATGATGTTAAATTAACTTCTCTTTTAATTTGGTAAAATTAAAACCGTGAATGGAAATTTATTGGCATTTATTTATATACAACAATGATACATGACTGATGAGGATGAAATCAGGTCAGTTAGCCCATCCTGACGAATTCAACTAGAATTAGACAAGATGGTTTCCAGGGGAAACCACATGGAGGTCGACCTGACAAGGTAAATTGCTAGTAATGGGGCTATATGACCCCAATACTAACAATACCTTTCCCCCCTATATGGACCATTATCGTCATCATTTCAGGACCATTATAAATCTTTATTTGTTTGATGGAAAATAAATGTTTGTGTAAACATAACTCGGTCAAGAACAATATGCTATTTTATTTGCGTAGCTCATTTTTAATTTGTGGATTTCGATATGAAGTGAATTAGACGCGTAATTTGTCAGAGTTAGAAAAGGATAGATTGCTTCCCCTTCAAGTGAGACAGAGTACTTTCCTTATATATATAGTAAATTACTTTTTACTGTATCTAATATGTTTAGTATATATTAAAGAAACATATATATTGTAAGTACATAATTAATCAGATCTTTATAAATTGGATAATTTAATTTCGGCGCCTCGTACTGATGACGTCACGACATCGCAGTGCGTTCAGGAAATATTTCGAAGTGTCGAATTAAATCATCTTGTGAATTTTTAAATTTCGTTTTAAAATCCTTCAAGACAGGAAAGTAATGGGTATTTATAAATTTTTGTTTTGTAGTACATTAAAATAGTAATCAGTTTTGAACTCTATTGTAAAAGTAATAATAACTTATTTTCAGTGTAGATGTATTAAATATATATTAAAATGAATTTCTTTCACTAATAGCGGAAGATTCTAGACTGTTGTACTAGATTAGTTTATAGCTAGAGAATTAGGGATTGAGTGAAATAATTTCGACAATTATTGTTATAATTTCAATGCTTTTACTATATTCATAAATATTGTTAAAAGAATCGGCAACGGTAAATAAAAATGATTTATATTCAGCGTTTTGTAATTGTTCTTAGAACATAATTGTTAGAGACCTAATCTATTAGTGTTGTTTTAGAAGGATAGAAATGGTCACATAGTAATTTGTTTCGGTAGCATTGTTCAAATCGTACTTGCTAAGAGCAAGTAAGCACAAGGACTTGTTTATAGAGACGTCGCATAAGCGTTTGTGTAGATAAGCGACATCTGTTGGGAGAGATACAAAATATTAAAAAAGAATGCCTACAACTGTAAAAAGCGATGGAACAGTCATTTTAATCATCATCATCAGCGTCATATCAATCATTAACTGTCCACTGCTGAACATATGGTTTCCCTATAAGGGGAGTTTTGACAGTAGTTCCCACGCTTGGCAGACGAATTGGCAACCGCAGTTAGGATTGTACTGATGTTTTAAGATGGTCGCTTCTGCCTATCGCTCTACCATTATGTTTCCTTAGTCGCCTCTTACGACACCGACTGGAGAGGAAGGAGTGGTATATTCCATACAGGGACCACACTATTAATGCTTTGTCTTGCGATAGCTATTTTTAATTTTATTTGTTAAGTATTAGTTTGTGTCACTGTTACTGGGAACTGTGACACTTTTTTTTTTTATATGCATATAATAGTGACCCTAGTCGTCTCATTCTCATAGTAGTAATCCATACTTCATAAGGCACACAATGATCTGCGCATACGCACAATCCTCTTCGAATTGCGCCTCGATCTTCGCCTCTCTGTAGAGAAGATATATCTTACAGGTGTACATAGATTTAGATATATGAAGGAATTAATGAAAGGACTATTTACAACCTCTGGATGTCAGTATTATTTTAAAGAATTTTAGTAATTCTTTAAAATTGTCTTTATTTTTTTCATTGGAATGGCTAGTATATAAAGAGGTTTATAGCTTATGTCTCTGTAAACCAGTCCTCAAATGTAATATAATAAAGTTTTTCGGAACTACGTATATTTATAACATTCCTATTATACTTGTAGATTTGTCTATGCTATCCTCTCTAGCTATAGATTTAATCTGTAGAATTAATTTTGTCCCATGTTATTTTTTTTTCAAACAATCTTTATTTAGAGTGAGGGCTGTGATAAATGAGTAAAATGTCCGGTTTTTTTGACAATTGAACTCTAGAAGCTGAACGTAGTTGGTTTAAAATTCATTAAATCGTTTTATTATATATCGTCATAGTCGTAGAATACTGACGGATCTTTATATGTAATATTTGTCAGATCCGTCAGTATTCTACGAATGTGACGATATGTTAAATTTATATCTTATAATCCAGTGCATGTATTGTTTAAAACAAATATTTATTGAAATATAAATTGAAAAATAATTATTCGATAATATTTTTAAAATTGTTAATTGGATTTGTGAGTGTAAAATCGGCCATAAAGAAGTAAAAAATGCCTCTAACTTCGGAGTTTGGTCTAAGAATGGTGCTTCATATAATGGGCGTTGATTGTAGGTTAATTATTTATTTATTCGCCTCTAAACTGTTATCGCTATATTGTTTCATATTAGATCATATAGATAGAGTGTTTTCGAATAAATGCATCGAGAAAAGTGGGTCAACTTTTTAATACAATTTGGCGAAATAAATAAGAATGATTCCTTTATAACGTCTATGTTTATTTTGTCTTATAATTTTTGTATCGTTTTAATTCGTACAAATTTAATTTTATTTATTAAATAATTAAATATAGATACGTCAAAATACATTGTGTATATAGAACATTAATAAAAAAAAAGCAAGTCAGCTGATTTGGTAATTAGCTGACAAAAAATTGATCCATTTTTGAGGCTTGATGTTCTATCTATATAGTCTAAGTGTATCGCATTATGAGCTTGAAATGGCGGGCCGCTCGGCGCATTCAAAATGGCGTCGCGCGTTGCCATAGAGATATTAGTACGAATTTATTTTGCGTTCTCTATATAACTAATAGTTTGAACGTTGACTCGTAGGATTGTTTGAAGCCAGTGTCTTTTTAATAATATTGACGCTCTATTCTCTAAATTATATTTCAAATATTATATTTCATATTGGGACCATGTTATGTGCCCAGTGTTTGTTTAATGAAAAGGAGCGTTAATATTGGATATAACATAGCGTGTTACCCCTAATATGTGATTCCGAGTCATATCTTGAATGAATTTGATAATTTAGTCTATATTGTAATCATTATAGTACCTACTTGACATTGAATCTAGCTGTTGTTTTTTAGAAGGTCGACACATCTAGCGAAGGTTTTATAAGTACCCAAATATAAGGATTTTTAAGTTTCATATAAATAAATAGCTCATATTTACACGTTAGCTTTAATTCTATATCACTGCTACAGTATGAGTTTTTGCTTCTAACCAAAACGCACACACAAACACATACCCACACATACAATAGTTGTGTATGTGTATATACATGAATAGTATAATAATGTGTATTATATCAATAAAATTAAAGGTACAATAAGGGATTAATCTCGAAGGGATATATTCCAGCAAATCTTCAAGATACTGACAGGTATCTACAGGGAATGAAGTGAGAAATTGTATTGAATGGGTGATATATGGATGAATAGATTTCAAGTAGACACTTCATACAAAATACATAAATCATGTATATTCATAAACGTGCAAATGTGTATGTATAGAGAGCGACGTTTTTTCGTCGCATTTAAGATAGGAGGAGATAACATCATCTCAAGAGAGAGTATGAAAGTTGCTATACTGTATGGATTAGTATTATTATTACCTTACTGTGTACGTATATAGTGTATGGTACACATACAAAATACTTAGCGTTTTCTACCGTCCTTTACACATTAGTGGCCTGTGCTAGATGTGTCATCGACTATATATGTTTTGATGTTACATGTAGGGGTAAAGTAGGGGACGATTCTCTGTATTAGTAAGTACCTAAGTATAGCATTTGTCATACTATCCTGTATGTTTATAAATTTAATTGTAGAAAGTTATGTGAAATTATATATAAATGTATGTGAAATTATATGAATTGATCCAAGTATTTGTAGTCTTTTATAAAATTGACTTGTGGTGGAATTGTATTAAATTTTTACTATGATATTTTGAACAAATATATAATTATAAAATAATTTGTGTATTGTATAAATACTTATTGTATTTTTTTTTTATTCACTTATGAATTAATGAAAACTCTTTATTATTTGTTCCCTTCAAAGAATTATATAGATCAACAGTATGTACACAAGCAAAATGAATAAATAAAAATACATAAAAGCAAGATAAAGAGGCAACAATGTCCTTATCGCTAAATAGTGTTCTCTTCCAGGCAATCTTATTTACTTATTTTGTTATTCTTGCCAGTATATTGTCGACGATTGCAGGTTCAATTCCCGTACAATACAAATATTTTTGTTTATAAAGTATCAAGACCTTTTATAAAGTAGTAATTTATAATGCAATTTCACCACCAGTCAATATTTTGTATTCTACATAGTTTCTCAATATTTTCCATGTCTCTAATTACTAACCGAAAATATGTAATTTATAATAATAGTACCTAAAATAAAACAGTACAGGGGTTGAAATACCCACCTTATATGAATCGTAATAGGGTTCATTTTAAACCTGTCACGATGAGAGAGCAAAACTCCCGGCCTAGTACAACTGTACTAAACTGGTAGTTAACATTTATATTTGGAGTTTATATGAAATGAGATCTATTATGATTTGTGTAAAATATCATGAATTTTGAAATATAGCGGTTAGAACTAGAGGGACTTGTGTAGGCAAATCTCTTTCATCTATTAGTTCTCTCGCCAAGGAGTTGTTTTACATTCTGGGGGTCTACCATGAAATGAAATTCCGAATTTTCGGACTCAATTTCGTGTTTTTGTTCATACCGAAATCGACCCAGTAAATGGAGCTGAACATTTCGTTTGTCATAAATCCTACCATAAAAGACCAAAGGAACGATACTTTCGCATTTTTAATATTTTTAAACGGTATGTTTCATGTAATATTAACATTAAATTTGTGTTTCGTTCCGACCCGAAATTACGGAAAACATTTCATGGTAGGCCCTCTGTTTAGAATATTTACCAGCGTTGCATTTAAGCTCTAGAAAATGGATTATTACATTTGGAAATTTAATTTTAGAATTACAAATTAATTTTCTATTATGAAATTTTTAATAATTTTTATCAGGTACCTATACAGTATTTAACAAATTCAACTAATTAAATGAGATGAAAATGTAAAGATTTATTGAGAAATTCAGTTTTTCTTGCTATTTTCATCTTATTGAAAGTTCGTCATAGTCGTAGAATACTGACGGATCTTTATATGTAATCTTTGTCAGATCCGTCAGTATTCTACGACTATGACGATATGTGCAGCATCGAAAGTGATATTTGTCTCAAAATATTACATTTGTTTCTGAGAAAAACCAAGACGTTGAGCCTGTATTCTAACATAGAGGTTCGAAGCCTACACTTTATTAACTTTGAGAAAGAGCTTTCTCCACTACTGATAGTCACCACTACGTGGCAAGAGTCCATTTGTGGTGGAGACACCTTTGTGGTGAGGGCCCCATTGTGGTGGGGGCCTTATGTGGTCGGGGCCCCTTTGTGGTGAAGGCTTAAGGCTATAGCCTATGTAGCCTATGCTTAAATGTGGCGCTGGTACCTAGTGTGAATTATATTAAGATATATGTTACGATCCAGTTCATGTTTACTTGATAAGTTGTATAGAGGTCTGAGTTTCCAAAACTATCCGCTAGAGGCGCTGTTTTCAATACAGATTAAACGTAAATCTTTGTGCAATTCACACCAGGCACTGCAGTTTGAATAGTTAAATGAATACTTGTAGTCCTAATAAATTAATTTGTAATTAATAATTCAATTCTGAAACAACTGTTTATTTCAATCTAATCATTCTTTGGCATTGTCTTCACATTTTTTCTTGGTGTTGACAAAAAAATGTGTAGGTAACAATGAAACAAGCTTTGAAATAATTTCACTAATAAAAAATAAATGTGCACAGATTCTAGAATATACGGAACTTCGATTGCGTACAGCATGTTAAATATTTATGAACCAGAATGTGCTGTTATCAGAAATTGGAATGTTACAATAACATTAGTGACACTGTTCAAATAAATAGCCCAAATATTTTAACTCGTTTTTCATTTAACACCCCAATAGAGTTATATTGTCCTTAAAATATTTATTAGGTAAGTAGTAAGGAGGCCTAAGACGGAATAATTCGAAAAATTGTTGGAAAAAAAAGGCACCTCATTTATTCGTTTTTCTAAACGAACTGTTCCTGGTTTTTTTTTATACAACTTAGAATGGCAAACAAGCTGACGGCCCACCTGATGGAAGGTGGTAACCGTCGCCTATGGATATGAGCAGTACCATGGACATAACAGAGTATACTGTTTCGCCCATGATACCCCCCATGCGCTGCCATTCCTGAGGACTCGGATGTTATTCCTTTGTACCCAATAAATTCACGCCATATATAATAGTCGCCAGTAATAGTCCAAAAGCTTTTAACAGAAATAATTCTGTTGGTTAGCTAGCTAAAAATATAATAATTAACCACTTAATGCGAGGGTTTTACTGTGAAATTAAGTCAACTGTCGTACGGACTAAATTCGAACGAGCATACAATAAATATATACTAAGCTCTATGAAATATAAACGGGCGAGAAGGTATCGCTCGAGATAAAAATATAAACATAATATTTATAAGTGGCGAGAGGTACTCGGGACAGCGCAAATCGGAACACATTTGATGCTCGAGATGGGTATCGTTCGAGATGCTTAAGTGGTTAATTACAAAGCTATTACTTTGATATAATCTATCAAGAGTTCTGGCTGTTTCCACGTCGGGTACCAGGCGTCTATGTCTTTCCAGAAGTTCAGCATGGCCTTGCGTGCAGAGTTCCGCCACGGCTTCGGCCAGTCCGCTTTAGTTGTGAGATCATCTTTAAATTCCGTGGAACCACCAACTGCTAGTCCAAGACTTATGTGGAACTGGAAATAAACATTTTTTTTTGGCCATTTAGAATGGTATACCGCCTGAGCTGTTACGCTAATGGAATCAATGAGGAATAAGAGGCGTATAAGAAATTAATCACGATGGTTTCTAGGGGACGTTGGGACCCTGATCCTCATTACTAAGAGATTTCCCTCCATTTTTGAATGTTAGAGTAATTACTTCTTGAGGGCATGAAATAAGATTAAATATATACTCGTATGTGTCAGTACTTTTCCGGACCCCGGGGGAAAGGGATGTAATATGATGTTAGTAATAGGGTCTAACTGCCCCATTGCTAACAATACACTCTATGTCACACCAGTGACGATAAAAGCAGGTTAGTTAACCCCTCGTGACGAATTGCACTAGAATTAACCACGATGGTTTCCAGGGAGAACCGCATGCAGGTCGACCTGTGTATATTGTTAGATTTCATTACTAACAATCCCTTTCCTCCCGCCCGAGTGTATGTTATTACTTACCAGATCATCAAACGGGGCAAGTTCGCTAGACGAGGCGAGCCGTTCGCGCGGCAGGTCTGTACAATTATCAGGGAACCGAGACACTAGTCCACGGGCGCCTGGCTCGATGTGTATCCAATCTTCTTTGTCCACGGAGAATGTTAGGTACTCTGTGGACCGTCACGTCATACTTTAGAATATGTTAATTTAGCAGGATTTAACCATGATGGTTTCCAAATGGGACCATGCGGGGGTTGACTAGGTAGAGCATATTGTTTACATCCAAAGCCCAACACGAGACTAGAGATCCGGGAGGGATGCGCTGCGTATTCCCGGTACACCACTCGGAGTGGTCCCGTAGGGGAGCGGCGCTGCCGGTGACGCGGAAGACCGCAATTGCGAGCCCTCGTCACCGGCACATGGCGCTGAGAGGAATACCGGGGTGTTTTTAGTGGGTAAAAATCCCACAGTACCCATTCGTCGCCCCGCCGGCGAATGGGTCTCTTTCTGAACATTTTCACCTTAGTTAAAAAAAAGGCAGAGCATATTGTTAGCAATGGATCCGTTAAATTGTATTATTTACCGTCCGCCCACCTGTGCTGTTATCGCTTAGAAAAATCTACTAGGGAAGTATTTGAAAATTAAGTGATTTATCTGTCATTTATCATCATCAACATATCAGCTACTGCTGAACATAAGCCTTCCTCATGAGGGGAGTTTTACCCGTAGCTGCCAAGCTGGGCAAGCGGGTTGGCAACCGCAGTTTTTTTTTATGGGTGATAATGGTATGGTAACCCCCCGCCTGCGTTAACGGGATACGCTGGCGGAGCACCAGTGAAGGGTGATCGATGAGAATGAAAACAGGCCAGTTAGTCCATCATGATGAATTCATCAGGAATTAATGAATGATAGTTTCCAGGGGGAACCACGAGGAGGTCGACCTGGTTGTGTATATTGCTAGCAATGGGATTTTTAGTCTCCATTACTAACAATCCCTTTCCCCCCGGCAACCGCAGTTAGGCTAATAGATATATTTTAAGAGGGACGCTACTGCCCACTCTCTACACTAAGTTCCTTTAGTCGCCTCTTACGACAGCCATACAGGAAAGCAAGGAGTGGCCTATTCTATGCCGGGACCACGCGAGTAATCTATTACATATCTATTATCTATCAATATTCACTCTAAACTGTTGAGTTAGACGTTGTTAGTTAGAAGTGGCCAAGTCGTAGTAATAATTTTGCAGTAATTTTGGGTACCTCTGTGCCATTCGTGTTTCAACCGTAAAGCAGTTGTGTTTGCATGGCTGTGTTTTGGTTTGAAGGGTGGGATATGGCGTGAATTTACTGGTTACGGAGGAATAACACCTGAGTCCTCAGGAATGGCAACGCTGTTATGTCCATGGTACTGCTCATGTCTATAGGCGACGGTTACCACTTTCCATCAAGTGGGCCGTCAGCTTGTTTACCATTCTAAGTTGTATAAAAAAATAGCTACTAGTACTACTAATATTTGATATCAACTAAACCTTACTAATATTAAAAATGTGTAAGAGTTTGTTTGTTTGTTACCTTATATAGCTTTAACGGCTTAACCAATCACAATGGAATTTGGTATTCTCGTACAATATTGGATGAAGACGGATATAAGCTATTTTTTATCCTAGTCAGTAAACATATCCCGGGTAAAAGTTAGTAATAGTATATTTTTTTTATACAACTTAGAATGGCAAACAAGCTGTCGGCCCACCTGATGGAAAGTGGTAACCGTCGCTTATAGACATGAGCAGTACCATGGACATAACAGTACACACACATACTGTTTCGCCCATGATACCGCCTATGCGTTGCCATTCCTGAGGACTCAGGTGTTATTCCTCTGTACCCAGTAAATTCACGCCATATCCCACCCTTCAAACCGAAACACAGCCATGCAAACACAACTGCTTCACGGTAGAAACACGAAGAAATACAAATGATATTTCTTTGCCCAAAAATCTTTCCTTTGCCTAAAAATGAAAGACCCAATATTTAGTGGTTTAGATAACTCACGGGGTGTCCAACGAAGGGAATATTCATGAAAGTTGTCTGCCCACGATTTGTTAACTAATATTTTATTTTGTAACAGTTGTTCACGGCATTTCAGGTCCATTATTGGTCCTGCGTATAAGACCTGTTGAATGTTAGTTAGTTTTAAACTTTCTCGTTGTTTATACAAATTTTAAATACACTATTGGGACTTAATGTGATAAAAAACTTTTACAGGTATCTACATATCTCCTTCTTTATTACCGGCGTTTCCACATGTGGCCACGACGTTTCATCATAGTAAGTCCCGAGAGTGTATTTAAAATCTGTTGAATGTTGTTTAATTTTTCTTTTGTCTAGTTTCTTTATTATAATTCTTAATCATTTTTTAACCCTGTGTGGATGTAGTCGTATATTTTTTAAATAAAGTTTCTTTCTTTCTTTTAATTTTTAAAAATAAAATATGGCCAGTGCTTTAAATTTTGGAGTAATTCGAATTTGGCCTTGGGGTGTTGCACTAAATTGGATATCATTTACACCACTTTCATATGTAAGAGCATCTCTGAGACAAATCGAATTTAAATTTACTTGATGAAATGTGTACAAGTCAAGCGTTAGCAAAGTACCAGACATTTGCGCCAATAATCAAATTAAACGTATTTACTTACATGCCTTCCATAGTCTTTGGAGTTAGCAACTAAGTATTCATTGCCACGGGCTGAAGCGATGTTAATTATACCTGAAGCATAGTTTGTGTCTCCATAATTTCTAATCAATGGTTGTAATAATATTTCTGCAAGAATATAAGAGGAATGTATATTTTAACTCTTTTTCTAAAGAATGTGCTCCTGGATTCAGCTCGATTTTTTCTCGCATGTTTCCCTCGATATACTCTCAAATTCATAAAGTCCTAGACATTTCGAGGATCTTGTTAATTATGTTTAGTTGTTTATTATTCTTCTGTTTTTTCCTTTCCTTATGCATTAAAATTGGTTCTACGGAAATATGATTAGATAAGGTTTTTGCGTTCCCCCATTTAGTACCTTCCAAAGACTATCGACAAAAATTATCTGCAACCTAATATTTCTGTCACACTCGTATTTTTACCGTCAAGCAGCTTTATTTACACCACTATGTTTCGATTTAAAGGAATGAATATTTTTAAATTTAGAAAGACTGTTGAATTCCCAAGTCATATAAATTTTATCTAAGATTTCATATGTTCTTAAATGAAAATCAAGTTAAAATACCTGGATACAGCCAGTCTCCTTTGGGCATCTTTGCTCTAACTATCACGGTTCCATATTTAAAAGCAAAATTTTTGCTTGTTATACGACCGGATATGACAGGTGGAAGAATGTCAGCTCCTGAAGGTTGCTTTTTACACATTTGGCCCGTACATCTGATAGCAAACGAATTTACTTTATTGTAATAATTTCTAAACTGTTTTTATAACATTTAGAATGTCAAGAAGCTAAAAACTCATTTGACGCAAAATAAACTATCTATACACAAGGACAGACTTGATAGCACAGTTGTGACTTCCTGGGTACATTACTATTCAAATACTAGAGTCTGTGGATGCCTGCAATATCAAAAGTGCCATGCATATATGGCAGGTTCCAAATTTAAATGTCTGTCTAATAAGATATAAAGAATTTATATGAAAGATTCTTAGGCACATTTTTTACAAGAAGGTAATATAATGCCGATTAAGTTCACGCTGCCTTTTATTCCGGCGGAATACCAGTGAGAGATGATAAGTGAGGATAAGTTAAGTTAGTTGGCTCTTCATGGTGAATTAGTTTCTGAAAGCGTTCATGTGGTGGCCCACTTGATAAGGTTGTTAGCAATGGGGCGGCTAGAACCTATTATTAAGAAATGGGTGGTCAGATAATAGACTGAAGTAGAATGTAGGGTACAAATACTGGAGATGAAGCATGTCTGAATTATCTTGATATAATAAAAGCAAGAGAAATTATAGGATTAAATGGTCTAGTTGAAAAACCATTACAATTATGAATAGCTACTATTTACTACGTACCCATCAGTGAGATCCAAAGTAAAAGTATATAGCGAGGAGCTAGTGAACCCTGGTTCTGTTTGCTGCAATTTAGCTGCGATGTGAAGAGCCATGTTTGCCACTGATACAGCTGACCGTTGGTATGATACAAATGGGTAAGCCTGGATAGAGACATTGGGGTTGATTCTGAGGTACGTATCCCGAAAATTATCTTTAAAATTACAATTTTATTATGATAACAAAAGTACTATGGTATGGACCATTGAGAATTAAGTACAAAGCAATTCTAATGCAATTCTATTAAAAAATTTGTATATATTTGTCCTCAGATTAATCTTTTCACTGTAACATCGAATTGAAATTTTATTTTAGAGATAGAGATAGGATTTTTGTGTGTTCTTTAGAATCAACTGAGTTATTATTATTACGCTGCGTAAGAGAAAATACCATGAATATTCCATAACATAATTGTGGTGTATATATCTATTTACTCACAGGATCCTCAGTGGGTATATACTGCTCGATTTGCCATACGTCTTCTTTAAGCGTGCCGTAGTCTTCTTCAAATATTATCTGACCAGAGCATATTGGAGTATTATTGTTAAACACAACAGTTACCGACTGATTGCATTTTATATTTTTGGATTCGGCAATAGTAAGTGATGTATCTGATGGTGATCGCCTTTCTAAATCTAGAAATTGATTCGAGAAATTAGTGAGCTAACTTACTCTTTGTATTTATCTACTATTTATGCCAGGTTGTCTGTAAGAGATTGCTTTTAGCGATAAAGCGGTCTTTTGTATATGAAAATTTTGTATAAAAAATCCTTGTATACATCTCTTTGTTGCTCATTAAAGAGTTTATTATTATTACACTTTCTGATAGATAGATAGATACTCTTTATTGTTTCCTCCAAAAGATTACATTTGTAAACTTATTATAAATATAAATAATTACAAGAAAAAAATCACAATGAGAAAACAATGGGCGACCTTATTGCTAAAAGCGATCTCTTCCAGGCAACCTTTGTATGGAGAGGAGTAATTATAAATAGTTTGATCGGAGGCACGATGAAATTCTATTATTTCTAAATATCGAGTACTGATAGTTGTGTATTCGATGTCCATACAGTACAAACATTTAAATTCATGAGTATGATAATACATGATTAGGTAATATTTATATATTACTTACATAATAATAATAATAATAAACTCTTTATTGCGCACAGTAAAGATGTATACAAGGAGTATTTATACAGAACGTGCATATACAAAAGGCGGCCTTATCGCTAAAGCAATCTCTTACAGACAACCTGGCATAAAGAATGGATAAGTACAGAGAGAAAGGTAGATGGCGCAAATCAGACACAGTAAATGCATAAAAGGAATCAGACAAAATGCAAAAAATTCTAAATATAAAAATAAGATTACATAACCTAAATAAACATACATATATAATATAAATAATAATACATAAACATACATATATATAATACAAATAATAATACATAAACATAAATATACTAAATAGATCAAGATAAATCACACATAGTAAACGTCAAAGCAAATTAGAGAGATAGGAAATGAGATTTTACCTGCCTCTTGAACGAGGCAAGAGATTGCGCTGATCTAATAGAAAGAGGTAAAGTTCAGAGACGGATAGCTTTTATAGTGAAAGAATAGGAATAGAATTTAGAAGAATGAATAGGAGTTACTAAACGAAGGGATCTCGCGCTGCGCAATGTACGACCCTGAGAATCGACATGAAACTCAAAGCACATTTGACCTCAAACCTATAGGTCTGATTGTTTTTTTATGTATCTACGATCTTATTATGTATGTCTATTTGTCATCATGATCGTCATATCAGCCGTTGTCTGTCCACTGTTGAACATAGGCCTCTTCTATAAACTGTAATAAGGAACAGTCCTGAGCTACCTGCATTTACTGATTCGCATTTACATATATAGGTACCTATATTTGTAAAAATAATAAAAACTGTACTTAGTTTAAAGTAATTGGCGCTGTGTAAAATCTTCCGAGTTATATATTTATTGTAAAAGCATCCATGGGTATCACAGTGTATATTGGGGCATACATAGTGTTATTCGCGTCTTTTGGCGACAGTTACCATGTTCCAGCATGTGAGCGGTTAGTACGCCATTTTGTTGCTATATTATTGACGTTGTATACGAGGAGTCTATCTATCTACTAGACTTTAAATGATCAAGGAATGGGCAGCAGCGTCCCTCTTTCACCAAAGTCTAACTGCGGTTGCCAACTCGCCAGCTATGCGTGGCAATTACTGGCAGATCACCCCTAATGAATAAGGCCTATGTTACGGGCGTGCGTGCGTGCGGGAGTGCATACGTGCGTACGTGCGTACGTGTATGCGGGCTTGCTTATGTGCATGCGTGTGTGCGTGCGTGACTGCGTACGTGCGTATATGCATGCGTGCGTGCGTGGGTGCGTGCGTGGGTGCGTGCGAGCGTGTGTATGTGTGTGTAAATTTGCTAGCCTAAAAGTTCGAAATAACAATTATTATTATAGCTTGTAAGTAACAAATACATACTGAATACGACATAGCGTTGCTGTGACTTGAAATGGCCATTGAATATTGGAGAATTCTCGAATTTTCCTGTCTCTAAGAGAACATTGTAGTTAATCACGTCACCCGAATGTAGTTCTACGGTAGGATCGTCCAGCACCCAGTAGCCATTGGTCTTTGTTGTGACGAAACCGTGTATATTGCCTTTATCATACATAATTCTTTTGTTTATGTTACCATCGAACAATAATGCTGTGATGCCTTCAACGTCTGGAAATAAAGAGTGTAAAAATTAATATTATAGTCCATAAAATAACAAACCTAATTTTTTTTATACAACTTAGAATGGCAAACAAGCTGACGGCCCACCTGATAGAAAGTGGTAACCGTTGCCTATAGACAAGAGCAGTACCATGGACATAACAGAGTGTACTGTTTCGCCCATGATGCCACCCGTGCGTTGCCATTCCTGAGGACTCAGATGTTATTCCTCTGTACCCTGTAAATTCACGCCATATTTCACCCTTCAAACCGAAACACAGCCATGGAAACACAACTGCTTCACGGTAGAAATACGAATGGGACAGAGGTGCCCAAGCAATCAACTTTAAACAAACAAGCTTAATTTTATCTGGCGGTACAGGAGAGTACATGACATAATACCAACTTGATTCGTTTTTCAACTGGCTTCAGTAAGAAGATTATCAATTCGTTTGTAATTTTTTTTATGTTTGTTATCTCATAACGTTGTCAGTTCAAGAAAGTTTCTTGAGTGGCGTCCGCGTACGGGCAAACGCAGTGTAGGACGATCCCCTACTAGATGGAGTAACGACCTGAAATGCATTGCAGGGAGTCAATGGATGCAGGTGGCTCAGGACCGTTCTTTATAGCAGTCTTTGGGGGAGGGAGTTCATCCTCATGTCCTACAGTCTAAATGGTCGCGTACAGCGCCTATAGGCAGTCTATGGGGGAGGTTTATGTCCAGTAGTGGACGGATAATGGCTGAACTGACGATGATGATGAACGGCGTCAGTTGTAAATCAATTTGAATAAGTGTTTTTTTTTATCTAAAAGGTACAGATTACAGATTGATTCTATAGAAATTTTATTAAAATTGATGGAATTGGTTTTGTTACAGTTTAAGTCGTTTTTTTTTTTGTTCTTTTTTATTACAATTTTATTATACTTATTAAATGCTATTTTAAAATTCATAACAGAAAAAGCTTTTTCGCTACTGCATTCACGCGGTAAACAAGACGACGAATATTGTTGTCTCGTTCTAGTTAGTACACACGTAAATCTAATCTAAATGCACCTTCATTTAGCCCATGTATATCTACAAAACAGATTTGTTTGTCATTTATAGTATTACTTATTTACATACTTCGTCAACTGCAAACTGGAAGAGCCGATAACCTATGGATAAGAAAGGTTTACATACTTTGCAGACAAGTAGGTACATTTTACACCAAAATGGGATCTCTTGGCAACCTTATGTTGAAAATATTTGAATTTAGAACGCTAATCGTCAATCTGCTAGTAGATTTTTTTTGGGTGAAAATGGAATGGTCACTATCGGTATATGTTGGCAGGGCACCAGTTAGAAATGATAGTGCAGAATATAGTTAGGTTAGTTGGCTCATCGTGACGAATTTCACAAGAATTAACCAGAACGGTTTCCAATGGAAACTGCGTGGAGGTCGGCCTGGTATAGCATAGAGGCCTGTTAAACCCCATTACTAACAATTTCCCCCTATGTAAGCATTAATAGCAGTTTTTGCTCCACTAACAAAACAGTAGGATTCAATTGAGAATTGATTAAAATAAATTCTGTCGATTGTAAAAAGAATTACGAAAATCAGTTTCAAATTGTTGACGTTATCTCCTAGCAAAAAAATTGAAAGCTTCCTTCTTTTAAAAGTCTTTTAAGAACTTACCGGGTACAGACACTCTTATACCTCTAGGTGAAAAAGCTTGTATTCTAACGGGTGGGAATACAAAGCCCATTTGGGCCTGTGTTACCCACACAGTGGACACAGCAATCAATAAGTGAACACATCCGACCCTCACTCTGGTCATATTGCAACTAACTATTTATATCTACCACGAGATAATGTTTTTTTTTTAATATTTATCACCTTAATATTAAAAATATATAAATAGATAGGTACATTCAATTAAAAATTACAATAGAAGCTAATGAACTTGTTTTTTTCTTTGGGTTGCTGCATTATTTTTTGTTGATCATGTAGCTCCGATGTTTTTTACAATTTGTTTTTTCTTTTTTTTTTTTTTGGCGGAGTTTTTTAATGATAACGGAATGGTAGCCTCGTCTGCGCTATCGGTATACGCTGGCGGGGCATCCCAGTCACGTGGATGAAGTCGCGGTTAAAAACTAGTTCGGAGATATAAAATAAAGGTTATAACTGTCTGAAACCTATCTATAGAATTACTGCTGCTTCATGTGTGTGTGGAGCGCGCTATGGTATTAAGTTTTTAAGCCACTTTCGTTATGCAGAGAGGTCTTGGACGTGGATTATCAGATAGTGTTTTACGTGACTTCCGAAGCACAAAGCTAATGACAATAATTTTAAAAGATTCAATAAAACATGAATTTATAAATTCAGAGGTTTTTGCTGAAATTTAATCTCTATACCGCAGTATTATCGATCTAAGCTGACACTACGTGGTGATAGGTATTTGTTAAATTTATAGATGTGAAAATATGTTCGATTCTTTTTTTTAAGTTGTGCTTTTCGGATTTTTTTTTCCTTTTAGCCCATCTTTAGTATATATTTTTATTATTCTAGTGAATATTCTTCTTGAAAAATTTATATATTTGAAATCATATCTTGATGTTTCATATATATAGTACGATCATGCGATCGAATATAAAGAAAATATTTTCATATCCGGCTCGAAGGCTCATTAAGTAGTAACTAGGAAAATATTGAAATTGTTTATGTCCCATACCTAATCAGCCTAGGCATGGGTAAAAGTGGACTACTTCGATATTTATATATTGTGTTTCTCAGACATTGATGGTGGAAAAAGTTCATCACCCAATTTGATATCGCTCATATCATATCGGTCGGATATCTATATTCGTGTTGATCGGATTCTTTATTTCAATATTATATATTGGATAATCGATAATTAATATATCCGTTATTTTACAATATATAGATATTGCAACTACAATATACAAATATTCTTGTACATTATTTATCCCCAATTCAGTCCTAATTTATGAGCGCGGTTCTTTAATGAATGACAATGGAATGGTAACCCCTCTGCCGAGATTTTCCCAAGAGACTACAGTATGGGGTTCTTCAAAAGAGGGGTAAAGAGGTTTCTTTAGGGTCGGCAACGCACGCGTAATACCTCTGGTATTGCAGGTGTTCATAGGCTACGGTAACCACTTACCATCAGGTGGGCGGTATGCTTGTTTGCCACCTCAGTGGTATAAAAAAAAAACCCCGCCTGCGCTATTGGTATACGCTAGTGAGGCACAAGTGTGGGATGATAGGTGAGAATGAAACAAGTCAGTTGCCTACCGTGACGAATCTAACAATAAATCAATCACGATGGTTTCCAAGGGCATCCACGAGAAGGACAACCTGATAGGGTATATTGCAAGCAATGGGGCTACTAATCCCCATTACAATTAAATCTTTTAATGTATTCAATATGAATTATATACAATATAGATTTTACAATGCAATACAGTACAATTCCTTGTTCCCCCTATGAGCGTGGTCCACAGCTGTCGCGAGCAGCACTGCGTGACCAGCAAGCTGTTTGTTGCTGTACGCGTGCTATCGACTAGTAGTGGTTAGGACCGATTTTACGAGTGATGATTATATTACAGTATAACTCACGATAGTCATTATTCAACAATTAGGAAAATAGTTTTTCAGTTCATAACATAAATAAAAATACACAACATGAAAAAGATTACTTTATTAGTAAATTATACATAAATGCTTAACATAAATGCATATTTTTCATTCTTTATTTAATTTTTTTTTTATCTAAGACCATGGCACAAATTTGCTGGTGTTATCAATAAATTATACAGCAAAGAAAAAGTTTATACGATATGTTAATTAACGTAACGTATTCCTTCAAACGGGTGTTAGTATTCATTAATAAGTACTAAAAAAATATTTTTTATTCTAACACTTCCCTAAGGTTGACTGGAAATGAATGCTTTTAGCATTAAGACCGCCTTGTACACATATATGTACTGAATGAATGAATGAATAAATAATAATTTTTTATATTGTATATATTGTATAAAAATTACAAAAATTAATTAAAATATTTGAAAAAAGAATAATCTATAGTTTTGTCAATGGCACTACATTTTTTTTTTCATTTTCATACATAATAATAGATACAGGTGTTCTTTTTTTCGTTTGTGTTTTTTTTTCGAATAATTGAATTTATTTCTTTTTAATATTTCGGTAATAAATTTTTTCTGGGGTAAGAAATACTTGAGCCACTATTAATAAATACAAACACCAGTGTCAAGGAATGGGTTACATTAATTAATATATATATATATATATATATATATATATATATATATATATATATTATTGATTGAGACACGTGTTACTGTCAAAAAGGTAACGGTCAACTTATTAGTCAACATACAAAAACATAATTAGGTATACTAAAAACTAAATAGGAATAATAAAAATATGGCAGTTATACCTGATTAAAGGTCACGAGTGCCAGCAGTAAACAAAATCTATAATTAGTACTAATGCCAGAAAATAAACAATTTTAACATCCAGCTCTCTGACTAGCTAGTTAGTATCGTATTGACCCTAAGTCCATATGCCCCTGCAAATGTGTTATGATTGACATTAGTCAAGGAGTTACGTCAAAGGTACTGTACATATAGCTATTTGATAATTATAGATAGATAGATACTCTTTATTGTTTCCTCCAAAAGATTACAATAGTAAACTTATTATAAATATAAATAATTACAAGAAATAATCACAATGAGAAAACAATGGGCGACCTTATCGCTAAGAGCGATCTCTTCCAGCCAACCTTTGGATGGAGAGGAGTAATTATAAACAATTTGTATTGTATTGTATTGTAAAAATCTTTATTGTACATAACTCATAACTTGGTGGAAGGCACGATAAAAAATTTTGTTAGTTCTAAATATGGGAGATGTAATACATATAATAATATAAAAATTATCCCTACTCATTATTATATATATATATATATATATATATATATATACACATACACAATTCAATTATATTTCAATTATAATTCAAGATTGCGTTCCACAAAAAAAACCGGCTTCAATGCGACAAAACTAGTTAATTTAATTTCAAAACTAAATAACTGAACCGATTTTGATAAAACTTCTATGGGACCAAACTGAAAGTAAACCTTTACAGATAAGAAAAGAATATTCATAATTGAAAAATCGATTCATAAATGACAGAGTTCTGAGGTAACAAACATGAAACAAAGACCAGATCCAGTTTTAATTACTCCTCTCCGTCCTAAGGTTGCCCGGAAGAGATCGCTGTTTAGCGATAAAGCCACCCATTGTTGCCTCTTTAACTTGCTTTATCGTATTTACGTATGCATTCTGTTCGTGTACATATTGTTAATCTTTATAATCAATGTCATTCTTTGAAGGGAACAAATAATAAAGAGTTTTCATTTATTCATACAAACATATAATAGAATTTGTAAAGTCTACATTTTATTTATTTATTTTTAACTATAAACATTTAAGTCGATTGGTACACATGTATGACTGTAACTACTAATGAACTGTTAAAATACTGTTGTAATGAATTGTAAGTTTTCTCATATTGGGTTTGCTGGAAGAAATCTCTATTGGAGATAAGCTCGCCTTTGTACACTATTATGTTTGTTTTTACATTTTAATAACCGTTTGTGTACAATAAAGAATAAAGAATAATAAAAACACATTGTCCAAAAGTGCGTTGCATTAAATTCTTACTTGATATCGTAAATAGGAACGTGCTTGTTTATTTGTTACCTTTTAGCGTCTGAATAGCTTATAAATCTATGAAATTTGAATGTACTCTAAGATATTTTACTGAACTAGGTGTTATCTTGCGAAAGTCCATATTAATATTTATTTAATCAGAATTATTTTGGTTTATTTTGTCTATTGGTAGCGGAATTAAACAAAATAATTCTTTCTTTTTTATACAACTTAGAATGGCAAACAAGCTGATGGCTCACCTGATGGAAAGTGGTAACCGTCGCCTATAGATACGGGCGGTACCATGGACATAACAGAGTATACAGTTTCGACCATGATACCCCCCATGCGTTGCCATTCCTGAGGACTCAGGTATTATTCATCTGTACCCTGTAAATTCACGCCCACTTTTGTATAGTCTCCTTCTGGTATTCAAATCAAATAACTAGCGTATTCATGGACATACTCGGTCAATAAACATATCCTGGTCACATGGGTGAAGTCACGGTTAAAAACTAGTCAATCATAAAGCGACTACTTTCACATAATCAACAAGCAACGCAGATTGACTCCACGTCGGGTACCATGCATCTAGATCTTTCCAGAAGTTCAACATGGCCTTCCTCGCTCCATTGCTCCAGGGCTTCGGCCAGCCATTCTTGGATGTTAGGTTATCTTCGAACTCTGATATACCACCAGCAGATACGCCCAGTGTTATGTAGAACTGAGAACGAAAATGACGTGGTCAGGAATATTTTTGTTTAATGGGTGAAAATGGAATGGTGTACCCGCCTACGCTATCGGTATACTGGTGGGGCACCAATGAAGGATGATGTATGAGGATAATAGCATATCATCATTCGTTGTAACGTGCTTAAAAAGTAGTCGACAAGAATTAACCACTATAGTTTCCAGGCGGAACCGCGTGAAGGTCGTTCTCACAGGGTGATATTAAGAAGGACTGGAGTCGCCATTCTTAACAAATCCTTTCCCTCTGTTTCTGTTCTGTATTTTCAAACTGTACTGTACATACCACATTTCATATCTAACTCTTCTGATTGTGAGATCTTGGCATAGAATTGGCCATTACTTCTTTTCCTATGGGTAACGAAAAAGGTCACTAATAGAACTTAATGTTCGTCGAATGGGGAGCAGCGTTCCTCTTAAAACATAATCAAAGCCTTACTAAGAGTGTTAACCCGCTTACCAAGCATGGCAACTACTAGCAACATCTCTTATGAGGAGGCCAATGCCTAGCAGTGGAAAATTAACAGCTGATATAATAATGATCTCACTCTTTAAATTGAAACAGCTGCTTAACGCCAAATACAGGGGGAAAGGGATTGTTAGCGATGGGATCTAATAGCCTGTTAAATCTCATCTAACAATGTTACTTAGACCTCTGCGTGGTTCCCCCTAGAAACCATCGACTGACCTGCTTTCTTCCTCATCTATCATTCCTCACTGGTGCCCCGCCAGCGTATACCGTTAGCGCAGGCGGGGTTACCATTTCCTTATCATCCATTAAAAAAAAAACGCCAACACACGAGTGGGATAGAAATGCGTATCCAGACGACTTTCGTATACTAAAAAACTAAAATAATTTTTACAGGATATCGGAAGCATAACACTTTAATTTTCAGGAATATCTGTTGACATGGAGGGCACCACGAGTCTCGGAGTGCGTTCTCTGACGGCCTTGAAACTGTTCATGTCTACGAGTCGTTTAAAAAATCCCTGTCACCAATATGCTCTGGTCAGACCATCTTCGAAGACCACTTCGATAGCTTGAAAGAGAACGTGTGGCAAATTGAACAATGTGAACTTAATGATACTCGAAATAGCATTCTTTACCAGTCAACCCTTGAGATGAACATATAGAAACCTTTACATTTTATTAGAATATCCCATGTTTGATTCTACAATGCTTACTGAATCATCAAAAGGTGCTATTCTGGTTCCCCCGGCGAGGAGCATTCGTGGTACGTGGTTGCAGGACCGTGGCAGTCGGCCAGCTAGCCCGCTCACTGCCGGCTCCACTCTCGCCCACTCCACTCCATCCACCAATAAAATTATACGATCTGTGAAGAAAAATAAAAAATAATTTAGTATATAATCACACGGCTATGTGTATAAATATGTCTGGCATGCGGATTGGCAACCGCAGTTAGGCATTGGAGATGCTTTAAGAGGGACGCTGCTACCAATCCCTCGCCCTCCTACCTCTGTCTAATTCGTATTTCAACCGTGAAGCAGTTGTGTTTGCATGGCTGTGTTTCGGTTTGAAGGATGGGATATGGCGTGAATTTACAGGGTACAGAGGAATAACACCTGAGTCCTCAGAAATGGCAACGCATGGGGGGTATCATGGGCGAAACAGTATACTCTGTTATGTCCATGGTACTGTTAATGTCTATAGATGATGGTTACTATTTTCCATCAGGTGAGTCATTAGCTTGTTTGCCATTCTAAGTTGTATAAAAAAAAAACTAGGGAATCAAAAATAAAATTTATAAACTAAAAATTGGATAACATATAATAAATAACATTTGCCAGTACCTGGTGACCAGCGAAGGCTGTATTCGTGATAATCATCTCCCCACATCCGACCATTAGTTAGTACATTCTTCTTTAGCACTTCGTTGCGGCAATCGAAGTCCATTACGGGACCTCCGTAAAGAACCTGCATGAAATAAAAACTGATAGATGTGGTAGACAGATGCGTTGACCACAGCGGAAGATTCGAAGTGCTCAGATTTTTTTTAATAGGTGATAATGGAGTCACTGGTGCCCCGTCAGAGCTAACGGTATACACTGGCGGGGTACCAGTGAGGGATGATAGGTGAGCATGAAAAGGGAGGTCAGTTAGCCCATCGTGATGAATTCACCTGGAATTCAGCACGATGGTTTCCAGGGGGAACCGCGTGCAGGTCGTCCAGATAGGGTATATCGATAGCAATACGGACTTATCTGCCGATTATTAATAATTTCTTTCCACTTCAGATAGACGTTAGGTCATTAAGACAAACGCTTTAGGTAAAGAGGTTTCTTCAGAGTCGGCAACGCTCGTGTAATACACATAGTACCTTTTTGGGGTAGATTGGAAAGGAAATAGTTGGATTTTTCTCCGCTAGATGGTTAAGTTGCGGGCACAACCAGAATTTTATAATCTACTTACATAAAAAATCCGAAGAGGTCTTTTCATATATTAAAATAATATAAAGTGTAAATAAATAAATATACCTTGTTTCCATAGTCTTGTGGTCCAGAATTTAGCTCCTTATTGCCACGTGCTGCAGCGATTTTCAAAACACCAGATGCAAAGTTTGTATTACCATATTTCTTCAGAAATGGTTCCAGCATGATTTCTGGAAATATGTGTAGATATTTGGTTTTAAAGAATCAAGAAAAAACTTCAAAATACATGAATATAATGCATGCAATGCATGTAGAATTGCATGGGGTCGAAATTGCATCACAGAGTTTCATAAAAAGAAATCAAAATATATTATTCATACAGGATAGTTTTGGTTACTTATACATGTGAATTTTTTAAGCCTAATATCTAAATTTATATTTAGCTAAGAAGAACTGGTATAAAACTTTCTTTTTACCATCATAAATATTGACTAAACGCAATCTTTTCTTTTTTATGACACATTTACAATATTTGCGATGGAATTGTTTTTGATGTATATATTTTTATTTTTTATTTTTAATTCACTAGTTGTGTTTTAATTACATACATATATTTGAGATGTTAAGTATATATTATAAGCAATCATGCAATTATATTCATTATGTACCTATATGAATGAAAATTAATCTTCAAATGTGTTGCTAAGAGCAATACTCGAGAACGGCTGGATTAATTCGGCTAATTTCTTTTCAAATACTCATTGAAGTCTCTAAAGAGTCCTTAAGAAGAGAAAAAATGTCTGGAAAATGGTTAAAACTCCATTTTCAAACCAATTTAAAGAAGAATGAGCTTCTCAATTTGGCTGTATATTTTTTTTAAGTTTGTAACCTCATAACTCCGTCAGTTCTAAATTGATTTGGAAAATTCTTTTCTCATCTGAAAGGGTAATACAGATTGGTATTATAAAGAATTTAACAAAATCGGTCTAGCAGTTTAATTTTTAATTCATAATAGCTGGTTTTACCATAATTAAAGTCCCTTCTTTTTGTGGGAGAAAATCTTTGTAATTCCTTTTCCCATACAAATTGTTACCGTTCGACAGAATAAAGTCCGTCGGATTAACTAGTTATGTGTTAAAACTTTAAAATTGTGAAGGCGACGTGAACCTGGGTACAGCCAATCTCCTTGCGGTAGTTTCGCCCTGATATGAACAGTCCCATATTTAAATACGAAGCTTTTGCTGGTCGTAATACGGCCTGTAACCACCGGTGGTAAGATATCTGCTCCGGATGGTTGCTTCGAGCAAGCTGGTGCTGTGCATCTGTAAAGTTTACGTAGGTGAAAGCATACCATTTGAGAATATCATACAAATTCAACAGAGTATGTAGTTTTAAACCAAAAGGAGTTTGGATATCGACTATTTAGTTGCGATATAATGGCAAACAAGCTGACGACCCACCTGATGGAAAGTGGTAACCGTCGCCTATAAACATGAGCAGCACCATGGACATAACAGAGTATACTGTTACGCCCATGATACCCCCATGCGTTGCCATTCCTGAGGACTCAGGTGTTATTTCTCCGTGCCCAATAAATTTACGCCATATCCCACCCTTCAAACCGAAACACAGCCATGCAAACAGAACTGCTTCATCGTAGAAACAGGAATGGAACAGAGGTGCAATGTAAAAAATTATACCAACCCATCAAATAAATTTAAATTGTCCGTAAAGATGGACATGTTCGTGAAGCCCGGCTGATTTTGTTGCAGTTTTGGAACTATACGAAGATTACCGTCTACTATAGACACCGTGGGATCTGATGGAAGGCGCTGATATGATACGAAAGGATATTCCTGAAAATATTAACAATATAAAAGTCCTGAGAGTACTCGGAGTTGAGAATCGTCGAAGAACATATACGAGTAGTCTGTTTCTTATTTAATAAAACTTAATGTAAACAAAGAAGTAATTGACACGACCATAAGACAATACAAAATAGTTTTTTTTTTATACAGCTTAGAATGGCAAACAAGCTGACGGCCCACCTGATGGAAAGTGGTAACCGTCGCCTATAGACATGAGCAGTACCATGGACATAACAGAGTGTACTGTTTCGTCCATGATACCCCCCATGCGTTGCCATTCCTGAGGACTCAGGTGTTATTCCTCTGTACCCTGTAAATTTACGCCATATCCCACCATATAATTTCTGTCAGTGTTTTTTAGACAGTTTCTGTAATCATTTCAACAATACTTAGTGACCTTAGGTTATATAGATAGAGTGTCCCTATACAAATGCTTCGAGAAAAGCGTGTCAACTTTTTCATACAATTTTGCGTAATAAAATAGTTACGACCGTTTTATTTATAACTTCTATATTTATTTTGTTTTACAATTTTTGCATTTATTTAATGTGTAAAAACTGGTTTTATTTATAATATATAAATGTATATAATATAATGAAATAAATATATAATATAGTATAATTAAATATAGATATATCAAGATACATTATGTACGTAAGCAAGAACACTGATAAAAAACGAGTCAGCTAATTTGACAATTACCTCACAAAAAGTTAACCTGTTTTTGAGACTCGATGCTACCTATCTATATAATCTAAGTTAGTGACCTTTGCATGAAATTCTATTAAAATAGATCGTAATAGAAGATAGTAAATGGATGAAAGAAGAATTACGAAAGAGATTTATCGAGCAAGAATGAATGGAGATATCGGTAGGGGCCGCCCTAGACGGACGTGTGTCGACCAAATAGGCGACGTGCTTAAGAAGGGCCAAATTAAAAGTACCCGTAACCGGCGAGCGTGTACGAAAAGATTGATGAATGTGGAAGAAGCGAAAGAGGTTTGTTTGAATCGAAGCATTTGGCGTTCCATTGTTTCTGCCTACCCTAATGGGAGACAGGCGTGACAGATATATGTATGTAAACGGTGGTAGTAAGAAACCTTACACGAAATTTTACAACTAGTAAAATCTAAAGTATGAAATATGTAGTCTAGTTACCACTTACAGGATTATCAATTGGTATGTATTGTTCAATTTGCCACACGTTCTCTTTTAAGCTATCGAAGTGGTCTTCGAAGATGGTTTGACCAGAGCATATTGGTGTCGTACTGCCGCGGATCACTGTCACTGATGACTGGCAATTGGGGTTGGAACCGCCTGAACGGTTATCCAAATCTGAAATTATTGGAAATAACTATTATAAAATATTTATCATAATTTTTTAAACTTTACAAAATTCTCATCTCCCCTCTTAAGGAGAGGAGATGGCAACTAACCCCCGGTAGAAGCACAGTCGGCTGGGGTTCAGGGCCCCAGGGAGAGAAACCGGCGTACAATGCGGGCAGAATCTAAGAGCATCGCTTTCTGCATCTTTCCCGGGAGTGAGCCACCTCGGAATCCCAACCATCTGAGATGTTGTTCGAGACTGGTTGGGATAAGACCGTTCACCGACATAACGATTGGAATGATTTCAGTGGATGTTACCCCCCACATTTCGGTCACCTCGTGAGCCAGGTCGAGATATTTTCTCTTTTTCTCAGTTTCGGCTTTCACGAGGTTCTCATTATTATCATTGTTATTAGGGGAGTTTTGCCAGTAGTTCCACTTGGCGGGCGGGTTGGCAACCGTAGTTAAGCTTTTACAGATGTTTTAAGAGGGACACTGCTGTCCATCCCTCGCCTCCCTTAGTCGCTACTTACGACACCCACGGGGAAGGAAAGGGATGCCCATTCTATGCCGGGGCAGACACGGCAGCAAATATAAAATAGTATTTCACATAAATATTTCAATTCTCAGAATTACAGTATTTTCTTTTTCCTTTTCAACGTGTACAGGTAAAGTCCCTGAAATACATTCACAATACATTAATTGCAAGAGTCAAGCGTGTTCGCAGATATCTGTTATTTGTATTTTTAACGTTTTTTTTAGCGAATCTTTAATTTCGTGATGTCAGTTTATTGATGTATCTTTTGGCTAATCGCCCAGTTTCTTTTATAAATGTTCTAATATGTTTTAACTATTATACTTGTATGCAATTCAACTATGATATAGAGAGGTTAAGGACTTTTTATCTTTTTTAAAATAATGTTTAAAAAACTTTTTTTTTATACGTCTTAGAATGGCAAACAAGCTGATATATAGATATATAATTCCTTTATATAGATAGAGAATGCTACTACGAGTATCATTAAGTTCACATGTATCTTATTTCATTTTGGACAATTTTTTTAAATAAATAAATAAATACTTACTGCCTACAGTATATGTCAGGTTGTCAATCACATATCCAACCCTGTCGACTGTCACGATGAAGTAATAGTGTATAACGTCACCCACTTTCAGTTCCACATTGGGATCCTCGAATTCCCATCGCCCATTTGTGGCCTTTGTAACCTCACCCCTTATTGAGCCAACATCGTCACTGCCTATAGCTCTGTTAAGGTGGCCATTGAAAGCGAACAATGATATTTTTGAAGAGCTCGAATCTGAAATATATTATTTATACTACTTAAAATGTCAAACAAGCTGGATAGTTCATGTCATAAAAAAATGGCAACCACTGTATATATGGCAAAATGTAAAATGTTAGAAAAATATTTATTTCAATAACAAAATTGATACACTACAAAGATCTTTGTTGTGGCTTCTAGAAGCCACACATTGTATTAAGGTGTTACAGTGTACTAGTAAGTGAATACACTGTAACACCTTAAGGTGTTACCTTACCTTACCTTAAGGGCATTACGATTTTCTTAAGTTGAGAAGTTTTTTGGTGCTGTGGGAAGCTTTGGTACCCTGTAATTTCACTGCAATATCCCATCTTACAAACCGAAACATAGTTTTTCTTCAACTACTCTTAATAAACAATTTTTACTTTTTAGATCTTGTTCTTTTTGGAAATGCTCTTATTATATGTCTAATCTAGAATACTGCGGAGCGTTAAACAAGGTTACGAAATTATGTATATATATTTATTATTAAATATATATTTAATAATAAATTAAATATATATTTAAATATATGAAAAATGGAGTGACAATCTCAAATGCAATGTGGATGCAGTGTGGTCAGTGGATGCAGCTGGCTTAGGATCATTTCAAGCAGTCAATGGAGGAGGCCTTTATTTAGTAGTGGACAGAAAATGGATGAAATGATGATGAAAAAAATTTTTTTTTAGAAAGAGAAAAAAAACAGATCGTTCGACAGATCAACCGACGGATCGACCGACAGGCCGACCGACAGTTCGACCGACAGGTCGACCGATACGTCGACCGATAGATCGACCGATAGATAGACCGATAGATCGACCGACGGATCAACCGACTGGTCGACCGACTGGTCGACCGACTGGTCGACCGACTGGTTGACCGACTGGTCGACAGACAGGTCGACCGACTGGTCGACCGACTGGTCGACCGACTGGTCGACCGACGGATCGACCGACGGATCGACCGACAGATCGACCGACGGATAGACCGACTAATAGACCAACAGATAGACCGACGGATAGACCGATAGATAGACCGATAGATAGACCGACAGGTCGACCGACTGGTCGACCGACAGATCGACCGACAGATTGACCGACAGGTCGACTGACTGGTCGACCAACAGGTCGACCGACTGGTCGACTGACGGATCGACCGACGGATCGACCGACGGATAGACCGAGTAATAGACCAACAGATAGACCGACGGATAGACCGACGGATAGACCGATAGATAGACCGATAGATAGACCGATAGATCGACCGATAGATCGACCGATAGATCGACCGATAGATCGACCGATAGATCGACCTTTGGATAGACCGACGGGTAGACCGACGGATAGATCGACGGATAGACCGACGGATAGACCGACGGATAGATCGACGGATAGACCGACGGATAGACCGACGGGTAGACCGACGGATAGATCGACGGATAGACCAACAGATAGACCGACGGGTAGAGCGACGGATAGACCAACGGATAGACCGACGGGTAGATCGACGGATAGACCGACGGATAGATCGACGGATAGACCGATAGATAGACCGATAGATAGACCGATAGATCGACCGACAGATCAACCGACAGATCGACCGACGGATCGACTGACTGGTCGACCGATGGATCGACCGATAGATTGACCGACGGGTAGACCGACGGATAGATCGACGGATAGACCGACGGATAGACCGACGGATAGATCGACGGATAGACCGACGGATAGACCGACGGGTAGACCGACGGATAGATCGACGGATAGACCAACAGATAGACCGACGGGTAGAGCGACGGATAGACCAACGGATAGACCGACGGGTAGATCGACGGATAGACCGACGGATAGATCGACGGATAGACCGATAGATAGACCGATAGATAGACCGATAGATCGACCGACAGATCAACCGACAGATCGACCGACGGATCGACTGACTGGTCGACCGATGGATCGACCGATAGATTGACCGACGGATAGACCGACGGATAGATCGATAGATCGACCGACGGATAGACCGACGGATAGACCGACGGATAGATTGACGGATAGACCGACAGATAGACCGACGGGTAGAGCGACGGGTAGACCGACGGATAGACCGACGGATAGACCGAGGGATAGATCGACGGATAGACCGACGGATAGACAGACGGATAGACCGACAGGTAGACCGACGGGTAGACCGACGGATAGACCGACGGATAGATCGACGGACAGACAGACAGATAGATATTTTAATTTTAAAGAGTAATAAAAAATAGAGGTCAAAAGCGGAACAGAAAGACCGAGGAATAACTACATGGGACAGATAAAAGAAGCACTAGGTGTCATGTCGTATAGGGAGGTTAAAGATATGGCTTGGGATAGAGCTGGTTGGAAAAGATGCATGAATTAGTTGCACCGACAAGAGAAAAGTCTAAAATGAAAAGAAGTAGATGTGAGTAGGTATTAGTGTTTTTTTTTTTTGTAAACCTAAATGTACTCGTTATTTTAAAAAGTTTCAATTCTCTACGGAAGTCATTACGGAAAATTGATAAACGCTTAAATTGTTCGTGCAATTTCGAAATAAATATATGATTATTACCTGGTATCGATATACGTAATCCTTTTGGTTTTAATACTTCGAAATTCACTTTTATATCGGGACGTTCTTGTGATATTGCGACTTGTAATACGATTAAAACAATGGTCACAGTTGAGACACGACCGTTAGCAACGCACGCCATCTTGCCACTGACCCGAGTGCGACTGTGACCGGATCGCTGCACTGCACAGAGTAATACAGATAATAAGATGGTACTTTATTAGGTACCCTGACTAGTCTAAAACTTAGTATTTTTTTTTTATTTGATAAACAAGAAAACGGCCCACTTTACGGAAAGGTTGTTCGATTTATTTGATTTTTAGGGTTCTTTTTTTAGGGTTAGGGGATAAATTGGTACAAAGTAGCTTATCGTGTGGGATAACGAGTTAAGTTGAGGGGAAGGGATTATTAGTAATGCGGACTACCAGTCCCATTGCTGACAATATACCCTGTTAGATCGATCTCCAAGTGGTCCCTCCCTGGAAATCGTCGTGCTGAATTCCCGGTGGGCTAATTGACTTGCCTCTTTGTTTTTACCTATCATCCAACCCTGGTGCACCGCCACCGTATACCGTTAACGCAGGTGGGGTAACCGTTTAGTTATCCTCCATTAAGAAAACATCCGGCGATCAGGCTGGCATAGGCCGCATTACTAACAATCCCTTCCCCTTTTCGTCAGAGGTTGCTACCAGCGGGTGTAATTTTTTATATTTGTAATTGTAAAAAAAATATTTACGCTATGAGTGAAAAAAAATTATCGAGGTTGGTACATACAGGGATTTTACTATAACCCAATCTCCCAATGAAATTTTCAATTTCGTATTTTTTTTATTGGATGAAAATGGAATGGTAACCCCGCCTGCGCTAACGGGATATGCTGGCGGGGCACCAGTGAAGGGTGATAGATGAGAATGAAAACAGGCTAGTTAGCCCATCATGATGAATTCATCGGGAATTAACCATGATAGTTTCCAGGGGGAACCGCGAGGAGGTCGACCTGGTTGGGTATATTGCTAGCAATGGGATTCTCAGTCTCCATTACTAACAATCCCTTTCCCCCCTCAATTTCGTATTGGGAATACGTATAAATATTTAATGTTACTGTGTGGTCCCAGCATAGAATAGGCCATCCCTTCCTTTCCCGTGGGTGTCGTAATAGGCGACTACGGGTGTGCGAGTCATGAGCAGCAGCGTCCTTCTTAAAACATCACGAAACCCTAATTGCGGTTGCCAATCCGCCTGCCAAGCGTGGCAACTACTGGCAAAACCCCCAAGGGGGAGGCTTATTTTTTTTATACAACTTAGAATGGCAAACAAGCTGACGCTGAGCAGTACCATGGACATAACAGAGTATACTGTTTTGCCCATGATACCCCCCATGCGTTGTCATTCCTGAGGACTCAGGTGTTATTCCTCTGTACCCAGTAAATTCACGCCATTAATTCATCAATTAGAGTCTGATATGACGATAAAAAATATTTAGGTTATTTACCTACTTCTGAACGCATGTGTAAGAAAAATAATCAAAAAATCACCGGTTCCTTTAGTTCGTGTATTTACCCGTTATCAAGATGACTCAGAGTACATCTTCATTGTTGCTACGTTGAAATCGTATGAAATAGAATTATTAATCATTTATTTAATTGTGTGGTTATCCAGTGTTGCCAGATTGAGTATTTTTTTGCATATTTGGCCAAAAATGTTTCTTTTCGCGAAATTTCAGTGAAAATGAAATTCTTAAAGGAAATTTTAGAGAAAGGCGAAATGGGCTTGCAGAAATTTCAATAATTTTTTGGACAGTTTTGGTATTTGTAAATTATATAGAGGTGTATATATATATATATATATATATATATATATATATATATATATATATATATGCTTTTAGCGATAAGGTCGCCTATTGTTTTCTCATTGTGATTATTTCTTGTAATTGTTTATATTTATAATAAGTTTACTATTGCAATCTTTTGGAGGAAACAATAAAGAGTATCTATACATCTATATATTTATATAATAAAATATATATAGAATAAAATATTTTTATGAAGGTAGCAAAACAGAGGAAGAGATAAGAGGAGGTAAAAGTAGAAATGCGAGGAATGTTTTTTATTCTTTTTTCTATGTTTTCTCTGTGCCTCATGCCAAACTAAGCGAAAAACGACATAAGAATGTGATAGAGTAAACAAAAGTCTTAATCTGGTTGAATTGTATCGATTTGGAGAAAAAATATTTAATATTTGGGTAATATTCAAAACTCACATCTGGCAACCCTGGGGTTATCGTAAAATTAGTTATATTTTATTCCGCTAAATCAATATATGTCTTGTGAACGTTTAGTGTAGTAGTTTAGAGTTTATTAGTTTAAAGCTAGTAAATAATTCTTATCAATATTCGTATTATGAACGAGGAAGTGAGTATGTTTGTTACCTCCTAACGCCTTAATGGCTTAATCAATTACTATATTTTTTTTTATACAATTTAGAATGGCAAACAAGCTGACGGCCCACCTGATGGAAAGTGGTAACCGTCGCCTATAGACATGAGCAGTACCATGGATATAATAGAGTATACTGTTTCGCCCATGATACTCCCCATGCGTGGCCATTCCTGAGGACTCAGATGTTATTACTCTGTACCCTGTAAATTCACGCCATATCCCACCCTTCAAACCGAAACACAGCCATGCAAACACAACTGCTTCACGGTAGAAACACGAATGGGACAGAGGTACCCAAGCAATCGATTTTTGTACAAAGTCTCCCTCTGGTAAATATGAATTTGTATACTATGAAATTTGGTATATACGTACTATATGGAATGAAGAAGGACACGCTTATTTCCTTCTCCTAATTTTTTATACCGATTAGTGAATATATCTCGATCTAGCGGATGATGTCGCTTGTAATAGCTAGTATTAAAATTTAAGTAAGTGTATTTGAATGATTATATACTAGGATCAAATTGTCATATCCCATAAAAAGTACACTATTTGGAATCACTATGGAAACGCCCATGGAAATCAAATGGTTTTAATTCAAAGAGAAACTACGGATTAGAAAAAAATATTTAATTCAAAATCGAAAACTGTTTAGTGTTTAAATGCACAATACCATAATTAGAGATGAATTTAAGTGGCTGTAACCCATTCATATGTAAACGATATATCTCCTTTAGAAAATACACTTTATACCCTGAGGAGATAAAAAACAAAGCTACAAAAAAACATCTCAAAATTCCTATCACTGATTAGGAATTAGTAGCGAACTTTAAAAAAAGGGGCGAGCTTAAAAGATGAGAATTATGAGAAGCATGGAAAGGTCGCAGTGTCACAGGTTTTTCTGTCTAAAAAAGCCTGTCTCTTAACAATAAAAATAATAATAGGTGGGTGAAGTGGGGGGGGGGGGGTCCCACAATTGTTTAGTGCTTTTTGTCAAACCCCAGAATCAGGAACGGAGCTTTTAATCATGGGAAAAGATGTCTAATAGTACTGAGTACATAAATGCCTTTATTTGGGCGCTAGGTTCTATGGAAAATAATTTTCAATATCCTAATGAGCATAGTTTTGTATAAATAAATATAGTATAAATTTATATCAGGTATTTTTTTATACCACTGAGGTGGCAAACAAGCATACGGCCCACCTGATGGTAAGTGGTTAACGTAGCCAATGAACACCTGCAATACCAGAGGTATTACGCGCGCGTTGCCGACCCTGAAGAAACCTCTTTAGCCCCCTTTTGAAGAATCCCATGCTCTAGTCTCTTGGGCATATACCTACCTACCAATATACACCTACAGTTCACATTCAATTCGTATACTTAATCAATAGATTTTTTGGTACATTTACGAATTTTTTACCTAGTTATTGCTTCAATGGTTTTTAATGGATTCAGTGTTGGACTAAAGGGAGAGGCCGAAGGGCTGGCCCGGCCCGATCCTCTAGTCTTTCAGAACTTTCGAACGCCTCCATTTTCCTCATCAAAATCCATATTCTACTTATGTTAATTAAAATCTAATTTAAATTTCATTTGCAAGACTTTAACTAAATAAACATAAACACTTATATATATAAATGTAAACGGAATGAAAAGCTTGTAAAATTCTATTAACTTCTCAATCTGGGGTCTCATTCAACTTTGCCGCCCCGGTGCCCTGATGGGCTTAGTCCGCCGCTACTTGAAGTGTGGTTATATTCGTATTAATTGAAGCTGTGCACGCGACATTAATATAAAATAAATATTACCTCAATTCTTATATCTAAAATAAAGCTGTTAGGTTTTTGACTTTGTAATTTATGTAACAATGTAAAACAATAAAAATGTACATTTAAATATTCACATTATTGTACGTATGGATATCTCTATATGTATTTAAAAAACGAACAGACTTTTGTGCCTCCAACAAACTATTTATAATTACTCTTCTCCATCCAAAGGTTACCTGGAAAATATCGCTTTTAGCGATAAGGCCACCCATTGTTTTCTCAGTGTAATATTTTCTTGTAATTGTTTGTATTTATAATAAGTTTACTATTATAATCTTATGGAAATTAAAATTTTATTCCTCTGTACCTTGTAAATTCACGCCATATCCCACTCGTTACTGTTTCGCCCATGATAGTCCCCATGCGTTGCCGTTACTGGGGACTCAGGTGTTATTCCTATGTACCCAGTAAATTCACGCCATATCCCACCCTTCAAACCGAAACACAGCCATGCAAACACAGCTGCTTCACGGTAGAAACACGAATGGGACAGAGGTACCCAAGCAATCGACTTTTGTACATGTTATAATTATATAAATAATTATATTGGATCTCTTATTAATTTTTCTTAAACAACTTTCATGTACAGACACCGTTTAGCTATAATTTTATTATATCAATAAGATGAATTAAAAAAAAATAGACCTTTTGTACTTAAATATAAAGATATTTATTGAAAAATAATCACATCACATTTTAAAATATTTACATCCTATAATGCATAGACCCTAACATAATCGACTTGTAATGAGCTAGTGTCCTTGAACCAGGTTGGGAACCACTGGTCGCGATTGTTCCAAAAGTTGAGCATGGCTTTCGTGGCCTTATTCTGCCAGGGTTTAGTGGAGCTGTCGGGGAACTCGTGGACGCCACCCACGTCTAATCCAATGGAGATGTAGAACTGTTTGGTGATAAAAGAAAAAATAAAATATTTACTATAACTTCACACACATGACATGCCATCATAAAAAATCATGTAAAAATAACAAGCAACATTGGTCATCATAAAAAAAAAAATAAAAAAAAAATTGTGTAAACTTAAAAAAAATAATGAACGAATGAATAAATAATAATACGGGAGTAAACTTAATTAACTTTGAAAAGGTTATTTTTTTTATAACAAATCAATTTTAGTTTTATTTCAGTTGGTGAAAATACTATTTTTATATTATGTTACAGTAACTATATCCTGTGACTTCAACCGCGTGAATTAGGGGGGAAAAGGATTGTTAGTAATGGAGACTAAAAATCCCATTGCTAGCAATATACCTAATCAGGTCGACCTCCACGCGGTTCCCCCTGGAAACTATCATGGTTAATTCCTGATGAATTCATCATGATAGGCTAACTGGCCTGTTTTCATTCTCATCTATCACCCTTCACTGGTGCCCCGCCAGCGTATCCCGTTAGCGCAGGCGGGGTTACCATACCATTTTCACCCATCAAAAAAACCGCGTGAATTAGTATATAAAGTAACTTGTATGCTAAGTTAGGATTCAATCTAATTGTGATCCAAATTTTGTTTAAATCTATTCAGTAGATTTTGCGTGAGAGAGTAACAAACATCCACCGTTACAAACTTGTGCATTTAAAGAAAGAAAGAAAGAAAAATATTTATTTCGAAATATTCATACTTATACCTAACTAGCGGCCCGTCCCGGCGTCGCACGGGTGGACATTTTTAACATTTCCCTTCACTACTCTGCTCCTATTGATCGTAGCGTGATGAAAAGTATACTATAACCTGCCCAGGAGTATGAAGAACAATTGTACCAAGTTTCGTTGAAATCTGTCGAGTGGTTTTTATTTCTATAAAGAACATACAGACAGACAGACAAAAATTTTACTGATTGCATTTTCAGCATCAGTATCGATCACTAATCACCGCCTGATAGTTATTTCGGAAATATATTTCATGTACAGAATTGCCCTCTCTACAGATTTATTATAAGTATAGATAGATTAGAAATTATGCGACCAAAATGGTCACCACTCAGCTAACTGTTTAGGCATTCATACGTAACGCCTAAACGCTGATTCTGTGGTACCAATGGGAGTGGCATTAATCTATCCCTTATTTTTTGGTACTTCCAGTGTTCATGGGACGGTTATGTCTATGAATTTCCATCAGGTGGATCATCAGATCAAAAATTGGGAGATGAATTTAAAAAGACAAGACAAGAAATTAGGAAAGGATTTATATAAAACAGTATTACGAGTTATAATATTTACATAATCATCGAGGGGAGCCATAGACGTCCCTTTCAGCCATTGCGAAGCTGCTTGGACATTCTCTTTCTTCGCATCACCATAAAATCCATCTGTCGGTGGTGTCACATCTCCATATTTTTCTCCGTCAACGAAAAGGGATATACCATCTGTAATTAGCTGCTTATATCAATATAATTTTAAATAATGTAATTTTAACAATTAGTATTAGAATATATATAGGGTATTACAATTTATGATATTTTATATGATATAAGAAGGAGATAGAAGGGAAGAGGGAGACCGAGACATAGTTACATCAGGCAGATCAAGGAAGGAGTTGGTGTCGTGTCGTATCACGGGGTGAAGAGACTAGCTGAAAATCGTAGTGAGTGGCAAGAGCTCCACCGACAAGAGCGCAGCTCTTAAATGGATAGATAGATAGATATATAATATACCAATGTTATTTATGTTGTGTTCGCATGGCTGTGTTTCGGTTTAAAGGGTGGGATATGGCGTGAATTTACTGGGTACAGAGGAATAACACCTGAGTCCTCAGGAATGGCAACGCATGGGGGGTATCATGGGCGAAACAGTATACTCTGTTATGTCCATGGTACTGCTCATGTCTATAGGCGACGGTTACCGCTTTCCATCAGGTGGGCCGTCAGCTTGTTTGCCATTTTAAGTTGTATAAAAAAATTTAACTTATACCCTTCCTCATCCAATATAATAGTGTATGTCAAATTTTATAGTGACTGGTTAGACCGTTAAGGTGTTATAATGTAACGAATAAACAAACGCACTTGCACATTTATAATATTAATAAGGCTATATTCTAGTACTTACCAGGCCTCCATTCTAATGTATAGTTGTGGAAATCTTTATTCCAATGGTCAAATCCAATTTTTTGCTTAAGATTAACATTCCTGAAAATAGATGGATTTATAAGATAGTAAGTATAATAAAGCATAAAGTAAACTACTCAATAGTTATTATATCTCAAAAAATCAATATGAAGGCTCTTGATGTTAGACATTTTAATTAACAATTGTATAACTGGCTTAATGTTAAATCGTTTTATAGTATAGACGAATATCTGAACCATAATAGCAATTGACAAGAATGTATATTGAAGTATAGTGTATGTAACAATCTAAGGTAACAATTTATCAATTGCATTTCTTTTTTATTATGAATGTTAGTTTGGTATTTTATCTTATCCGTTTAATAATAATAATATTTTTATTCAAAAAACATATATATATATATATATATATATATATATATATATATATATATATATATATATATATATATATATATATATATATATACATGTTGCATAAAGTACAATTTACAATTTATATTCAACAGTCCCCAAACGAAGCCAGACCTGTATCTTGGGGAAATATATCTTGTTTAAATAAATATTATTATTTAATGGGCATTAAATTTAGGTACTCTGATATTAATTATTTAATTTTGACATACTTCTTTTACGTACAAAATAACTAGGTATTCTGGTGAAACATGTAGCTCGAAGTGTACACGACAGAACATCTAATGTAACCATGTTTAATGCAAATAAAGAATCTGAATGTGAATGTTTATCATTGTTTTATATTATATATTTCATATATATTAGTATATCTATATATACTGTAGTTTTATAAAACTATAATATTAATTTTAGTTAAGAAACTACAGTTATGTTTTTACGAATAAATCTCATTTAATTTCATATCTTTTGGTAATGTGTAATTCATTTCATTACTTTTTTTTATACAACTTAGAATGGCAAACAAGCTGACGGCCCACCTGATGGAAAGTGGTAACCGTCGCCTATAGACATGAGTAGTACCATGGACATAACAGAGTATACTGTTTTGCCCATGATGTTTGTACCCCCCATGCGTTGCCATCCCTGAGGTCTTAGATGTTATTCCTCTGTACCCAGTAAATTCACGCCATATCCCACCCTTCAAACCGAAACACAGCCATGCAAACACAACTGCTTCACGGTTGAAACACGAATGTGACAGAGGTACTCAAGCAATCGACTTTTGTACAAAGTCTCCCTCTGGTAAACTTCTATTTTCTTCTGTATTCTTCTGGTGACTTTTATTAATGTTTATGTATTATGTGTATTTCTTATGTATTATATGTATGTATAAATAAATTAGTATGTTCTAATAATTATGTCACATATTTTTCGTTCTTAAGTATTTTAACATTATGTCAATTAACAATAATAAAATCGTAGTAGAATATTTAAAAAATCAGTGTTAATTAACATATACCCTATGTTACTTGTCGAAAATGTAAACTTTTATTGCTGAAAGAATTTTTAAAGACTAGTTATTGAATTTATCCGTCACGAATAAACTTTGTCTCTGTATTTATTTATTTAATTCTTTATTGTACACACCAGTTATAAAAATATGACAGAGGTAATCAAATCTACAAAGGCGAGCTTAACTCTAATAGAGTTAGTTTTCTTCCAGCAAACAGCAAACTTTTTTTAACTTCTTTACAAATCTTTCCTGTTTGTAATATTAGTAAAGGTTAAAATTATAAAATAATTTCTAGTCACCTATAGGGTTCTGAATCGCACAGTATAGGACCGCCATATAAGGTTTTGGAGTACTCCACATTTCCTTTGACGCAGGCGACTCGCAACAGTCCTGATGCGTAACTATGAATACCGTAAATACGATCGCGAGGCTCCAGCAGGATTTCTAGAACATTAATCAAATTTAAATTACATTTAAGATAGAGACATGAACAGCACAGAACAGAACAGACAGAAGGTTCTCGAATACATTGTGAGGTCTATGGTTCTCCACATCATCATATTGTATCAGCTGTTAACCATTCATTGCTGGACATAGGCCTCCTCCTTGGGGGGGGGGTCGGTCTTGCCAGTAGTTGCCACGTTTGGCAACTAAAAATAAAATATTTCTATATCTTTTTTCTTTTAAATAATAGTAAGTACTATTACAATTATTGACAAATTTAAGTATTGTATAGGATATACGAATTAAGTTTCCAAGAATGAAATATCTGTCATAAAGACCTCATATCAAATGAAATTATGATTTTATATACGAGTAGTAAAAAGTGTAATAACAAATAACTTAACTTGGTACACCAAGAAGCAAACTTTAATTGTAGCAAAACCAGTTAATTTGATTGATAAACTAAATTAAGAAATTAATTTTGATAAAATTTATATGTAAGTACATTTTTTCAGTTAAAAAAAGAATTTTCCAAATCGCTTTACAACGGACGGGAGTTATGAGGTAACGAGCATTTATTTATTTTGGAAATTATTTGATAATAAAATATACCTGGTATCAACCAGTCACCAGTCGGCATTCTCGCCCTGACCTCCACTCTTCCATATTTAAAGCTGAACCTATTCTTGGTGTTGATCTTGGAAGTTATGACTGGGGGTAAGATTATGGGTCCGGACGCTACACGCGTACAATCAGCTGCCCCTATTGTACCTGTACATCTGACATAATAAAAAAAAAAACAGTTTTTTCAACAACTATTTAGAATAGCAAACAAGCTACAAGAGAGAACTACAAGATGTTTAGGTTGTTTTTTGATGGGTGAAAATGGTATGGTAACCCCGCCTGCGCTAACGGGATACGCTGGCGGAGCACCAGTGAAGGGTGATAGATGAGAATGGAAACAGGCCAGTTAGCCCATCATAACGAATTCACAAGGAGTTAACCATGATAGTTTCCAGGGCGAATCGCGAGGCGGTCGACCTGGTTGGGTATATTGCTAGCAATGGGATTCTTAGTCTCCATTACTAACTATCCCTTTCCCCCCAGATGTTAAGGTTAGTAATTAAACATTGCGTCCCAAAAAAAAAAACGAGTTTAATTAAAACAAAACTGGTTATTTTAGTTTAAAAATTAGACTACTGAATTGATATCGATGAAATTTCTACCGATCTGTAAGTATATCTCTTCAGATAAAAAAAATACAAATCGGTTTACAACTGACAGAGTCATAAGAAATATAACCGAATCGAGAACCTCCTTTTTTGGAAGTCGGTTGAAAAGATAATTAATTGTTGAGTTTCCTCCCAATAGATAATATTCCGAAACTACAGTACCTGAAATCACAAAATGTGAAAATTTTAATGAGTACAAACTAACATAAATTAGGTTCAGCGTGGAAATGCAGCAAGTATCCTAAGCATGGTTGGGTATATTGCTAGCAATGGGATTCTCAGTCTCCATTACTAATAATCCCTTTCCCCCCAATTGTATAGATTAAATATACATAAGACCAATAGAGTCACTGGATATATTTACAGAAGTATAAAAACAAACAAACATAGTGTACACTTGTTTTGCTTAAAAAAATATCTGTCAAAATCCTGTGAGCAAAACGTCATTTAGGTTGACTAAGTTTTCGCCTGTTTAAACAATTAGGGCTATATCTGTCTATATAATTACAAGACTATTGGGCACCAGCAAGAGTGTCTTATGGTTGGTTGAATTTGTTTGTTTACATTTCAATTAAGTTGTATTGAAACAGATCATACCTCTGCGTCAAATCCAGCTGTTGTCTCACATAATCTTCGCCGTACTTAGACTCGAGTGTTGTTGGCGTAATAATCAATTTGCCGTCTCTCACATGTACATTATCGTACAAATATACGTTGAATGGATAATCCTGTAAGTAATTATTACGCGGATTATTTTGGATAATTCGTTTTTGATTAATACTAAGCACTGTTCATTATGTACATTCGTATTGTATCTGTACATTCGAATTGTATGCTTTGTGAGAGTAAATCTATTTTATTGTCTTTGTCCTCTATAATCTTTTTTTTTTTATACAACTTAGAATGGTTAACAAGCTGACGGCCCACCTGATAAAAAGCGGTAACCGTCGCCTATAGACATGAGCAGTACCATGGAAATAACAGAGTATACTGTTTCGCCCATGATACCCCCCATGCGTTGCCAGTCCTGAGGACTCAGGTGTTATTCCTCTGTACCCAGTAAATTCACGCCATATCCCACCCTTCAAACCGAAACATAGCCATGCAAACACAACTGCTTCACGGTTGTAACACGAATAGGACAGAGCTACCTAAGCAATCGACTTTTTTCCAAAGTCTCCCTCTGGTAAAATCTGGTAATCTTATGATATAAATATTCATGTTAGTTAATTTTTTTTATTATTTCAGCTGATTACTGTCCACTGTAAGGGGAGTTTTTCCAGTAGTCGCCATGCTTGGCAGGTGGGTTGGTAAACGCAGTTAAACTTTTAGAGGTGTTTTAAGAGGAACGCTGTTGACTATCCCTCGCCCACCGAGGGGAAAGGGATTCTTAGTAATGGGGTCTGACTGCCCCATTACTAACAATATACCCTATTAGGTCGACCCCCACGCAGTTCCCACTGGAAATCATCGTGGTTAATTATTGATGAATTCGTTATGACGGGCTAACTGACCTGCTACATCCTCACTTATCATTACTCACTGGTACCCCGCCAGTGTATACCGATAGCGCACGCGGGGTTACCATTTCATTGTCATCCAGTAAAAAAAATCCCTCGTCCACCCTAAGGGCATCTTACGGCACCCACGGGAAAGGAAGGGGTAGCCCATTCTATGCCGGGGCACACACGGAAGTAAAAATTAGTACGTATGCAAAGATCGGTAGATAAACAGTAGGTGTACAATATTTTTTTGCAGTATACTTTGTTATGTCCATGGTACTGCTCATGTCTATAGGCGACGGTTACCACTTTCCATCAGGTGGGCCGTCAGCTTGTTTGCCATTCTAAGTTGTATAAAAAAAGCTGGCCAAAAGAAAATGCATGAATTAGTTGCGACAAGAGGAAACTCTTAAATACGAAGAGAGAGATTTAATTCAAAATGTATTTTGTTGCGAAATGACTTAGCGATGTTATGAATATTAATAGATTTTATAAAAATGAGTGACTGTCGTTTATAGAAAATGTCTGTAACATTTTATTTATGCAACTTAGAATGGTAAACAAGCTGACGGCTCACTTGATGGAAAGTGGTAACCGTCGCCTATAGACATGAACAGGACCGTGGTCATAATAGAGTATACTGTATCACCCATGATAATATTTAATAATATTTATGCGTTGCTATTCTTGACAAATAAAGTATTATGCCTCTGCATCCTGTAATTTCATTGCCATATCTTACCTTTTAAATCGAAACACAGCCATGCAAACACAACTGCTTTACGGCAGAAACACGAATGGGACAGAGGTGGCCAAACAAACGACTTCTTTCTTTCTTTCTTACTTTTTTCCCCTTTGGTACACACGTACGCAAATAGCTTTATACTTATTTCTATTTTTAGAATACAGTAAATAAAACTTACCGGTTCACCAGGAAACATATTTTCTGTCGTCCAAATATTGCCTTTGTCGATACCTTTGTTAAAATTATCTTCAAATAACAGCTGTCCTTTGCAGACAAAGCCGGGTACAGACACCATGGATACAGATATTTCGCAAGGATAAGTATTCTGGGAGGTGGGAGGATTGGTGACTATGGCGGTGGCTGGGGTGATAGCGGCTGGGGGTTCAGTGACCACAGCGTCGGGCTGGGATGTAGGTGCCACTGGATTTCCAGCCTCGTCGACGTAACCTGGAGGATAAAATGAATATTAATACAACGCATATATCGTCGTTGTGCAGCGAAAATTTATCAACTACAAAAAACAGATTCTGAGAATAATCGCGTTTGAATATTTTTTTACGTAAAAATCGATATAGCTTCTAAATGCTAAATGCTATCAAAAATATTTGTAGGAAGAAAACATAGCTTACAGTTTAATAAAACTGCGTGTAATGAATGAAATTCAACAGCAGTTTATTTATTTAAATTAAAATAAAAAAATCAACTTAATTAGTTTTCGCGGAGAAAGGTCCGGTAGAACTGGTACTTAGGTATTAATTGACATTCTGTAATTTCAAGAATATGAAAAAAAAAATGCTTATATTGTTTAAAATATGGCATTTCAAACCAAATGGGGCAAAAAAATAGGTTTCGCCAAAATTGTTAGTTAGTGATTTTTCGCTACACAACGACAATATGCCTATATACTGCCAGCACTGTCGTTTGGTGCCAATATAGAATGAGCAACCCCTTTCTTCCTCTTCGGTATCGCAAGAGGCGACTAAGGGAACTTTATGGTCAAGGGATGGGCAGCAGCGTCCTTTTTGAAATAACACCAAAGCCTAACTGCGGTTGTCTACTTGCCTGCCAAGCGTGACAACTACTGGCAAACCCTCTTTTATGGGAAAAGGTATGTTTAGTAATGGGCAGTTAAGAGCTGATATAGTAAAAACAAATATTGTACCCATTTAAAACATTTTATATAGACTCAATAAGTAATCCAGAGAGTTGTTTGATGCAACTACATCATTACATTTTTGCTTCTTTTTTAAAGGCGTACAGTTCTATTATACAAGTTTTTACCCTCAACTTCGTCCACGTGACTAGCTGATTGACAGAAATAATTAGTAGCCTATCATATGTCCTTCTCCATCTCACATCATCATCATTATCGACATCAGCTATTAACTGTCCACTGCTGAACATAAGCCTCCCTCTATGGGGTTTTGCCAGTAGTTGTCACGCTTGGCAGGCGGATTTGCAACCGCAGTTAGGCTTTGGAGATGTTTTAAGAGGGACGCTGCTGCCTATCCCTCGCCTTTCCAGAAAGGGGTGGCCTATTCTACGTCAGGACCACACGAGAATCACACTATCTCATATAGTCTGTGTATATTAAAAGTTTAATAACATTTAGTAGGCTAAAGTGCCAAGTGGTAATAAACAAATAAAAAATTACTAATTTTGTTGATTGAAAATTATTATGTTTAATGCCGCTAACATTAGTGTGTGTTTGTGTGTGTGACTGTCAATGTTGTTGTTGTCACTCAACAACAACAACAATAATAACAACAACTAATAGTAGCGCAATTAAACAATATAATTCTAATTAAATAACCAGTGATATGTATTAACTTCCGCATGACAACACCTAGTTCAGTAAAATATTTAAAAGACTTACTTTAATAATGTTTGAAAGAATTTTATCATTTTATCATACAGGAGCCCAATTAAGGATAGTTAGATATTTAAGACATTACCTTATTATTCATTATTAGAGCAACTTAGAATGACAAACAAGCTCATGGCCCATTTGATGGAAAGTGGTAACCGTCACCCATAGACATGAGCAGTACAATGGACATAAAAGAGTATACTGTTTCGCCCATGATACCCCCCATGCGTTGCATTCCTGAGGACTCAGGTGTTATTCCTCTGTACCTTGTAAATTCATTTGTAAATTTGGCGCGAAATTTGCTGGGAAATTCATTATAATAGAGCAACGGATCTGATTTCATCCCCACCCATCATCACGCGTTAGTACTCCGCCAGCGTATATCAATAGTTCAGGTGGGATTGTCACTCCAGTTTCAACCCTCGAACCCTTTAATGTAATTAGAAAAACTTTAATTAAAATATTCACCTGTAACAGTCCATTCTCCATTATCCTGCCGATACCCTAGTCCTTCTTTTATCACATAAGTCCAGAAGTATATCTTGTCTCCAATCTTCAACTTGGCCTGCTTGTCGTTGAAGGTCCATCTACCACCTTTGGACTTGGTGATGTCTCTAGACCAATGACCGGCTTCCAGACCTTCCATTTCCTCGTTGAGTTTTCCATGAAACGCGAAGAGTGAGTAGCCATCATCTATGCGAGAACAAATTAAAAAATTATAAGTTTTTTCTTTATTTAGAGAAATGTTCAGGTTTGGAAAAATAATAAGAGGTACTCTAAATAACTTCATTATAAAAAGAAATGCCATCAAAGTGTATTTAAAATTGTTTTGTAATTCTTGTGTGAAGTTTTTCACAGTTTTTTTTTACATATTGAAGCGAAACTGGAAATAAGGTGTTGGAAAATAATTTAACTGATTTTTTTTAATCCTATTAATTTATATTAATAGGATCATAATTAATCAGTTAAATTATTAATTATTAAATTAAAAATATTTTTAGGATATAGGATTATAATAAATCAATTGGGGTCGTCTGTCTGGGTCGTCGTACACTGCGTTTGCACGTATGGGGTCGCCACTCAAGAACCTTTCTTTCCCATCGGTTATCGGTTTTTCGAGCTATATGACTAGTCCATTGCCACATCAGCTTGCTTATCCTTCCCCGTTACATTTGTATTATTCATTATTTTCTCGTATTATTTTTACATATGTATTATTATTATTATTAACAAAAAAGTGAGAAAAAGTTTTAAAAATAATAAATATTTTTTCTTTATAATATTATTTTAGATTTCGTTTTGTTTTCTTTAAACTAATCTGCAAATAACGGTATGTAATAAACGTAACGAGAATTCTCATTTGTTTGCGCCTAGTCAATAATTCATTACTAATAGCAAATAAATGTGAATCCATTATCGGAATAGCACTGAAAAAAAAAACTTCGGTTAAGTCCCCTTACGCGGGCTTAGAGCCCCTTCGCCCCTGCCCTGCACACGCCCGGTGAAGCTGTAAAGGTCATCTGCGGTCAACAGCAAATACAGCTCGAAAAGAAAATCAAGTTTTATTTTTTACAAAATTTGTTGATTCACAGTATATTAATTATGTAAATATACATTCTTATATATAGCTACTAATAATTTATTATATTTCATATTATTTTTACACCATATATGTTACGCTTTATATACAAACCCTACAAACACTTTCTCTTATCTCGGATAAGTCCGCCTGTGTACATTTTTGTTTATAACAATAACCTAACCAAATATCTATATTTTTTTTTGGTGGGTGAAAATGGTATAGTAACCCCGCCTGCGCTAACGGGATACGCTTTAAGTTGCAAGCAATGGGATCCTGTATATTACACAAGTCTTAAAAAGATATGGTTCCAAGTTTCCACAGGAGTTGATTTTCAGAATATCAGCTACTTATTTACTTGAATTATAAATAATCCTGTTGATTTTTCAAACCTTACTACTGTATTTATTTATTTATTTAATTAACCAACAATTGATTCCACAAGATAATATAAATATTTATACGATTATGGAGCTTAGAACTAAGTGTAACAATTTTTTATAGGCAAACACAGCATATATTGATACATTTATAACAATTAGTACGGAGAAAACAAATATAAACATAGCTTACAACTATTATTAAATGCTTACCAACTAAAGTCACCATATCCATAAGCAGATCCAGCTGCACGACTCATTTTATACATTTATAGACATTTCGAACAAAAGCAATTGGACATATACTATACTATAGTATATATATATATATATATATATATATATATATATATATATATATATATATATATATATATATATATATATATATATATATATATATATATATATATATATATTTCCAATATATATACATACTATTGAGTATTTATAATCAATTTATTATTTTTCTAATAACACATTACCTGGCAGTGAAACCCTCAGACCTTTAGGCCATATCGCCTCTAACTTTGCCGGTGGCACTTCGTAGCACGAGACACATATAAAAAAACACAATAAAAATATTACCACAGTTTGTTTATACATTTTTGTCACTAATTATATCGTCATCACTGTCTAACTTAATAGAAACGAATGAAGCAGATAGCTAAGTGTATATTGCCGAGATGACCTTCTGCACTCGTCCACGATGAATGACTGACTGGCCGGATCTTCATATATCTACGTTAGTAATTAACTAGTTTTTTTTTTTTGCTTGATGTAGTGTTATTTAGAATTTGTTGCATGACGTAAGCGAATTAAGATCAATATCCAATAACAAGCGCTCAGGTATAATCAAAGAATAATATCAAGAGTCATACAATCGAATGCCCACAGCTACTTCTCATTATAGCACTGTTCGACATTGACAGGAAACTCATTCTCACACGCTTGAACCTAAATGGTCACGTACATTGTGATTTCAAAGGATTTTTTCCCGCGAACTCTCAGGCTCTGGAATAAACTCCCTGCAGATGTTTTCCCTAGAAACTACAGTTTGGGGTTCTTCAAAAAGGATATATTTTAAATATAGGTTAAATACCTTTATTATAATTTTGTATGTTAGCATACTAGATTTATAATATTTATTTGGTTTTTGCGGTCATAATGTTATAATTATTTTAATGAATGAATAAGTAAATATTAAAGTTTTGCAGGCATTCATAGGCTACAGTAACCGTTTACCATTACACGGGCTTTGCTTGTTTAGCATTTTTGTGGTATAAAAAAATCACACCATTTGTCTGGTCCTCGTGCTAGAACACCCTGTGTTCACCCTGGGATCTTATCAACGAACATTTGAGTACACATTCAGAACTCGCAAATGCGAGCTAATTCCTAAATTGGCAAGACCGGGAATCGAACCTGCGACTTTTTTAACGTGAAATAAATTACCCACCACTATGTCGCGGAGGTCGTCCACTTGATGCTTTTTTTTTAACTCGGAGTATCAAAATGACTTTATTATTTGTACTGTAATTGTTTATATAGTATACATTCACATGAAAGTAATAAATAAATAAATACATAAATATTTGTAAAAATAGAGGCATTATTTGCATGTTTCCAATGCTTTCCAGCACTTGTGTCGTAGACTCAGAATTTTCATTGCTACATAGCAGCCTTCAAAGGACAAGCAAGCTAATTGGCAATAAAAATACGTAAAATTCATTTAAGAAAAAAAAAACAAATAGAGTATCTTCATTTTATAATTACTATTCCTTTAAAAGCATAATATTTTGTTTAAATCTAAGAATAAATCTGTAATCAATAATTATTTTACAGAATATTTTTTTTTATACATCTTAGAATGGCAAACAAGCTGACGGCTCACCTGATGGAAAGTGGTAATCGTCGCCTATAGACATGAGCAGTATCATGGACATAACAGTACACACACATACTGTTTCGCCCATGATACCCCCCATGCGTTGCCATTCCTGAGGACTCAGGTGTTATTCCACCGTACCCAGTAAATTCACGCCATATCCCACCCTTCAAACCGAAACACATCTATACAAACACAACTGCTTCACGGTTGAAACACGAATGGGACAGAGGTACCCAAGCAATCGACTTTTGTACAAAGTCTCCCTCTGGTAAATATATAAACATTACATACAACATAAGAATATAAACATTTAGCGATAATAATGTTGAATTATTGATTATGAACCGTATTAATATATAGGTACAATGATTATTTTGACCTGTACACATGATAGCGTTGACCTGGCTGGACACTACCATATTAATAAGATTGTAATTAATTTAATTTTGTCTAGTTTTCTTTAAAATTGTCACAATATTATATACCGTTCTACTTATAATGGCAAACAAGCAACGGTCCACCTGATGGAAAGTGGTAACCGTCGCCTACAGACATGAGCAGTACCATGGACATAACAGAGTGTACTGTTTCGCCCATGATACCCCCCGTGCGTTGTCATTCCTGAGGACTCAGGTGGTATTCGACTGTAGCCTGTAAATTCACGCCATATCCCACCCTTCAAACCGAAACACAGCCATGCAAACATAACTGCTTCACGGTTGAAACATGAATGGGACAGAGGTGTCCAAGCCCATGTACCTACAAACCCGAATGATAGATAAAACATTCTCTCAGAACTATTGCTTGCGGTTTGCGGTTGCATTAATGGTGATCAGTGATGATCATGTTATCTTTATCACTACTTATTTCATCAGTACTGCTATTGTGGTATTATCGATTGAAGATTGTAATTAGATGTCTGGTACCTCCACAACCAGTCACGATTTAGATGTATAATTTATACTAATAGTATAAATAAAAAAGATTTGTTTGTTTGTACAGCAAAATGCTAAGCACCTGAGACCTCATTTTGCAAGTATTGCGACGACATTTTTTTTCATGTAGTTTATTATAATTTTTAACAATTTTTTTGACCCCAGTATTTTTTTTTATACAACTTAGAATGTTAAAAAAGCTGACGGCCCACCTGATGGAAAGTGGTAACCGTCGCTAACATGAGCAGTACCATGGACATAACAGAGTATACGAGTACTGTTTCGCCCATGATACCACCCCATGCGTTGCCATTCCTGAGGACTCAGGTGTTATTCCACCGTACCCAGTAAATTCACGCCATATCCCACCCTTCAAACCGAAACACAGCTATGCAAAAACAACTGCTTCACGGTAGAAACACGAATGGGACAGAGGTACCCAAGCAATCGACTTTTGTACAAAGTCTCCCTTAGAGTAGGTGTAGTCCTTCGTATACTTTTATAAAATAAATTTTCTCTCTTCTTTTTTCTATCTAAACTAATATAAAATACTTATTATTTCTATATTTATATAAATGAATATCGTTCCCTTACATATTGTTATTTTATGAATTAATGTATAGTTTAATAATATAATAGTTTGTACGTAAACAATATGTAAAAATGTAAAAATTGCAATTAAATTATCATCACAATGACTGTAAATTATGGGTATATATCTAAAAATAAAAAGATTTATTATATATAAATAATATAGAATGTATAAATAATATATAAATGACGGTGTAACGTAACGGGCATCAACAAATGTCTTTTGCATGTTTATTTCTACTCTGTACATTATGTGGTTTACCTTACGATAACCTTATACCTATGTAAATAATTGAATATAACTGCCGACACGAATTCTTCGTAAATTCTGAGTAAAATCATGAGTTGCAATCAGTAACACGGGATTCCCCAATTCTCGACAATACTTTACATCATCACCTAAGTTTAGTTGGTATATTTATTGTAGGTACATTGACCTCTAATAGATAATGATATAATATTATACATATAATATATAACATTTTAAGTACTTTCTTTTTATTTTATGTGTTTGCTTTTAATGAATTACTCAAGCTGTGCACATAATGTGATTGGATTATAACCTAGCCGAATCACAAATGTAACTATTATTTAAATTTTATTTTTAATTATTTATTTATTTATTTAATACTTTATTGTACACATTAGTTATAAAAATATGACAGAGGTAAACAAAAGTATAAAGGCGAGCTTAACTCTGATAGAGTTTTCTTCCAGCAAACCCAAAGTGGAAAGGATCATCAATGTCAGCGGATACAGCAGTGTACAATTTTTAAACGGTCAACATTAAATGAATTTTTATGGTTGTGGTTTGTTTTATGTGCCAATAAAATAAAATAAAATAAATTTTTTTTTTAGGAAAAACAATATAATATAATTTTATAATATTTTAATGTAAAAAATATCGATTTATCTTACGTGTAATTAGATCGAGAAAGCTTGACTAGTTTCGGAATCAATTCGTGACCCTTAGTCTAATTTAAAATATACATATAATATAAATATAATATACAATAAATATTTTATAATACAATATACTACAATGTATTATCATGTATAACGTAAAATGCGACTACGGAAACCAAAGTCATTAGTGTTTTAAATTTAAATTTAAGTTTCATTTAAACTATGGGAAAGGATCGGAGAAATAAACAAAATGATGTCTCTAATACTTTGGTTAAATAATAGGCATTAGTGTACCTACATTATTAGTCATATAGAAAAACTGAATTTTTTTTTTATACCACTGAAGTGGCAAACAAGCATACGGCCCACCTGATGGTAAGCGGTTACCGTAGCCTATGAACGCCTGCAATACCAGAGGTATTACGCGCGCGTTGCCGACCCCGAAGAAACCTCTTTACCCCCCTTTTGAAGAACCCCATGCTGTAGTCTATATAAATTGTCGCATTACTGAGTGTAAAGGAAGAAAAACTCGTAAATACTTTGCACCATATCATATAGTCTGCTTATTTTTACGAGTATAGGTGACGGTTATCGCTTTCCATCAGGTGGGCCGTCAGCTTGTTTGCCATTTTAAGTTGCATAAAAAAACACATGTATGCTTAATTATATACTTCGGAAAACTTTTTAACCGGCTTCAATAAAAAGGAGATTCTCAATTCGGTTGTATTTTTTTATGTTTGTTACTTCATAACTCCGTCAGTTGTAAACCGATTTAAACATTCTTTTTTATCTGAAAGGATATACTTACAGATTCGTCTCACAGAAGTTTTATCATAATAATTCTGTAGTTTAGTTTTTAAATGGGGCCAATCTATAAAATTGGTCCTATTAGATCGATATTTATTTATTTACAAAACAGATTGTCAGGCATTTTGCTTTTACTACTTCCCATGACAAAGCCTTATATAAATTATTTCATATGAACATTATATCAGTTTTTAACTGTCCACTGCTAAACAAAAGCCTTCCTTGGGGTTTTTGCCAGTACTTGCCACGCTTGACAAGTGAATCGGCAGCCGTAGTTAGGCTTTAGAGATTTTTTAAAAGGGACACTGCTACCCATCTCTCGCCCTCCATTACTCGATTCTTACGACACCTACGGGAAAGGGAGGGGTGGCCTATTCTATGCCGGGACCACACGGCGATCTCCCCTTATGGGGACTATATATTTTTTTTTGATGTATGAAAATGGTATGGTAACCCCGCCTGCGTTAACGGGATACGCTGGCGGAGCACCAGTGAAGGGTGATAAATGAGAATGAAAACAGGCCAGTTAGCCCATCATGATGAATTCATGAGGTATTAACCATGATAGTTTCCAGGGGAAACCGCGAGGAGGTCGACCTGGTTGGGTATATTGCTAGCAATGGGATTCTCAGTCTCCATTACTAACAATCCTTTTCCCCCCATGGGAGGCCCATATTCAGCAGTGGACACTAAATGGTTGATATAATAAAAATAATAATTGCCATTTAATGTTTCTCTCTTATCTAGATCGACCAGTATTTAACATAATACTGTGTAGGGAGGGAAGGGTCTGTTAGTATTGGCCACAGCAGAATATCAGTGTTTTGCTCTTTTAAGGGCAAAGCAATAAACTGAGCTGTGACCATTTTGTGTTACTATGGCACACGCATGAAGGAATGTTAACAAAGGAGATTGTTAGATTATGTATTTTGTTTTTGTATTTTTGTTTTTTTATTTGTGCTTTTTTTATTTTTATTCTTTTGTCTCTTTTGCTGTGTATTACGTGTATGTTTTTTTTTTATTGTAATTTGTGTGCTGTAAGTAATGCAAATAAATTGTCTATCTATCTATCTATCTATCTATCTATCCATCTATCTAGTAATGTGGATTAATAGCTCTATTGTTAGCAATATACTATGTTAGGTCGACCTCCCCGCGGAAAACATCGTACTTAATTCCAGGAGAATCCATCACGACTGCCTGATCTGCCTTTTTATCATTATTTATCACCCTTCATTGGTGCCCCATCAGCGTATATCGTTAGCGCAAACGCAATGTAACGCAATGTAAATAGGACTCTATTTTCCGTACTTAGCCTCCCATTTGGGCCGTTGCGCGTATGAGTCGTGGCTAGTTCAGCCAACCTAGCTCCGCCCAGAAGCACAGAAGCTTCCTGGGATCTTCACATGCCTCGCGGAGTGACCTCACCGTTCCGAGGATTTCTAAACGTTGATGGGCCACAGCTTCACATTCCAGGATTACGTGTGCAGTCGTTTCTTCGGCGTCGAAACAGCCTCGACATAGAGGGCTGCCTGTGGCTCCTATTGAGTATAAATGTTTGTTTAATGGACAATGGCCCGTTATTGTCTGTATCATTATTTTGAGGTATTTTTAGTTACCGATCCATTATTAACCATTAAAATAAGTATAGTATTGTGCTTAATCAGGCTAACTCGAGTGTTGACTTGAATAACTGATGGGAATTCAGACACACGGTATCCTAATACAAGTATCGAGTACTTACGATACTCGAATACTAGTTTTGTTTTTATTGTAATTTTTTATGTTTCTATTTTTTTTTTATAAAACTTAGAATGGCAAACAAGCTGACGGTCCACCTGATGGAAAATGGTAACTGTCGCCTATAGATATAAACAGTACCATGGATATAATACAGTATACAGTGAATTTACTGGGTACAGAGGAATAACACCTGTGTCCTCAAGAATGGCAACGCATGGGGGGTATCATGGGCGAAACAGTATACTCTGTTATGTCTATGGTACTGCTCATGTCTATAGGCGAAGGTTACCACTTTCCATCAGGTGGGCCGTCAGCTTGTTTGCCATTCTAAGTTGTATAAAAAAAAAAGTATACCGTATCGCCCATGACACTCTTCATGTGTTGTCATTCCTGAGGACTAAGGTGTTATGCCTTTGTGCCCTGTAATTTAATTACCATATTGTGTATGGTAATAGCCAAAACGAAACACAGCCATGCAGACAATTTTTATACAAAGTTTACCTCTGATAAAAATTTCAAAAATCAAAAAAGCTGTCTCATCGCAATATTTTAGTAATAAGCCAAATATAGGTTATTAGGGTAAGAAATAGGCATGCCCATTTTTCAAATGTATATTTTTATCACATAAAAAAACCACTAATTCTACGAAAAACTTACAGCTTTTGCATATTTTGAGCAACTATAATATAATCAAGTTGTACAAATAATTTTATTGTACCATCATTATCAGTCATTATGACGTTGTACATAGAACGTAAAGGCATGTCAACTGCAATAAAATCTACTAAATAAAACATAATTAAAACCAATATTAAAAATTAATCATTGCACACTGAACATTGAAAATTAGGTCTCGCCCTTATTTTGTTAAAAAACATATTTGGAATGATTCAACAAGGTCGATACGGTGGACATGCCTTAACAATGTACAGTCTTATAAAAAAAAAACATTAAATATATATTTACTTTTTAATATCCAGTGAGTATTAGATTCGAAATATAAATTTTTGTTCAGAATTAAAGTCATCTCCTTGTATTTTCGTATTTCGAACACATAACACATTTCTAGAGTCAATAATACTGAATCGAAAGAAATTGTTTTTTACCTATTATAGTTAATTTAAATAGTTATAAACATATTTATTTAGATATGTGTTCATGCATTCATTAGTATATTTTATAAGTGTTTTACCGGAGACATTTGACGTTTTCCCCAGAGAAACATATGCGTAGATACAAAAGTAAAATAAAAATATAAATAATATGCCTATCACACTAATACACTGTGGTCATTTGGCATACCTTCTCTTCTTTTCCCATGTGTATCGTAAGAGTTAAGGAAACTTAATGGTCGAAGGATGGGCAGTAGCAAACTTTTTAAAACATCACCAAAGCCTAACCGCGATTTACAACTCACCTGCTAAGTCTGGCAACTACATTGGCTTTTGTATTGACAACACCCCCCAATAACAGGAGGCCTATGTTCAACAGTGGACAGTTAACGGCTAAAATGATGATGATTTGTTAAATCATGCTCAGAATAATTCGACATGTTTCAGTCGATGTCACTTTAAAGAAAACGTCCTTTTTACTGGTAAAATGCTCTTAAAATACGCTAATGATTTCGACTTCACCTGTATGATCTTATCCAGTATGATGTATGAACTAATATTATAAGTAAGTTTGTTTTCTTGTTATCTTTTGCCGCCTCAACGGCTTTACTAACTGTTATAAAATTTTGCATTGACGTATTATTTGGAACAGCTACTTTTTATCCTGGTCAAACAGCAAATTTCGGTAACACTGATAAAGTATTAAAAAACTTTTAGTACTTCTAAAACATTGTTTCTCAACCATTTTTATGTTGCGACCCACGAAAAAGCCAAAAAATTAAGTAAAAAGTCTTGCCTCCATATATATCCCGTCACTAAAAAATTATAATAATTAATTAATAGTGTATTTATATGTTTAATAACCATTTTTTATTATTTTATTACGTTAAACTAGCAGTAAAATGCAAACTCACCCCCCCCCCCGTCTATCCCTAAGGGTCGCGACCTTCTGGTTGATGTTCTAAAGTTAATAAACACTATTGAAATATTTCCTCACTTATTCTACATTTATTATACTCATATCTATAAACTTAGTCTAGTGCGAGAAACAAAACAGTATAACATAACTTAGTAAACTAATACACATAGAATTACTACGAGGGACATAAAGAACATTTCTAGCTATATCACAGAGCATAGACCTTGACGTAGTCAACCTTCAGGTTGGAGTCGTACCAGGTCGGGAACCAGTTGTCCTTGTCCTTCCAGAAGTTCAGCATGGCCTTGTTGGCTCGGTTCTTCCACGGCTTGTCAGAGACATCGGCAAAGTCATTTACACCACCCACTCGAAGACCGAGAGAAATGTAGAACTAGAAGAAACATTAATACAGAATAAAAGAATCTATTTTGGACCCTTGGTACAAAATAAATTGTAAAATAGTTTTCTAAAAGTATTTTTTTTTATACAACTTAGAATGGCAAACAAGCTGACGGCCCATCTGATGGAAAGTGGTAACCGTCGTCTATAGACATGAGCAGTACCATGGACATAACAGAGTATACTGTTTCGCCCATGATACCCCCTATGCGTTGCCATTCCTGAGGACTCAGGTGTTATTCCTCTGAACCCTGTAAATTCACGCCATATCCCACCCTTCAAATCGAAACACAGCCATGCACAGTTGCTTTACGGTTGAAACACAAATGGGTCAGAGGTACCCAAGCAAGCGACTTTTGTACAAAGTCTCCCTCTGGTGTAGTATTAATCTACAAGAACATTGACCATGAAAATATAGCACCAAATTTTTGCATTTATTTCTGACTCTAATCATCCAGTGATGTTTGTAGTCAAATGGCCGAAATATTTAGCCTTTTTTAAGAATATCTTAACATTAAATTTACTTCTACTTTGCTTTTTTGCACGAGCTATAAAATTTCACTCTGGTAAGTCTATTAAAAACATTAAAAAACAAGCTTTTATAGGCTTTATTATTAGGCTCTAAGTACCCCACAGAGTTATAGTTTTTGTCAAGACAAATCAAACCAGCTTAAACACCATGGATTTGTTGGTGTAGTTCACGAGTTTCGATGGCTATCTTTTGTCTTCATCATTATATCAGCTCAATAACTCCAAAATATTATATTGTCACCAAAGTTACACAAGTATGCCAATTTTCAACATAATCGGGTACCAGCATTGGTTAAAAAATAAATTGCAATTTTAAAAAAGAAAGATATATTAAAGCAAGTTAAAAATCTGGTAATAAAAATTGATCCTCATCCTAATAATTACCATCTTGTCGAGTGGAGCCATGATGGTGCCTCTAAGCCAGGTTGCGGCATGTGGTACCGCGTGCTCCCTGGCGCTCGTGTAGAACCCTTCCCCGGCTTCAATGGTTCCGTACCGTTCGTTATCTACGAGGAGTTCGATGCCGTCTAGAAATCAGGATTCAGTAATTAATTATTTGAAATTAAGAAGCATTTTAACTTATATCCCTGAAGTAACATAATCATCAGTTTTTCTGTGATGCCTATATTGCTGTTTATGTCAATAAACGCTGATTATGACTTTCCTATTGACGTCTTAATAGCTCAACAAAATCTTAAAATTTACACGTAGTTCTTGGGATAGAAAAGGAATCTAAGGCTAATCAACATATTTATTTATTTTATTTATTTATTCATTAGTACAAATATGTGTACATGGCGGAATTAATGCTAAAAGCATTATCTCCCAGTCAACCATAGGGAAGTGTCAGAATACTCGAAACATATCTCAGAGAAAAGAATTGCTAGTAAAAGGAACGTCTGGAAAACATTGTGGCTAATCTTAATGAATTTGGTCACGATAAGCCAATTGACTTGCTATCATCCTCACCTACTATTCCTGTCAGGTGTTTCGCTAACGTATGTCATTAATGCAATTTTAGGTTACCACTCCATCATTATCAATTAAAAAATTTGCCTATTAGCCCGATTACGTGGGTGAAATTGCGGATAAAAACTATCTTGATTATAGAGTATCCATTGCTTATTTATAAGGCACATGGGAGCAATTGAAATATTCCAGTTCTAAACTTTGACATGAGAGAATAATATGATTGGCAATTACTTGGCTTCCAAATCAAGGTGTAGTTATGGTAGTCTCTGTTCCAATTGTCAATGCCAATCTTCTCTTTGAGTAAGAGGGTCCTATAAGGTTCCGAGTCTGATAGAACAGGTCCTCCATACAGCTTTTTGGCAAAAATCGCATTGCCTTTAGCAAAAGCAATCCTCATCAATCCAGACTCGTATCGCCGGGAACCATACGCATCGTCGCGTGGCTCGAGGTTAATTTCTGAAGTGAAAAGAAAATAATAACGTTAACCAGATTCAGATCATTGTAGTAAAGATGTAAAATATTTTACAATCGACTTTAAAAAAGAAAGACGTTCTTAATTTTTAAATGTTTGATACTGTCAGAACTGTTGATTATGAAACGATTTTTTTCCATTTATTTATTAATTTATTGGTACATCAATAGAACACTTAACATAGACATGGTAATATATGCACATCAGTAAGAGATGTACACATCATTGGCTGTATAATAATCATTTTATAAAATATGGAACTACTTAAATTATTTATGGTTGTTACAAGAATAATACTGCGAGGACAATTGAAAAAATTCATTTTGGAAGACTTGGAAAATTCCTTTTTTACTTTAGTCTTCATTTATCAACAAATGAACTAAAAGTTTGATTGTTGTTCTCTTATAAAAAACATATCCTATTGTTTTCTCATTGTGATTATTTCTTGCAATTGTTTATATTTATAATATGTTTACTATTGTAATCTTTTGGAGGAAACAATAAAGAGTATCTATCTATTTATTTCTAATGACATTTATATACCTGATCTTGTAGAATATTTTCCATTGTAATAACTTACCTGGTATTAACCAGTTTCCAGCTGGAAGTTTGGCTCGAACTTCAATTTTTCCAAATATAAAATTAAACTTGTTCTTAGTAGTGATCTTGCCAGTCATAACTGGAGGTAGAATTTGGGCACCTGATGCTTGACGCTTGCATTGTGAGGTATCGATGGGTCCAGTACACCTGTTTGAATGAATAAGTGAATAAAATATATTTCGGTACTTCACAACACTTACAGACGCTCAGGTTGTAAATAAAAATAAGTAGAATAAGAAATTACAGTATGGAATTTTTCAAAAGAAACCTCTTTACTCCTTGTAAAGAGGTTTCTTTTTGACAACACACACGCAATACTTCTGTTTTTGCAGGTTTTCCTAGGCTACGGTAATCGCTTGCCATCAGGTGGGCCGTATGCTTGTTTACCACCTTAATGGTTAAAAAAAAGATAGCATCACAGAAAAGTTTACACGAATTATCATATAATATATTTAACGGTAGCTCCGTTAAATTTCAGACAGTATTTTATACATGAAAAAGGATGCTAATCCAGCTTAAACTTTCTGCAGAAGCACTAACGCCGATTTTTAATTAGCGTTTTAGTTGTAATTTTTGCTAAAGTTGAAATGCTCGACGAGTGAGTTCATTTTCATAGTTTAAACAAAATCCAAATTCCACCAATTGTCAATAATTCTGTAGTACCATTCGTCATCAGAGATAACTTCTGGAGATAGTTAATTTCATTACACAGATTAAATGGAAATGACCTTCTAAGAAATTCAAATTTTTAATTGCTCTTGTGCTCTTACTTGCATATATCTTTATACAATAATATCACGTGTCATAATGTTCATTCCTGTTCATCTCCGAAACTGTTTAACAAATTTTAGCGAAATTTCAATAAATATGTATTGTTTGATCAATCTCAAGTTGTACAGTTTCTATTGATTTAAATTCATTTACGACAATTGCTATCTTTAAAACCTTAAGAGATATTGCTGAGCGATAATACCGTCTTATGTATCACTTCGGAATATAAATTTGCCTTCACTTTACATTAAAATTTACTGTATTTATTATTATTATTATTATAAATGGTATCATCATCATCATCATGCTGGGTCAGCTAGTTGTTTCATTTATATACATGTTCTCACCTGTTAGTTAGATCAAGGCTCTCAGTTAAGATGCCCTGGTGGAAATGTGACTCGAGCAACTTAGGACTAATAATGAGGTTTCCATCACTTATGTCTAAGGTTTCATCAGCCATATATACGTTGAATGGATAGTCCTGGAATCAGACCAAATGATTATAAATAATATTTTCTATTTTCATTTAAAATTAATGCTAAAATTGATATAACGGAAGAAGTTTATGTTCAGCCGTGGACAGTTAACGGCTGATATGACGATGTTGATAAAATACGAAAATGGATCTTTTTCGAAAAAAAAAAAAAAAAAACAATAATTATTAAGATTTGATTTTTAACAAAATTAGTACGTAATTAATGTGCAAATAATATTTGAAAAATAAGTTATCAAAGTCAGATCTGAATATATATAGGTATCACATAACATAAATACAAAGAAAGTCAGTAAGATTGAGAATTTTTTTAAGCCAATTTACAAATGAGACTCGATGAATTTAAACTATTGGTAGAAAAAGGATATGGATATCCGTTAAGTAATAGTTCTAGTCGAAAAAAGGAAAAGTATAAAAAAGTCCATTGCGTTTATTAACATGAAATTCAAATTTGTATTTCATATTTATGAAAAACTTCAAAGATAATTTACTCCTAAAGTTCTTAAAATACTGTTTGTAGTCTTATTTGATGTATTTGAATACGTATATTGATTTATTTTAATATTTTATGATTTATTCAATACTTTTAAATTAATATCCAGCATTTTTTATTGTTATTAAACAATTTTGAATGACAAATACGGTCCACCAATACGGTCTATAGGCGGTGGTTACCAATTTTGGTATTGCTATAGACATGAACAGTACTATAGACATATACAAAGTATATGCGTCTCCTATGATACCCCTCATGCGATTCCATTCCTGAGGATTATTAACTGTAGTGAAATTACAGTGAAATTATTAAAATTAAATAGCAATTTTACAGTAAGAAGTAATTTAAAGGCGACATTTGTAAAAATGATAAAATTTATGTAAAAATATAAAAAAATTACTAACTGGTTCTTCAGGAAATTTAACTTCAGCCTCCCAATTCGCCAGATTTTGTAAACCTTGTTTGTCGAAATTTTCGGTAAATATCAAAGCGCCAGTGCACACAGCGTTCCGACCTTGAACTGTGGTTTTGGAAATTTGACATGGCGGGTCAGGTCTTGGGGCAGGCGGTGAAGGTTTGTTGGGTTCATTTGGACTTTGTGGAGTTGGTGATGGTGTAGGTGCGAGATTTGGATCCACTGGTTTACCTTCCTCATCAACAAATTCTGGAAAAATTTTAGAAATGAGGTTATTATTGATCTGCTGTATACCAAATTTCTTGCTAATAACTTCACTGTTCGTAGTTTATTAGAGGAGAAATTTTTAGAAAAATGTCAATTTGGTAAAGTATACCTCTGTTGCGATTATATTTCCTTCTTAAAGTAGCTAAACTTGCATGGCTGCATTTCGGTTTTAAAAGTGAAATAGGACAGTGAAATTAGACAGACTATGGAGACATAAATTTCGTTTTCAGGAAATGCAACACAATAGATATACCATTGGCTCACCATATATTCCATAATGTGAGTAGAAACTCATGTCTATCGTAATAGATATCCACAGAGGGGTCTGTCGCTGTACGCTTCTTTGTTACTCTGAGTTTCATAGTTTTTGTTATCTCTTGGTGTCTTTATAACTGAACTAATTATTTATTTATTCTTCATTTACAAAATAATGTTTGGCACAAAAGGTGAACTTAATTATCGTGATAATTATCAGAAGACAGTGTTTGGTTGGATAAAATACCTTCTTTTTGTTGTAGTCGTCTGGATACAGTACGTGACTCAAACTGTATATGCCATAACTGAATGTCTTATGGTATCTATGACAAGTATAACTAACTTGTCATGTAGTACGTAAATATAAGACACTGATATTTCAATATTGTTTACCTGTAACCGTCCATTCACCATTATCTTGTCTATAACCCAAGCCATCTTTTATAACGTAAGTCCAAAAATAGATCTTGTCTCCCAGCTTCAACTGTGCATTTCGATCTCTGAAGGTCCATCGGCCTTCTTTGGCTTTGGTAATGTCTCTCGCCCAGTGTCCAGCTTCTAAACCATCCATTTCTTCATTGAGCTTTCCGTGAAAAGCGAAGAGGGAGAAACCATCGTCTGAAATAACAAAATGTTATAATGTACTTTTAAAACGTCATTTCATGGTTGGCACATAAAAGACTATTATACTTTGGAGACACATATAGACTATTATACTTTGGAGATGTTTTAAGAGGGACGCTGCTGCCCATCCCTCGCTCTCCCTTAATCGCCTCTTACGACATCCACGGAAAATGAAGGAGTGGCCTATTATATGCGAGACCACACCAGAATGAGCTTCAAATCACTGAAAATTTTTGAAAACTGGTATAACAGCGAAGCAAATTGTGTTACATTTGAAATCAGGTTTTATTTTACAATACATATAATCTTAAATTATTGAGTATACCTATTAAATATATTTTTAATAGATATACAAAATAATATAGTAAATAATTATACTTACACGTATATAGTATGTACCAACATATTGGTATTTTAGATAATGGCCCAACTTTCGAATCAAGTTTTGGGTCGGCCTAATTTAGGAAACAAACTTTTATAATTTACCCCGGGTCTAAGTATTTGGGCCTGTATTCCCAAATATTTTCTTTGTGTAGTTTCTAATTTGTTACGGAGTGCTTATTAACAGTGATTATGAGAAAAATTTAATAGTCCAGGGATGAGCAGCATCGTATCTCTTAAAACATCGCCAAAATTTAACTGCGGTTTCAAGCCCACCTATCAAGCATAACAACTTTAGGTAATCTCTCCTTCCTCCTTTTCTACCCCTATTGATGGAGACCTATGTCCAGCAGTGGACAATTGACGGCTGATATATAAATTAAAAGACTTATAACAAACATAAGATTCACATTACAATTTATAATACAAATGATAAATATTATGAACATGGTGTGCATAGTGATGACCATGCGTTGGAAACTGGTTTAATTTGCATATATACTTAATATTGTGGAAATAACTAAAAACATGTGATACTTTTACGCATTTAATTGAATGTAGCGCAGATTCTACAGTATGGAGTTCTTCAGCGCAATTAAGGTTCCTTTAGGATGGGCAAAACGCACGTGACACCCTTAGTAACGGTCAAAGTTTGCTATTAGATGGATTGAATGTTATCTCTCTCTGCTAAAAGCGTTGGTCGATTGATCCAAAAACTAAGTACTGATCTACGTATCAAATAAGTAATTGTCTCTAACTAAATAATTCATCCTACTTGAATATTTGGTGCAATAAGGTGTAAAATAAATAAAATAAATTCTTATGTGTAGCAGTGGCATAGGCAGTGGCAGTGGCATTGACTATTCTTATAGGCGTAGTTGTGGTATAAAAATAAACATAAAATTGTATATATACATTCAAGTAACAGTAAATATTATGCTACTAAATACGACAACTCAAACAAATGTTGAAGGGTTCAGCAAACAATATTTGTGGCCGACCTAATACTAGGAAAAAATGGCATCTTGAACGCTCGTCGAGATATTGTATTTATATATTATTATATGGGATGAAGGAAAAAATAGGTTACTTTTATCTTTACCAGTGAATATATTTCGGCCACGCGGTCGAAATCGCAGCTTAAAAGGCCGGTATGTTAATAGACAAAAATAAATATATATTTTTTTATTAAGGCAAACAAATAGCTATGCGTATTTACACACTTAAATAATAATTAAACAGCCACTAAAGTTTGCACAAATGTATAAAAGAAGTGAAGGAAACACAAAATTAAGCAATACTATTGAAAACTACAGCAATATTGTTAATAATAAAACGCAGATGTTAACAAAACCATTCGCAAACAAATGTCTATATTAAGAAATACCACTGCTAATTACAAAACCTCATTCCTTATATAAGCAGATATAAATTGAAAAATTTCATAAAATGTACATAGGTTCCTTCCAAGTACTTTTTAAATTTATAAATTATGAAATTTTAGAAAAATATTTTAAATTTCCGTAAGGCGTTCAGATAGAAAAGGCTTTTGAAATTTTTCCTAGAAATACGAGAAAATTTATTGTAACACGAAAAAGCAGTATTTTTCTTTGATAATAGAACATTTTTGAAGGTATTAATGGAACACAACAAAAAGTAGACTTTGAAAATTGATGAGACGATCTCGGACGGTGTCGTTCACATCACTTTTTGTTTGTTGTTATGCATCGCGCTAACGGTAAGTTGATTAAAGATAGAACGAATGCTTTGTAGCAATACAAAAGGATTAGCTTCAGTACTCAGACAAAACAAAAAATGAACATCTCAAAGACTTAAATAATTAATTAGCTGAACCGTGAACAGGTTTTTTCCAACCTGTTCCAAGGTACTCACTGGTCTTTGACTTGAAGAGCTGACCGTGAAATTTAATCTGGCATTATAGTTCATTGGCTCTTGAGTATTTGAAGTTACTGTAACTACCGTCAGATATTGAGAAACACTTGCTTGACCGAACATTGAACCGAAGGAATTTCTGGATGAGAAATGCTGCCTTGTTTATTTATATGAATTCAAAATTTTTATACTATCAATATTTATTGAAATAACAAAATTTTTATTATATTTAGACGATGAATTTATTTGTGTCTTACGTTTGTTGTAATATTATTATTAAGAGAAAGTATCTTATAATGTCAATGTGTAGTTAAAATCTTTACATTTTATTTGAAATTTGCAAGACAATGAGTGGAGAAAACAATGATCGATTGTAGATTACGGTTCGTTTCCTCAAATACCTCATCTGTTCTGTGTTTTGATGTGGAATGCTAGCTTATAAAAATTGTCACATTTTTTTCAGATGTAGTTTCCTTCATTTGCACTTTTTGAATTTTTCAAATATTTTTAAATGAAGACATTTTTTTCAATTTTTTATCCTATCTTGAGTGTGGCGACGAAATAACAATATAATTTGATACTTTATTATATTTATTCCCACGATTTTATAAAAGGGGACAAAGCACGATAAAATAATCATTAAATTATAATAGTATTAGTATAATCCTCTTAGAGAAGCCGTTCATAGTCAGTAGTAGGATGTAATGATCACAATATTAATATTTATTGATGCTGCATACAGCGTAGTATGTTAAGACGTATTTACATTTCTACAAATTGATGCAACAAATGCCTCACAGAAAACTAAGAACTGTATAAGGTTGAACAATAATGACATTGCTTGAGGAAACCGTAATTGATAAACCTGTCTTGAGTAATTTACGAAGTAGTTGAGGAAACGACTTGGTTTGTCACACGGCAATTGGAAAAACTCATATTAATGAAGAAGGTAAACGATCAAGTTATTATTTTGGATTGATAATAGTATAGTGATATGCCATATAATGCATTGACGCATTGAGTATTTCATTATATTAAACAGTAGTTAGGAGCAGTGTTGCCAGATAGGGCATTTATTTCAAAGTTTTGGATAAAATTTGTTTGCCAAATTTTGGAAATGATAGATTCTTGGAAAATTATTAAAATAATTTTGAGTTTTATGACAGTTTTAGTATTTGTAAACCGAATGGCAAAATTTAAATAAAATATACCAAAGAACGTAACAGGAGAAGACCGTTTCTTTCGTTGTTTGTATTATGATTACGTAAACAAAACGTAGTGTAATTTTGTGATTGGGTAAAAATGAAAGAAATCATGTTGAATTGAAAATAAGAAATTAAAATGTGGGTAAAAGGAAAAGGTTACATCTGACAACACTGATTGGAAGAATAGTTTCAATTGTTTTACCAAATAAAGTGGTAACCGGATAATCTTTGTATCGAGTTGAGACTTCAAAAAGCTTGAATTTTAAATTTTTATTTAGTCTATACTAACATTGTAAATAGGAAAGATTTAATTGTTTTTTTTATTCAAAAATTAATCAACTAAATACACATTTTTTTTCAATTATAGAAAACTAGTAATAAAGGGTATATATTATTTTCGAAAATTCTATCTACCCGTGCTAAATTGGGCCGGATCGTTAGCAAATAATAAATTTGTGTAACACCGAAATGTATGTGTATTACGTATGTATAATAAGTACTTACGCCGTGAGACCCATCTAAACATACAGCGCAGGCGCCGACCAATAGGAGCGCGCCTCTCGCGCGTCCAGAAAGTTTGCGACTAACGGACGATATAGGAGTAAGGCGTCGAGTGTTCCAGTGACATCATATTATTATAATACTGTTTCTTGTTAAGTTTTATTGTAATACACACAATTTCATAATAAATAACGAGTTCCCCCGTTACATTTGTTATTTTGCATTGCATTTGTATTCATTGCCTATACCGCTGATAAAAAATGTTGTGATGTAAATAGCAATTTTATTCATTACTATACAGTCCAGAAATGTACTCAACCACAAAAAAAAAAAAAAAAAACATCAATATAGGTCCAATGGTTTAGAGGGAATTTTGTGACATACAGAAAAAATATTTGTGTTTTATGAGCTTTTTATACTTTTTATACTCTGTAACTTTATTTAATAATCTGTATTATGTTTAATTATGGTCGTGTGGTCCCAGCACAGAATAGACCACCCTTTCCTTTCCCGTGGGTGTCGTAAGAGCCGACTAAGGGAGGGCGAGGGATGTATACCAGCTTCCCTCTTAAAACATTTCTAAAGCTTGACTGCGGTTGCCAATCTGCCTACCAAGCGTGGCGACTACTGGCGAAACCCCTTAAGGGGGAGGCTTGTTCAGCAGTGGACAGTTACAGGATGATATGGTAATGATGATGATCACGTTAAAGTTTACTTTATTTGTATGTGGTACTTCATAGCCAAGCACGATATTAAACAATCATTCATGAATCAGCTATTAGCACGAAATACTGCACATGATTTTCCAACACAGTAGACATTTCGTGTGACGTTAAAATACATATCGTCATAGTCGTAGAATACTGACGGATCTAGCAAATATTACATATATAGATCCGTCAGTATTCTACGACTATGACGATATAAGTGGAAATATTGGCCTATAAAATTATCGTGTTCGGTAAAATTGTATATGACATACGAAATTTATAAAAAACAAAATCAAACGAATTA